GACTTCAGCTGAAACCCATTGCCCATGTTTGTGCCAATGATATCTGTCATCTTGCTTAAGAATTTCCCCAGATTTTCAGGTATGGCATGTCATAGTTAGCAAGCACACTAAATATTCTCTATGCCAATACAATCTTCAAGCTTCATTTAGCTCCCATGAGTGTGCTTGTAAGTTAGAGCATAATGCATTGTGTATAGGGTTTGGCCTTCTCATCATGCATGCCCCTCAGGTAAAGTGTGGTGACTAAGTCCTGTTAATGTTCCCATGCTTATGATATCACTAGTTATCATCTCCATACATTGCATAGTTTCAGTGTCAATGCATCCATTTAGCCCACTCACTCACTGTATCTCAGTATGCATGTATAAAGTGTCAGATTGCAAAATTACATGTGTAAACAGGCTGCAGGTACAACACCGGAAAAGTGCTTGAAGGGCTATAGCCAAGGTGCAGGATGCCCAGTGGAGGCAGTATGATAAGGGATGTGAAGGAGTTCCCAGCATAGAACCTGGCAGTTTTGCCCTAGTGAATCCTCATTTGTTAGAATGGGTGGAAAGCAAAGATAAAGGAGCAAAACTAACTCAAAGGTGGTTGGGACCATACAAGGTCTTGCAAAAAATTAACCTGAAGGTCTACCGGTTGCGAATGGGAGACAACTATCCAAGCCTTCCAATCTTCAATATCAAGCATCTCAAGATCTATCAGCTTAGTTCATCAGAGATGGGAGATCAGGCTTTGCTACTGGAGACAAGGAATAAACCCTCTTTAGAGGAATATGAACTAGAGAGGATAGTGGGACATAAGAGGGTCAGCTGCAAGCTACTATTTTTGGTCTGATGGGCAGGTTATGGACCCCAATTCAATAAGTGGAAAACAGAGCAGGACCTCAAGAATGCTCTGGAAATTCTTCAGGAGTACAAGAAACTGAATCACATCTGACTATATGGACCCAAAAGTCACTCAATCAGTTCAACGGTGTTGCAACTGCAGCCTGTTTACACATGTAATTTTGCAATCTGACACTTTATACATGCATACTGAGATACAGTGAGTGAGTGGGCTAAATGGATGCATTGACACTGAAACTATGCAATGTATGGAGATGATAACTAGTGATATCATAAGCATGGGAACATTAACAGGACTTAGTCACCACACTTTACCTGAGGGGCATGCATGATGAGAAGGCCAAACCCTATACACAATGCATTATGCTCTAACTTACAAGCACACTCATGGGAGCTAAATGAAGCTTGAAGATTGTATTGGCATAGAGAATATTTAGTGTGCTTGCTAACTATGACATGCCATACCTGAAAATCTGGGGAAATTCTTAAGCAAGATGACAGATATCATTGGCACAAACATGGGCAATGGGTTTCAGCTGAAGTCTGTGAGCCCTCATTCCATTATTCTGAGTCCCATTGTTCGAAGACTCACTTGTTGCTGTGTCTATGAGAAGCCTCTGTGAATCCAAGGAAGAAGTCTTGAAAGACATATGCCAGAACTGATAGTTCTGTTTGCCTAGACCTGTCAATCATTAGAGAACAAGCCTGCAGGTGTTGGGAGAGCACCTTTTGGCATGTGTTTAGCAAACTCACTATAGAAATAAGCCTAAAACTGGGAAGTCTGACTCAGATGCTCAGTAAGGCAGTGGTGGCAATATGCTACACATGTAGGAGTCTAGGTACTGCATGACATTTGTAATTCTAATTCCCCTGTAGTATAAGTAGGCTGATTACAGTAGGTAGAAGTAAGTTTCGAGCCCTCAAGTTCCAGTGGATATGTTGAAGGCAGTTCTGTGGCAAAGGATCAGTTTGTGACTTTGAGCTTTGCATAGAGTTAGCAAGCTCACTCAGAGAAATATGAGAAACCTTTAGAGAAAGACTTTAGAGAACTTAGCCAGAGTGAATACAATTCAGTGACACTGTTTCTGTTCTGTTAAGTGTGATAAGTCCATTTAGAGAATGTTTCAAAGTGGAAATCTGTGTTCTGTTCTGTTCTGTTCTGTTCTGTTCGAAGTTCCATTTCTGAATCTGTTTCCAAGCACTTCTGAAGTGTTCTTGAGTCGAGATCATCTGTTGGAGTTAGTTGGAGGACCCCTACACACAGTTGTGTAGTGAGCAGGCTAAGTCAGTGCTTGCTTGTGGTGTTCTTTTAGTGAGCTCACTAAAGTTTCAGCATGTATTGCCTCTGTTTCTGCTGGGATCAGTGTCCCTTGTGTATTTTAACTCAAATATGCCTTGAAGGTCATGTCACACCAGTGAACAACCTTCCTGTAAAAGTTCCTAGACTTAGGAATTCATTAGAGAAAGCTTAGCTTTGCTAAGAGCATTGAGAATAAGAGAAACTCTTCAAGATATTGAAGTATAGTCAGGTTGCATTAGAAATAATTGCTCCCCCTAGAACTTACAAGGGTGATTGTAGTTTGTGTAGTTGTGTGAGTGTGTGTGTGGGTTTTTGAGGTTTGCCTTTTAGCCTGCTCATTATTCCACAGGTGCCCACAGCCAGCTTCTTCACCAGTGGAAAAATGGTGTTGAGATGAGCATGTGCATGATAGCAGTGTTGTTCTTTGTGTTCTTGAGGTTTCCTGGATGGATTTGCCCCCCACCAAAGGGTATACTGATGCCAAGGGATGGGTATGTCTCTCTTCGATGCATCAGTTGCTTGGCAGGGCTAGCAGCTTCCTCAATGTCATCACAGGCCTGGCATTACAATGCATCCCAGTGGGGATCATTTGGATGGCTGCTGAGGACCATGATGCAAGTGCCTGTCATGTCAAGGATTGGCTGAGGCTCACTAGAGGTAGTAAGTGATTGTGATCAGTGCATTGTGAAGGGACATACTCTCCAGGCCATGGTAGGTGCTGAAAGCCATGAGACAGAAGATCATCCATTGAGTGCTGGGTATGGTCAGTTGAGGTGCATGGCTCCACATATTCTTGAATGGGTGGGACATATGTGGTGTAGGTCAGGATAGCATTGATGACATGCTTCAGGGTGATGTCTTTGATTCACCATTGGGGGGAGCATGCATCGCCTGCTGCTGCAGCTGTTCTATGCTGTCACTGTCATGTTGCCTTTTTCTGCTTCTTCCATTCCTGCAGCAGTATGGATGGGTTGAAGACATAGGATAGAGGCAAGCATGAGTGTGATCAAGTGGGTGGCAGTGGGGGTAGCTCCTAACTGCATGCCAAGCACATGTGACATGGCTCTTGTGCCTCTATTGCAACATCTTCCTCTCTCTCTGCATCAGGGAGTAGCTCATCAGTGTGGCAGCAGAGTATGTCGTCGAGCTATATGTCAGAAAGTATGATCATGCATAGCATATAGGAGGAGAATATGGAGCTGGTGTGGGTAGTCCTCACTGTGATAGCAGCATGATCATGAGCACCAATGGCAGGAAAATGGGAGAGGCAATGCCCAGTCCCATCATGCCTGTTGCATTCTGCCTTCCAAGGGCAGATAGTATACTGGCTGGTGTGGTGAGCCCAGGCATTGGGAATGGTGGTAAAGAATGGATGTGCTTACATTCAAATGTCATCTGTAGTGTGTAACTTCTGGCACGATTTGGTGTTTGACAGCAGACATGTCAGAGCAGAGGAGATGGATGAGAGGGCAAAAAGTTTTCCAAGTCCATCAGTAGTCACATGATAGATATCACATGATATGCAGGGGCACATCATTTAATGCTACACTGTGTCAATATCACCAGTGATGGCCAGCAAGAAGAGATGAGCCAAAATGTCCAGATTTTATGTCCATTCATATGCTCCTGCTACTGTTCTTCAACCTTCAAGCAATAACAGACATATGCAGCCCAAAAATTCCACTCTTCATGCCAGTAAAATGCATACCCTAGATGATCATCAGGAGGATTTAGAAATGTTTGCTTGAGCATCAGAGGTGGATGGCTTCTCATACCTCCTGAGAGATGAGCTACCAGACATAGAGTGGCCATCAAGTGGGCTTGATGATGAGACTGACAGGAATATCATGCTTATACCTTGGGTACTGTGTTAGGACAATCCTATGTATGCCTGGCAACCATTTTGAGATCAATACCTGGATGAAATGCTGTGCTTGGAGAGATGCCAAGGTCAGGCTGATGCCTGTGCAGTGTGTGGAGGATCTGGGGTATATAGATGTTGTGAGCAGGAGTGTTTTGTCATAGGTATGGTGTGTAAGGGCTGCTGCCTGAGCTTACACTGCCATAACCCTTTGCATTGGATCAAGATGTGCATCTAATTTCTTTTTTCCCTTCATTGTACTAATTTCTCTAGGAATGGAACAAATATTTTTTCCAACCCTGCACTTTACAGAAATTAGGCTTACAGCTTCAACTTGGGCATCCCATTGACAAAAGCTGTCTGTCCAGTATGCCTGCTCATAAAGATTTTATGGTCCTCCATTCAAACAGTGTTCATATAGTGTCAGTGGATTTCTGTGAATGCTGTCCCACTGTTGAACATTGGATTCAGCTATTATGAGCATCTTGGTAGCCTGCAACCCCCATTGATCCACAAATAGTGACAATATTTGCTCTACTATGCATATTTCACATGCTCAACTGTTAGGGCAAAATGCCAGCATTTGACATGTGGAAATCCTTGGAAATCATGACAGGGAATCGCATCCACAATCATCCCTCAGACAGGTACAAAGTCCTATTGTGAACTATCTGCCAGTGGAGGCATCTCAAGCAATGCAAGCAAGCAGGTTGTGGACATGACTCCAGTGGGGTTAGCAGAACAGGTTTGGGAGAGCATGGGTTGGATTGCTCAGTGTGCCCCCACCCAGGGAAGATATGCCTCTAATATCAGAGATCGAAGAACTTAAATGGTGTGCACATTATTCCTTACATTGCTAACTGAATTCTGACATGTTTTAACAGTTGGCTGTATGCCCAGTTCCTTGCCTTGGATGCAAACTATTGAGTGTGGAATGTCATAGCCTCAACGGAGAAGTGAGACCCTCCTCCCTCTGAAGGACAGTTGAGTCTATTTTGTGGAAAAGAGCCCCTACATGGAGCACCTTCACAAGTTTGTGAGTGAGGAGGAGATAAGCACTTACTCTGGCTTTGCGGTGACCTTCTTGGCCAACATCAAGAACATTCATGGCCTTCACACAATGAGGATTGTAGGTTGTACATGTTTAAGGCAAAGCATTTGGAGAAAGTGCAGGTTTGGGAACCTATAGCATGGTGAGAGATGTGTTTCACTTGCTTTGTTTTTGTGCTACTACTTACAACCATCACAAAGGCAGTGTAATGTTAATGGCATTGTTGTTCAAGCACTGAACAATGTTGAGGTCAAGGTCATCATATCTTATGATATCATATGCCAATGGGGCATTCATTTCTGGGATCATATGGCAGAATTCCCTGATGACACTTGCCTCAAGATCACACTGGAGGCAATTGACATGTGTGTGCCCAAATTCCATCTTTGGGCACACAAGCCTCACTGTTATGCACACTTTTCCTTCAACTATGTCTCTGATGCCGGCCAGACTCACAGGGAGATGAGCAAGGAAAATTGGGCAGATTCAAACAAAGCAATGGCTTAAATGAAGATGATGGGCCCTGGGGCACAGCAGGATACTCTGGACAACATCTTTGGGTTTCATAATTACAGGATAATGGCAAACTTTGGTGAGTATCCCTTTTTTTGGCTCATATCATTGCTCATCACAATTGCTAGACTGCATGCTTGCAAATTGACTGGTCTGTTGACATGCATGCAACACATTCACATGTGTAATTTTGCAATTCCTATAAATGCAAATGTGTGCATACCCTGTGCATAATATTAGAATGCATGTAAGGCATAGAGTGCTACACACTGAGGCAGATGCACTATAATAAAATATAATATGAGTAGAGCACATGGCTTAGACTTAGAGTGGCACACTTGTGTCATTTAAGTGTGAAGTCTCAGCATTTATACTCACACACTGTGCACTCCTCTGCAGTGTATCGCTCAATTAAATTCATTGAAGATATAATATATTGAAGGTGCTTTGCACTATATTGATCTATGATGTGTGAACTCTGCTGATCCAGCAATCACTGAGATATGTCATCTTGAACAAAGAATCACAAGTCTGAACTCCCTAAGGAGTTCTTGGCCAAAGAGAAATAAAACCCTGTATCTATATGAAATATTAAACTAGAAATAGTTGTGCAGCAACCAATAAAATAAAATTTGCTCACTAGATAAGTTGCGCAGCACTGGAATTAAATCCACAGAGCCAATAAGAAGACACACACAGCATGATATGGCAAGGCTAGACCTTGTCAAGTGGAGAAAACAGCAGTCACATGCATACCAACACAGAGTGCTGAATAAAATAATGATTACTATCACTGCACCTAGTGTGGCATGCAAGGGAAGGAAGTCTGAGGTGGAGCAGTTTCTATTTTCAGTACTTATATTTCACATAATCAATAGTAAATATAAGAGCAGTAGTTACAGGTAGTTAGCATGCTTTCAGACCCTCACAGTTGTACTACAAAGCAGCATGCTTAGTGTACAATAAAAGGATATTATTTGAAGCTTCGAGCAAGAGAATGTTACTGAACTTAGAATTATTTTGAACACTTTGAGAGCTTGTGAGATATGCCTTGCTCAAGCATGCTTGAATTGTTTGAGTTAAGTACAGTAATTGATTGTGCTCTACTTAGAGAATATTGTATAGTGATAACTTGAATGTGCATTTGTGTTTTTTGGAACCTGTTTGTGAATTATGAGTTATTGCAAGTGGCAGAGGTTTGAACCCTTTGGCTTGTCAGTACTCTCTGAGGTTTTTTTGGTTTATTCCCAAGTGGCATAAGTTCAAATCCTGTGGCTTGTGGACATGTTTCTGTGTCTGTATATCTCTGGATCATATAGGTTAGAACCCTGTAGATCTACAAATGAGTTTTGGAGTGTTTGCTGCTTGGAGCACAAGGCTTTAAGTCATGTTAAGTATATTGTGAAACATTGTGGACACATGTGTGTTGCACATGACATCTTTTGAGGGTTGTACATTCTTGTGGAACATTTGTGTGCTTTGCCAAATAATACTTTTGCCTTGAGGCCAAGCGATTCTGTTGCTCACCTCCTGTTTCAAAAGCATTTGGACTTAAAGAATTATTATATTGCTAGCACACTATTATATATTGTTGTGCATAAGGATTCCTTCAATATTACTGTTATTGTGTGCTTGTATCACACATCTCCCCCAAACTACTGAGGGATTGTGTGTATGTGAGTGTGGGTGTGGGTGTGTTAGTGTTTTATATGCTGGTGCATTTCTAGCTTGGCATGCACAGAGCCTCTTCACCATGCTATTAAAGAGGCCTGCATCCATTATGACAACTTCAAGGGATTTGATGAAGGGGTTGTGAGCTATTTTAGCAGCACTCTCACATCTGATTGGCTGAAGAGCATCGTCCTATGAGAGAAGGATCACACCAAGTTCTGTCCATATGAAGCTACATTGCAAGGGAAGGAGACTTTGCAGGAGGTGGAGCTCATCTTGGCAAGGGAGAAGCATGAGATTTCAGCAAAGGCTGGCATTGTTTCGCAGCTATCAAGTCTGTCTTCATTCCTCATGACAGGAATACAGCTTGAGGAGGCTCAGTGAGTATTTTTGACACATATTCTTTCATTACCTGACTATTATTAGGCATACACTTGAGTTGGAGATGAAGGCAAGAAACATGGGAACTGTGTATCAGCAGCTTGATATTCAAAGGCAGCAAGCCACTCTTATTCACAAGATCAACCAGTTTCATGGATTACAGCAAGTCTTCATGCTGAAGCTGCATCTTGTGCTCTTCCTGTCCAAACTCTGTCATATTGATAGTCCTGCTGGCTTTAATGCCAAAAATATCAAGCTTTTTATGCTCTTAGAGCTAGACAACAATGCCCAAAGGACTTGTGTTTGTATGCCAGGAGTTACAGCCATGGAGTGGCATATATATGAGGCTGAGGCTCATGATTCCTTGCAGAAGTTTTGTTTGGGATTATGAAATCGCTCCACCACCCACCTTTTCACTGTTAAGAATGTTACTGACATGAATTTATCCCTATTTTTCATTTTATCTTATCTTATCTCATCAATTCATTATTCAATTCTCATCATCCTCTCTCAAATCTTATCAAGTTCATCCGTGACCTGCTTCGCAGCATCCTTAATCCATCGGCATTGCATCAGCTCCACTGGATTACTGACACTCCTTTATGCAATCACACTTCTCAAGTTCAACTGATGGGCCAGTATGCCCTATGGAGAGAGAGCCATTCAAACAGAGTCCTGCACCTTATGCTCACATCATTTCTTGTTCACAAAGGCACTTCTAACATACAAACACTAGTGGTCTAGCTAAGAACAATGTATTAGGAAGGTAGCTCTAATGAAACTGTATTTAAGCTAGCCTTGCTATGGCCTTAAGCCCGAGCTTCAGCTAAGGTTATATACTCCTAACTCTTAAACCAACTCCAAGTTCCATGACTAAGAAGTCACATCACTTAAACAGTGGTCTGCATCACTATTCTTACTCTGAATCACTGAACATGAGTGACAGATAAGAGCCCGACGTTGCTTACTGAGTTAGTGCATAACAATTACTGGCCAAAACCCTACAACCCAAAACCAAGGGATTCTTCACACCATCCAGATGAACATACACACTAACAAGCTTCACTATCATTATGCACACAATGCTTTGTTTCATCTTAAGGGCCATGGAGATTGAGAGGAGGAGCTGCAGCTGTTGAGGGATGAGGATGTTCATGGGATAAAGGAGTCAGTGCAGACTGAGGAGCTTTGGAAGCAAGACTGTCTCAAGAACCTTAGGGTTATGGATCCGATTGAAGAGTCATCTTCCAATTGGAATCCAGCCCAGCATGGTGACAATAAAAGGGTGATGTCATGGATTTGGTATGAGCTCAGGAATACTGATGACAACCCTGCTACTATTGAGGGTAATGTGGTTTGGTTGTCTTCTGATGCTATCTCTCCACAGCCCTGTGTATCAAATGGTGCAAAGCTCACACAAGAATGCTATGATGGGATGAGGAGGTCAAATTACTGAATGAGGAGATGTGCAGGGTTATTGCATTTGCATAGTGGAAGGCTCACTGGTGGTTGGAAAGGGTGGTGCTCAGGGTTGATATATCCACAGAGCTGCAGGAGGGTCTGAAGGCCTTCACACTTGAATGTGCTGTCTGGGAAGGTGTCAAGAGCCAACGATTGATTAAGAAGTGGGTGGAAAGGGTAACTCAGTCAGAGCCTTGTATTTTCAATTTTGAATGACTCAGGACTCTTGTATGACTTAATATGACTAGCATTGATTACTTATGACTCAGTGAACATTCACTATGACTCATGTACAAGTAAATAGTAGAGTATATAAAGGCAGCATACTACTTGAATAGATATCTTCTTTCTGCCCATCTAGTGTGACCTTAAATTTGGACCTGTGTCAGGCCAGAGAAAGCATGACTTGGACTTAAGAATAATCAACTCACACTAACTCAAGCCTTTAAACCTTTACTTGCCCTCTCTGCACTCCTGACATGTGCACCAGTTGACGAATAAGACTTCTGTTGACATACACCAAGACCTTCTGTAAATAATCCATTGAAGAACACTAAGAATATTATCCAGAACTTAAAGCTACATGACTCAGCAAGTTCATAAAGCTTTTCAGTGGGTGCCGCTCAGAGCAGTCACTGTTGAGTACTTACAAGGCCTTCCAGTTTCAAATATTGTGAACTATGAAATAGCAGATGAAGAGCTTATAGGCAATGTCAACGACACAATGTAGTTATTGCTGTTTTATTGGTGTTCTATGTATTGTAGAGGTCCAAAGAATTTCTAAGTCAACCACCTTCTTATTTGGGATATGCTTTTCTATGATAATAAAAGTACATTTGATTTTTTGTTTTCTCTGCATCCAGCCTCAAAACAGTTATATTGTGTCAAAAATATGTCAAATAGGTAGTATTATATGTACACTACCCATTGGTGAAAAGAAAAAAATCTGGAATCTGAGGGAGTGGCAGGACAGAGGGCAGGAGGGCAGGATAGAGAGTGGAAGGGGTGGAATAGTGGCCAGGATGATGATGACTGATACTCGGTGCTGCAGTCCACATTCTACAAGTAGCTGGATCTGAGAAATAGCTGGGTGCACTCTAAAAATAGTGAAATAATCTCACTAATCTAATAATAGATGCCACCAAATCTTTTGCCCTCTCCTGACCTGATTTGGCAAGTAAAATGAGGTGTCCCACCCCTATTCCCCCCCCCCCCATTCCACCCCTACCTATATCGCAGCCTATATCCTATATCACAATAAAAAAATAGAGGGCTATAATAATAGGCCTATTTTAAAGGACTGTTTTGTGATTCCATCCTCAAGCACAATAGGGTATTTGACAAAAGACCTAGGGTATTGGGTGCTCTACTGCAGATTTGAATTGTGATTGTTGCAGCTTCTTCCACTGGACATGCTTGATCTGGACTTTGGCCACTTCCCTGAATTGTTTGTAAACAAGTTCTTTAAAGTTTTCCTATGTGAGTACATGATGCCTTCTAGAGTGCAGATCTCAATAACATTGTTGCTGGTGAATCTACCATTGCATTGTGTTTTCTTTGAAATGGGAGGCAGCAAAGACTACCCAGTGATGTGCTCAGTAATGGGCAGTGCACAAATGAGACAAGTATCTAGATCATCAATCTAGATACTAAATCACACACACACACACTATCACCAATGTATATAAGTTCAAGGATGAGTACAATAGAAGCACTCATGATGTACTTAGATTTAGATAATCAAGTGGGTTTTTGCTTGAAAGTGACTTCAATTCTTTTCTAGATGTGTTCTACACAAAGTACACTAGTCCACGATAGTGAGTTTTATGAACTTGTTTTGTAAAGTATAGATGAGCAAGTTATACTGGTTTTAAAGTCATTTAGATGAGCTTCTAGTGGATGCTTCAATTAATCAAACAACCAAAGACCTAGGAGTCTACAAAGAGCGCAAAATCACTCTACAAAGAATGCCCAGGTTCTGACTTCAAGTACAAGACTTGCAAAGAGTACACAGACTCTAGAGTTCCTTGAACTCAACAATTGTTCAAACTTAAAGCATTCTAGGGCTTATTTCACTTCAACTAGATGATGTCTTTTGACTTAAGGTCAACTCAGCATGTCTAGATCACTAATCTCAGAGAGTGAGATTACGAGGCCTTTGTCTGTGGAGCAGGTCAATTAACTAGCAAGACACAAATGCAGGGACAACTCTACTTCCTACTTAACTCTTCTAGATTACTGTAGCCACCCTTATGGGTTGACTTTGGTAACTTGATTCACTTCAGTCGAGGATATGCAATAAAACCAGTGATTGATTAGGTAGCTATACAGGCTACTAGCACAAACATGGGGGAATGCATTCCTGCTGTTATGCATCTAGTCGCTGCTAATTTATACAATTCATGTTCTAGGTATAGGAGCCTGTATCTATAGTAATTATGGCATGAGCTTTGTGATTAATACAAATGGTGAGTCACTATTCTACAAGTATCATGCCATTCTGTAGTTTCTATTCAGTTTGACAGGACTGCACCAGGTTATTCTGTTGCTGAGGAGTGCCTTACTAGTCTATGGGAGCTCCTTCTACCATCTGCAAGGCTTGCTGTGCACTGTATGTATTGAATACTGCAGTTGGTGCAGGATCTTGAGGATGTAACCACTGATTGTGATTGACCATAGGTCTGAGATTATATTCTATTGATCACTAGGTGATCAAGGTTGTTCATCTCAGTACCCAACACAGCTATTCATTCTTCCAAGGTTATTCCCTTCATTGACTGAGTTTGTTAGGATCGTGCCAATAGGAATGCGACAGAGGTTGCATGTAGCAGAAAGCCATGGAATGTGTCAGGCATAGGCAAAGCTATTAGCAACGTCACCCCTGAGCCAAAGCCCTAAGATGAGTATGGATGGAAGTCCACAGAGTGTCGGAGATGAAGTAAGAGATAAGTCGAACAGATCAGAGATCCACAGACTGGAGAAGGAGAGTTAGACTTAGAGTCAGAGAGAGAGAATTAGGCTGAACCAAGTTGATATTCAAACTGAGTATCTACAGTGTAATTCTAAGGCTTATATACTACTTTGGAGTCTGATCTAGTTCCTACTTGGAGTGGTCTACATTCTAGGGTGGTCAGAAGTTGTAATCTACTGGTTGGTAGCTGATGGAGTCTGATGACATATTTACTACCAATGTCAGGCTATTGATAAATTAAAATGGAGGTGTGACATATAAAATGGAATATGGAATAGAAACTGGGAATTGGAATCTGTAGGATTCTGGGATGTGGTTTGTTGGAGTTAGACTTGGAGTCGGGCTCCATCAGCATGTGTGTTACAGTATCCCCCTCTTAGCATTCTTGCCCTCAAGGACACAGATCCTGATGGCCAAGTGTGACTGCATGGAGTTTTTTCAGATTGGTCATGTGTTTTTTCACCTCTTAACTATTAACCACCACCATCTTTCCTGATTTTTTGAACTTTGTCCTCATCATCTGTCATATCATCAACAATTGAATACTGTCTTTCCATAACTCCTGAGCCCTATGAGGCTCCCCCAACACCAACTGATGCCACTCCTGAAGTGTTGGAGTCCTTTTTCAAGCAGCAGGACGCCAATATTGAGGCGTATAATGAAGCTGTGGAGTGCCAAGGTAAGTACAAGCAGAGAAAGGTGAGGTTGGAGGCTGTGGAGAAGGCTAAGGATGAGAGGAAAAGGGAGTGGGCCTCAAGGCTTGAACAGGCAAAGGCAGTGGTGAAAGCAAAGGCAGAGAAACAGCAGTTGGAGGATGAGGTGAAGGCTAAGGCATTAGAGGAGGCCAGGGTAGCCATGGAGGCCAAGGAGAAGGAGAAAGAGAAGGAGAAGGAGAAGGAGAGAGGTGGGGATGAAAGGAGCAAGGATGGTAGTGGGTCTGAAGGGGATGATGAGAGGGAGAAGGACCTGAAAGGCAAGGCATTGAAGAAGTTGGTGAAGCAGCAGAAGGATAGGAAGGGGAAGAGTAAAGCAATGGATTCAGAGGCTGCTGATGTGCTTAGTAATGGCGAGTGACAAAAGGCTAGTGAATGGATATGAACACCACAACACCAAAACTCTCTACTATACACAAATCACCAATTATATTGAGTTCAGGTGTTTTGAGTATGATAGAAGCACTCTGCAGACTTCAATAAATCAGGGAAAGGTTGTTTAAAGACGTATATTCAGTACTAGTGAGCTACACAAGATGTGATACTCACACTAGCAGGGTTTCAAGACATGATTGGGTGAATAGTGACTTGGGTTGAGCAACTGTGCTTGGTCTTACTCTGATACTTCAAAACTAGTGGCACTCTGGGCCAAATACTGGGTCTCACAAGTGGTCTACACTTGACTATCAGCACCCTAGGCTCGACTAGTGGCACTCTTGGCCTAAGAACAAATACTTTAACTTCAAGAAAATACTTTAACTGACTTTGAAATGCTCTGAGTCACTCCAAGGCAGAATAGCAACTTTAAAACACTTCAATTCATTCAATACTATAGGTGACTAAGTGACTAGTAGACACTTCATCGAGGTTAAGCACAAAAGCCTTTAATTGGGGCACTAGAATACTGACTAGTAGGTCACAATCGTGGGGATGGCTTGCCTAGCTTCCTAGACTGCCTCTTCTACTACTTATATGCTATGGAGAAAGGTACAGGATAAATATAAATAGATTCACAGGAGTAATATTGGTAAGAATATCTTGGCTAGTCATGAATAATAGTGAATAGTCATGCCATAGTCAGCCTAGGCTGGTTTTTCTGTTGGATAGTGGGTCTAGGGACTCTGCTATTGGTCTTTTCTGTACCCTTTGCCCAACCATGCTTCACTAGCGATGCTGCTAAACTAATAGTTGGGCAACTGTGTCTGTAGCAACTGCTTGATCATGATCAGAATGCAGCTCAGCTATACTAGTACTGATCATTTCAGATCTGCATCACACTAGCTGGATCTGGGCTAAGGGTTATAGCTTTACTCTTTCATTTCTAAGTCCCATCTGAAGTGCTTGTGTGACTAGCTATCCTGACTTAGGCGTTCCTGCCCAGATCAGTCCACTAGTGACTGAATGATCAAGGTCTGTGTGGGTTCTTACTTCTTGTTTGGGTGCTAGCAGCTGTACTCATTACTAGTGACCATATTTTACTGAGTCTTACTAGTTCAGAGGCACTAGCCCAGTTGGCTGGTAGGTCTGACCCACTAGTGGTGTCGTTCCTAAGTCCTAACTCAACTAGTAGCATGCTAACTTGACTATCAGTTTAAAGCCTCAACTATAGCCCTTGTCATTTAACTAGTATCAGATAGACATGCAATAGTATTGTTATAAAATCGCAAAATCTAGGTGTGAACACGTAGATGGCATATCACTGCAGGTGGTTTAAAGAGGAAGAGGAAGGTGAAGTCTAGCGAGGTGGTACTGAGCAGGGGTGAGGATGTCGCAGGGCCATCGGAGAAGCCCTTGAAGAAATTGAAGACAGAACCTGAGATGCAGGCGGATGATGAGGAATATAAGGGTGATGGTACGTTTCTTCCGTGGGTCCCGAGTGTTTTGCTGATGGTGTATAGAGCATTGTGGACATTGTAAAATTGACAACATCAAGTGCTTTATTAGGAGTGGCCATACTTGTGAATGCTGCAAGTTAAAGAAGACCAAATGTGTTTTCAATCAAGGTGAAGGATCAGGAGCCATGGGATCCAGTGAGGTTTTAGACCTCTTGCAAAAGCTCTGTGACAAGATGGAGGAGTTTGAGGAGAGTTTGGAGAGGGTGGAAGGGAAGGTGGATGTCCTCGGAAGCCATGTCGACAATTTGATCAACAATTTTCATTCAGGTGACAAACTGGAGTACCCATGGGATTTCATTCCTGAAAAGTACAAGGAAGAGATTCAATCATTGAAGCTCAAACTGGAGAAGCTCAAAAACATCAATATGGAGGCTCTATGGATGGTGATGCACATGCAACTTGACAAGGACATCACTTAAGTATGGCATGCCCATGTTATGGGACCTGATATGTTCTATGGCAATGACCCCTTCGAGTTGGCAAATATAGCATTCTGGCATAGGTACCATGAGGAGAACAGCTTGGAGAAAGTCTTAGAGACTAGGAAAAGGTTTTTGGATATGAGGTGCCAGTATTATGAGCACGGGGCCATCAGGGAGAATGGGCGATGTGGAAGGTGTATTTGAAGCATGCAGAGGGATTTTTGGTGGAGCATTCTGATGGGGAGTTTGATGGGGAGGAGAGAAAAAGGTCAGAAATGTTGCCAGGGGCATATTCTATAGGAATTCTGGAGTTGGACAAGTTGGAATTGATTGTAATGAGCAACCATGAGCAAGAGAGCAAGGAAGATAAGGTGGATGAAGAGGAAGAGGATATAGTGATGGGGGATTTGGTGCCTGCAGAGTCCTAAATGCTTTTTTTGAACTTGTATTATTTTTTGGATGTTTCTTATAGACAGATTTTGAAAGTGTGGGCCCTGCAGGCATAGCTGTATATATAGGTCTACAGGACATGGATATATCCATTGGAGCCTTAGGCTACAGCATGGATATTATCCATGAAGCCAAAAGGCAGCCAAAATGGCTTATCCAGGCAGGATTTGAGGCTTATTTGCTACCCATTTTGATAGCTGTGGCTATAAATTCTAGGCATCATGAATTGGGCCTAGCCAGGCAAATAATTTTTACACTAGCATATGGGTCAGCTTATGCAATGTCCTCAGGACACTGCCACCCACAGCCCAAATGGTCACTGGTGGGTGGCACCATATTTCCTGCCCTCCTGCTCATCGTTTAGGTGTAAAAAAAAAAGTCTGGACTGGAAAAAAATATTTCATTGCTTCTACTGCTTCTCCCTGCATGCACGTGACTTTTTTTAGTTGAATGAGTCAAAGTGAGCCAGGATGTACTTGTTGTGGGATATCTCATTCCCAACCCAGCAACTAGGAAATTTTTGAAATCATACATTGAATACACTCCATTTTGCAGGTATTTTGATCCTCTGAACATGTATTATCTATCTACTAGTCAAAGTCATAATCAACAAGTGTATGCAGTGCTGTGAAATGCATAGCCTCAGGGCAGAAAGACAACTTCAAAGTTTTTCGGAGTTTGCCAGCTAAGTGGAAACTTGGACCGATTCTGAATTCATGCAAGAAATAGCTTTATAGTAGGTCAAGTACATTTTCTAAAGGAGAAAAGACTATTTAGAAGTGTTCAAGTATAGTGTATTAAGATAAATTTTGAGTATGGTAGCTTACAGTGGAGTGTATCTGCTAGAATACCTATATTGAATTAAAGTCATATTAAAGTCAGTAGACGGAGTGAATCAGTAACTACTACTGAACATGGAGTAGGTGCCTTTGAAAACTTGTACATTCCATATACACATGCTTTGGTAGATCGGGATAAATTGGATGAGTCCTTTTGATAGTTCCATACATAAATTTTAATGTATGGCAATGATTCTACAGTTAAAGAAGACACTGTAATGCAATGAAGAGGTATAGTATTGAAACAACCTCAAAATATGGGGAAATCATCATTAAATGTCATTTATCTACTTCTGCTCACCTCCATATCTACAAAATTGTACATACATATATAATATATACTCTCCTTTGTACATCCTGAAGGTTCATTAGGCATCGGAGTGAGTGGAACAAGCAGCAAAGGAATTCTGAGCATGTATTTCACTCGTTGAATCACTACGGTCCGACCAACTAAGTACAGATTGAGTGGCTGTGCTTCTTCTTTTTATGGTCTTTTACCATCACCTTGAACACAACAATAGTCCATCCAGTCACTCAATGACCCTCTCATGGGTATAAAATGGTATGTAACTATTTTTTTCATGCTTACTATTCATTTTAGATGCTTTTTACACATCCAGCAGCCTCCAGATGCGAAATATTCCACCCTCCCCACCCCTGCATGTAAGCTCTCCAACAAGGCAGCATCAGATGTAGCCCCAAATGACAGATGTGACCCTCACTACCATAGAGAATGACAATGATGCCTAATGATGCCCTCCAGTGCCGCAAATAGGCCTCTTCCATCCCCATTCCGACTGACCCAGCTACCCCTGCATTGACATCAGGGCCAATCATGTCTCCACATGGATGGACAACCCACTGATGAGTAAAAACAAACCTATGGATTGAAGATCAGCTGCCATCTCCAAGCAGGAGGAGGTGTAAACTGGAATGGCATGGCAGACAATGACAACAATGACCTGGACAATAACGGTGACAATGGGAGAGACTGGGAGTGCTGTAAAACAGTGTGGGGCCATGCTGGAGAGTAGGGATGGGTTGTGGGGGACAGTTGAGGGCATGTGGAGGCAGGAAAGGGCAGGAAGAATCAGGCAGGATGGCAGGAGGAAGATCAGGATGCTGACAGCCAATGATGATGTCAACAAGCATGCCCTTTCAGACTTCGATGGACAAATGTAGAGTGCACCAAACATACCCAGAAATATGGATATGTGACCCCTACTAAGCCTGCTGCCGGCCATTCCATCCTGGTCAACATCAAGCCCTACTGTGCCTCTCTGCTGGCCTAATGATACCAAAGTCATGCATCTCCCATTCTTTGAATGGGAGATCATGACTCTGGTGTTTATTTTTTCTCCAGACCCTGCCATCACCATGTGCCTGCCCACCATCCCGACGCCTGCCCATTTCACCCTGTACCACCCCCTACTGGGCCAAGTATCTCTCAATGGCCTCACCACTCACTGCTGCGGTGTATCGGTATTTTGGAGGGGTTAAATACTGTGAAGGATTTGGTGCTGGATTTAGAGGGTAAATCCCAGGCACCAAAACCGGCACCAAAACACAGTAAGTTTTGGATTGGTATTGGATGTTGGTTTTGGCACTGGATTTGTATGTTAAATAGGAATACAAAAACACATGGTATTTTGATGCAGATTTAGTCATGCAGATTTGTGTGGGAATAACATATGGATTTGAGTCAGGTATTTAGGTTCTAAATCCAGCAGGGTAAATCTGCCCCTAAAAATGAGTGGTATTTCAAATGGTAATTTTAGAACAAAGCCAGATGTAAACATCAAACCAAAAATGGGCATAAATACAAAGGGTATTTGTTTCAGGATTTGGAGCCCAAATCTTGGTGATCTGCCAGCATCGCTAGTGAGAATTTGGGTTCCAAATCCTGGAACAAATACCCTTTGTATTTATGCCCATTTTTGGTTTGGTGTTTACATCTGGCTTTGTTCTAAAATTACCATTTGAAATACCACTCATTTTTGGGGGCAGATTTACCCTGCTGGATTTAGAACCTAAATACCTGACTCAAATCCATATGTTATTCCCACACAAATCTGCATGACTAAATCTGCATCAAAATACCATGTGTTTTTGTATTCCTATTTAACATACAAATCCGGTGCCAAAACTGACATCAAATACCAATCCAAAACTTACTGTGTTTTGGTGCCGGTTTTGGTGCCTGGGATTTACCCTCTAAATCCAGCACCAAATTCTTCACAGTATTTGACCCCCCTAAAATACCAATGCACCGCAGCAGTGACTGCCATTTTAGATAACTGCGAACACAGTGGTGAGGTCCATTCTCCTCCATTGCCTCCTCATCATCATCAAATGGCCATCTATCCCATCCTGCCGACTTTTTTCCTACTGCAAGTGGGATATCACTCTCCATCAAACTGAAACATTGTCATTAGTTGACAGGGGTGCCTATCCCACTAATGACATGATGTGCTGACCCACCTTCAGTGCCTATGTCTCACCGCATGCAGGACAAGGGTGGGTTTTTTTTTTGTATCCTTGTTTACAGTGCAAAGTAGATATATTGTATATAATGACACCTGAATATATAGGTTGCTTGGACTAGTAGTTATTATCCCTGTCTGTGATGTGAGCCTGATCACAGGTTGAAAGTTCAAATCTTAGTTGGTGTTTAATTTTTATTAAGCCTTCGCTGCTGCCCAATAAAAGGTAATCCAAGCCTGACATGTTGCATCCAGGTTATATGGTGGGCATGAGGTCAGGGTGAAGCTGGGCAAATATTCAAGCATATCTTTACTATTAATTCTATTTTTTGTGGGTCTATCCAGTCAGTGAGGCAGTGAGAATTTGAGCCAACTGTGGTCCCAACACTCATTTGATCATTTCACCCAAAATGGCTGTGGCAGTGGCTGATAAATCTTAGTCATTCCAGAAAAAAAGGTTGTCCTTGGTGAGCTTTCAAGAAAATTCTGCTTTGAAGGGATATCTATCCACTTTGGGTTGCTTTTTGGCAGCAATTGCTACTGCAAGTAGCAGTTTTAAAGCCATGGATAATATCCATGCTCTTGGGCTAGAGCTGTATGGATATATCCATGGTGTTTGGGCTAGAGATGTATCCACCTGTGGGCCCCAATGGGCAATAATTATATATCTTGACTTGTATACTTGAGTGATTGAGGGGAAAAAGGAAAACAAGAAATAGGCATCTGTTGGGTTCTGTTCTCCATTAGGAAGGTAATTTGCAATAGTTTTCCAGGATTTGATTTGAAATTTGACAGGCAGAAACTATAGAGGGCCAATAAGTTAGGGATAGTTCAAGAAGTAATGGATGAAGGTTTGAGGGAGACTTTGCGGATAGTGACTTTGGATAGTGGTCCTGGTTTGTCTGGGTAATGATGGTGGAAATCTTCAATATAATCATCCATGGAGAATGCTGTAGCAGGGATCCAAGCAAACTCTTTATCAGTACCTTCATAACCCAACCATTGGGCTTGGTATAGCAGTGGACATCGGAACCGATGGTCAAGCTTAGAGTCGAGAATTTGAGCAATCTCATACTGTTCTTCACCATTGACTTCAACTGGAGGTGGAGGAGGTTGAGTACAGTTAGGGATAGCATTGGTCTCCATGGGTTCAAGTTGGGAGACATGGAACACAGGATGAATGGGATGGAGGTCTGATGGAAGTTTGAGAGTGAAGGAGTGGGATCTGGGCTGAGCAATGATATCAAACAGTCCTAGGAATTTTTCAGCAAATTTCACAGTAGGGTGAGTAGTTCTGATATGTTTAGATCTAAGGTAGACTTTGTCACCTATTTTGAAGTCAGGGGCCAGAGACCATCGCTTGTCTGCTTGGAATTTGTAGTGAGACTGAGCATGAGAGATCTTGTCTTGAAGAAATTGGTGAAGATCATTGAGGTTAACAATGAAGTCACAGGCCTGTGTGGAGATGATATCGCATTCAGGATGCACAGTAATATTGGGGTGGTAATCTTTGTTAGTGAAGAATGAAGAGATTCCAGTGGAGGCATTGGGAGCGTTGTTGTACACAAACTTGGCAATGGGTAGTAGGGTATCCCAATTGTCCTATTGGTAAGAACAGTAGATGTGAATATACTGTTCCAGAGTTTGGTTAGTATATTCAGTTTGTCCATCAGCCTCCAGGCGATATCTGAAAGTGAAGTGAAGTTTCATATCCAATAAAGATCTTCACGATTGCTGGGTCTTTGATGAGTACCTGCCGATTAACCAGCATCCATACCTGGCACGTGATCATCCATGGATGTCACCACATCTGCTACATCCAGATGTCACGTGGTTGGCAGGTAGGCCACCCCAGCTTGCAGTTACCTGTAGCAGGTACCTGTACTAGCTTACAAATATTCACACACTAAAATAGTCACCATACCCTATTTACAATTAAACTAAATATAGCATTATACGAATACATTATTCTTAATAAAGTCTTACCAATGTTATCTGCAGATGAAGTCACCCCAGAAGCAGCTCAATGACACTAAGATGTCCATGCATGCTATGGGACACAGGTGCGCTGGCATCGACTGAGTTCATCAACTCAATGACAACTTTGCAGGTGGCTTGAATTTTGAGAAATGTCGAGTAACGCAGATGACCAACTCCCTCCACAAGACTGTCTAGGTCGCACTCAACAAAATCGTACTTTGTCAAGCCAAGATACAGCAGATGGAAGGGATCATTTGGAGAGGCAGGAGCTATCCAGCGTACACAAGCCAGATGAGGAAACTGCTCAACATAGGCCTGTGGCCATTGGAGCAGGTCATCGTGGCCATACCGAAAGTTTTCCCACATGTATACCTCCTGGTTCGCCCCAAGGGGAGGCCTGCAGATGATAGAGGAGTTTGGGGTGACTATGAAGGAGTCAGAACCATCCAAGATGATACCGTTCTTGCTGTCAAAAGGACCCAAGGCTAGCATAGTTGTTAATATATGACCAGTCACAAGCTACATACGAAAAGTGGGATTTGCCTTGTGCAAGAGCAATCTCGGATCCCCACAAACTTTGGAAGGCATCCAGTTGACCAGCAGCATGAAGGCAATCCCTGGCAATGTTGAGATGGGCTCGCGAACACAGGTTTAGTGCGAGAACCGCCAGAGAGAGTGAAAAGTAGAAAGGACCAGTGGGTTGCCATTGTACATCAAACGTTGAGGCAAGGCTTCCAGGACAAATGCGCGCTGATGAAGGATGTCAGGCCACAGTGGCAACACCATAAATGTTACCTGCCACTCACACAATCCACTGACAAAGGACATCAAACGGACACAGTGATCCAATTGAATCAACCGCCAAACATACAAACCAATAACAATGACAAAAGAAACAAATGTCATCGATGAAAGACGTCAAACAACATGGGCGACACATTTGTGTCAACCTGAAGAAGGTGGGTCAAAGTGGAGAAAGAAAACTCACCTGATTACAGTTGAACTTTTTCTTGAGGCTTGAAGGTTGAATGTTAACATTGAAATGTTGAAGGCATGTGGTCAAGCGGAGAAGAGAGACGAGTAAGAGGGAAGAGAGATCAGAGGTAAGCGCTTAATGAGTGCATCTGATCTGAGCTGACTAAGCTCTCATAGACCACCAGCTGCATGTACCGTGGTGCTGTAGGCACTTAACTTGGCGCTGGGGGTTCTCTCAGACCGGTGGCTGTGGCTTACTAAGTGCCATGTCACACTCAGTGACTCATTATGGGTAACATTTCTCCTATGCTCTCTTCCACTGGCTTGACCCTCTGGGGTCGGCCAATCTGTTTGACATCTTTTGTCAGCAGACCATAGGCTTGATGCTACTGTGTCAGCCATGGTGCTTAGCGTCTTTTGCTGGCACCAGATTCCTCCATGTGTCACTCCCTTGGCCTCCCTCCCAATTGCTCCAAGTGCACCCCCTAGGTGGGTATCCATCCATGGCAGATGTTTTATGAGTGCAATTTCTTTGACATGTTCCGTGAGTTTATTAAATAGTCTGTCATTCTCATTTTTTTTAGGCTCATCATACAAGCAGCCATTGTTTATAAGGGGTTGCCCTCATCTCTCGCCATCGTCCCCCATACCCATGGGCTCCTCAACTGCCAAAGCCTCGAAAAAGACCACGAGCTCCTCCACTTCAAGGCATCAAGCTTCTGTGTCCCAACCAACGTCCCAGCCACCGAAAGGCACCAAGCACAAGAAGAAGAAGAGTACCAAGCACAAGAGGAATGACAACTCCGATAGTGATGGTGAGCCCAGGGGTAGGAGCCAGACGACCAAGGGTCCACGTACGAAGAAACGATGGACACAACCAGAAGACAATGCACCTCAGAGTGGGGATGAGGACGAGATTCTCCTCCATAGGTGTTTGTCCAACTGGGGCACTCGACACTGACCTTTCCTCAGAGAGGGCATTGAAGAATTGGACATCTTCAGTGTATGACCACTTTGATATGCCTCCCACGATAAAGAAGGATGCTGATGGTGAGGTGAAGTATGTCTTCACCTGCAAGAGGTCCATCGTCTTTAGCTCCAATGGTTGATATGTATGTGTCACTGTATCTATTTGACGTCTTTCATTGATGGTGGTTCGTAGCCTCTGAAAGTGGGTCTGACATTGTAATAGGCATGGTACCACCCACACCCGTAGTCACAAAGACAATAGCACTAGCAATCTCAAAGGGCACGTGGAGAAGTGTGACCTCAAGGCGGTGCAGGAGAGGAATGGCCCTAGGCAACCCAGGATCGACGAGATCACATTGAAGTACACCGATGGTGAATTCTGCTACCTGACGGTAGAGTGGTTGACGCAGTGTCACCGGCCCAACACCATCATCGAGGATGCCCCACTGCAGAAGATCTTTTGACTGCTTAACCCGGCAGTCAACATTCACTCAGATACCATGACTGAGCATGACATCAAGGAGGTATATGAGGTCTCCAAAGAACAGCTCAAGCAAATGCTTAAGGTATGTTCTACTGCATCGCAGAAGATCTGTTCCACTCATGGCCATACAGGAGCATGATGGTCGCTTTCATGTTGCATTTGATGCATGGTCGGCACTGAACCACAACAAATTCTTGGGGATTGTGCTTGTCTGGTGTTGAGACAGGCACATTGAAGTCGTCACCCTGGATCTCATCGAGTAAGTCATTCAGCTTGGTGCCTTTATCTCTACTGATGTTCCCAAAGACTGACAGATGCACACATGGGGAAGTATCTTGTGAAGAAAGTCTTCGAGGTTCTAAGGGAGTATGACCTCCTGGAAGACATTTTTGGGCAAACAGGTGACAATGCGTCTAACAATGATATGACCTTGGATCATCTAGAGCGCATGTTCAAGGAGCTGAAGAAGGCAGTGCTTACAGGCTGTCACACTCAGATATGGTGTTTCACTCACATTCTCAACTTGATTGTAAAGGTACGTGTCTTGTTCCTGGGACAACATACCATTCTCATCATGTTACAGGCCATTCTGTCTCAATTCGAGGCAAAGTGGTGGGTCAAGCAGGCAAACAACGATCTGAGTGAAGGCCAAGGAGAAGACTCTGATGTGGATGAGGACGAGGATGACAAGGACAATGCATTGGATGCGGAAGAACGTGAGGCTTTGGAGGACCTTCACAAGGAGCTGGAGGACGAGGAGGACTGCATGATTGATGAGGAGTCTGATGCACGACCAGAGGTAGCCAATATGACAGCCAAGGAAGTCAATCTGGGTGTGTCAGCACTCACCAAGGTATGGCCCTTTCATTGAATACATGGCCACTCAGCTTTGACTGACCACTGGTCAGCTATTGAAGCTTGGTAAACGAATTTTCCATAAGAATTCCCTTCAAGTGCACCTCAAGATGCTCTGTGAGAGTGAGGGGATTGCCATCCTCCAGATGATTTGCCATGTCATCACCCGCTGGAACACAACATCTAATGTCATCAATAGAGGCATTCAGTTGCAGCCAGCTCTCGATGCACTCTGTATTGAACATGAACAGAACGAGGGGAAGGCTCCGATGAAGTGATTGAAACGCTTTCTCCTGTCAGATGAGGAATGGAAGGTGCTCATACAGCTCCAGCCGATTTTGGAGGTATGTGCAGCACAACATTCATTGATTGCATTTGGCTGACCATCATGAGCAGATATTTCTCAAGGCGACAGAGCGTATCTCCCATTCTGCAGTTCCACTGTTGCATGAGGTCATACTGACCATGGACAGCATCACGAGAAAGCTCGAAAAGTACCTTGAGGATGCAACCCTTTACCCAGCTGTGCGTGCTGGCATCGCATGTGGTCTTGCTATCACTGACAAGTACTACTCAAAAACAGATGAGTCTATCATGTGGAAGACAGCAATGAGTGAGTTCATGGTGATGTCCTTGAGATTGTCTGTCTGACCTTGTCATAGTTATGCACTCAAGATACAAGTGTAGCTACTTCAAACAGCAGGGGTGGCTGCATGAGTGGATCATGATGGTGGAGGAGTCTGCCTGGGATACATGGACAACATACTACTTGCCGACAGTGTCCAAGTTGCCAAACGCAGAGACAGTGGTAGGTGGTTGACCTCTCAGAAGTTATGAGTGCTGACAAGTTTGTATTTAACAGACAAAGAATGAAGATTTATTTGCTGATGTCAATAACTATAGGCATAGCACTGAAGGAGATGTCTTCGAGGCTTATATCAATGATCCAGTGACAGACTGTGGTGATCCAATTATACATTGGAGTGCGAAGTTGGACAAGCGGGATGCGAAGTCGAAGAAGAAGGTTGTTACACCGATGGGTGCACTTGCAAGAATGGCACTCGGTTTTTTGTCTGCCCCTGGTATGTCCTTTCATGTCAGTAACTGATGGTCCTAATAGATGATCATAGCAGCATCAACTGATGTGGAACAAGTTTTCTCTCATGGCAGGCTTGTGCTCAATAAACGCCGGCATAAGCTATCTGTGGAGTCAACACGGGCAAATATCATACTGAACTCTTGGGGCAAGGTGGAGGATCTCATACCCAAAAAGGTTCTTGTGAAGAAGTTCAACGAGAAAGCATTGCAGCCAAATAATGGAGGGGGGAAAAAGAAGGCAGTGGTAGAGATCATAGACAGCACTGATGATGAGGGCGATGCAACGGATTCTGGTAGTAGTGAGGATGATAAGAACAGTGATGAAGACCATGGAGACCATTAGAATTAATTTTTAAAGCAATACTTTGTGTATTATATACGGATTATAGACAGGTATTCATACAGGTATTCGTAAGTACACGCATGTACCCGGGTGGGTGCAGGTACCTGCCACAGATGCAGGTACCCATGGCATGGGTCGGGTCATCCATGCCACGGATGTCGGCATGGATGATAGGTATGGCTTTTGAGCCACGGGTACCTGCGGTCATGGATATGGATGTACCTGGGTAGGCAATCATGAAGATCTTTACTTTATACCATTTTCATGCATTTTGCATGCATTTTGACCACCCCAAAATAGTCACCGGCCAGCTGTGTCAGGGAGAAATGTGACCATGTCTATCGCACCATTAGCAAAGACATTGTCAAACAACTACTGGGGGTCATCCTAATTTTCCTCATTGAAAACAAACAAAAGGTATGATTCATGAGTGCTACTCCATCATCAATGCTTTCTTCATAGCTTCATAGGAACTATCCAGGGCAGACATATGACAGAAAGATATCGACAAATTATCTTTGGCCCTTGGAACTGGGAACACCCACATCCTTAGGGAAAATCAAGGGTATGGCAGGTTTTGCTGGGTACCAGACCCTTACCTGGTGAGTATGGGTATGGGTTGCCTTTGCTGGGTGGTGGCTGTACCCGTGCCGTGAACCTGGGCTTTTTCAGGGGTGTTTTCATTATAGATTAGCCGTAAATGATAGATTAGACCAAAATAAACAATTTATGATGCCATCAAAAAATGTGTGATGGTGCCATGACTCGACCCGGCCCAAAACTCATGCGGGTTCCGGGTATGGGTCAGTCGGGTATGGGTCCAGGTCAGCTTCATGGCACCCATGGGTTACCCATGGTGAACCCTACACATCCTTCAACTTATCCATGAACACCGATTACATACTCTGGCTGCCATGAACCGATCTTTTGTGATGGTACAAAGTGTCCGTACTGAGGTCTTAACAGTGGAAATGATTTTCAACCGGCACCAGGGAGGTAAGTATTTGTAATTGACTTGCAAACATTATACTACAAATTCAACTTGAACATGTATTTGAAGTGGAAGAGCCTCTTCAATAACCGCTAAAGCAAGGTATGAAAGTCATCGAACGATGACCGCTAGTTGATATTGTGGAGGCAAAGTCAAGACGGGGCTCAAATTTGGCTCAGATTGGCCTCACACATGATGTTCAATTTCATGTTAGCTAGAGAACGTCATTTTAGCCCTAGTTTGATTCAATCTGGTCGTTATCTACTCTTGTCATTGTGCTATCCTACCAGCTACGTCAATTTGGCCTTCCTCCAGATTGGTGGTGTACTACCCATCATGGGCATGGCAGATAACTGGCCGTGGGAGTCCAGTGAAATGGGCAGTAAACCCCAACACGCACTTCAAGCAGCACACTCGCAAAATCCCACATGCCCATGTAAACCATTGTAAAGAACAATCTACGCTTTAGAAGTTGCGTATAATTGCACATCATGCCTTTCGGCATCTAAAGATACAGCTGACTTTACACTACCGCTAAATCCCTACTTGGTCCTCTTATAAATCTTATCGAGGAAACTCTTAAAGACCTCCCTCTTCAACGTGCTCTTACCCTCAACCTCCGGGATCTCCCCAATCATCGCAATAAGCTCGCCGTAAACCTTCTCCTCATACACCCCATACCTCTTCCTCAAATCCACCTCGGGACTCTCAAACACGACTTTCACCCTCCTCTCGCACTCGGAATCCTTCCTCCCATAGTTCTCGTCGAGAACCCTCCGCTGCTCGGGCGTACACACCGCCAGAGCCGTATTCACGCACCACGAACACTTGTTATCGAGGATATCCGTGCCGATTTTCCCGATCTGCTCGGGCGTGCCGGAAAAGTCGAGGAAGTCGTCCTGGATCTGGAAGTACTCGCCGAGAGGGATGAGGATGGACTTGGCGAGGGCGTAGGGCTCGATGGTTTGGTTCCCGGATGGGTAGGATTGTGGGACGTGCGACATGTACATGGCGAGCGCGACGGGGAGGTAGAAGGAGTAGTATGCGGTTTTGTAGATCACGATCAGTGAGTGCCTTCATACAACAGTCAAAAACAAGCGCGACATCAACGGACACAGCACGTACTTTTTTAGTGAGAATTTGCTCAGATCGACCTCATCCTCCGGAGCCGTGATCAAATCGATGAGCTGCCCCATCTCCGTCTGGAACGTCGTCTCCAGGAAGAGCTCCAGAATGTCGACATAGTAGCTCTCTCCCCGGAAATGCTTCTTGAGGAGGTAGTATATCGCGGCTTCGAGCATGAACGAGTCGTTGATGGCGATTTGGCCAACTTTGGGGACGCGGTACCAGCAGGGTTGGCCTCGACGCGTGATCGATGAGTCCATCATGTCGTCCGAGACGAGGAAGAAAGCTTGGAGCTGCGAGCCGAACGCGTTAGAAGTGCAAGCGTGGAAGATAACGGAGAGTTGGACGCACGAGCTCGATGCCCCAGCCAAGCACCGCAGCCTTGAGGTACTCGTCGTCCGTCAGCGGTGTCCCCTTGATGATCTCGGCGGTATCGACGACGGACATGCCGCGGTTCAGCTTGCCTCCGGGGACGTTGTAGTCGAGATTCTGTTATCAGATTCAGAAATGAGCTCGTTTCCATTTTTTCCATAAGGCTCACTCACCCTCTCGTACCACTCAATCGCATCCTTGGGCATCCCCTCACCGGTAATGTAGTCCACCAGTTCCTGCTTGATAATCTTCCAGGCTCCTTCGAAACGCGCGCGGCGGGCTGCCTTGTCGGTAGACATGTCTAATGAATGTGGATGGACGTGAAAGATGGGTGCGATAAGAAAGTGGTGCTATATAGATGGTGGGTCGTGTCTGGGATTTTATTTGTTCGCTTATCCCCGGATATTAATTATTTGTTTCCTGATTCGGACACGTGCGCGTACCGACTCGGAGAGGGCATTCAGACTGGCGCCTTGTTCTTCCCTCATCGAGCTGAGACAAGATAACTCTTTGCATATTGAAGACAACATATTGCTACGACATCCCCCTCTCAGTCATGCCTAGAATACAGAATATAATACAACACGAAATGCATAAACGATGGATGACTCCGACCAAGAAGGACGTCAATGAAACATCCCAGCATACTGACATCTTGAACTATTGGGTATAAGACACCCGTTGATGTCGATATAGTCTTCGGAGGTGCGCAAAAATGGCAGATAGCACGACCTTCCCCTCCGAAAACATTTATCCCTACCCCGTTCCCTCCGTCCATCAGCAGGGATTCCTCCAACAAGCACGGACTGTACGCACCTTCCGATTCAAGTTTCATCAGTTACTAGGACAGGGACCATCATCACGATGGAGCCCTTTCTCCTCCTGCCTTCCCCCGCTTCAACCATCTCGACGTCCCATTCGATCCTCCTGCGTCTATTCCGGCGCACAACCCAATATATTCCAATACTGGCAACCACGAGGATGAGCGCAAATGCCGAGAGCGGGAGGGTACCGTAAGGCTCAAATGTCACCAAAGTAGACATGGACGATGGGAGCAGATGCGTAGCGAGCGCACTTCAACAGGCGCGAACTGGGGAGCTGGATTCTTCACAGCGGTTTTTGTAAGCCAAGCGGCTAACCTTGGCTGACTCACTCGTCGCTGGAGCTTTATATGCGGCTAAAATATATCTCCGTATCGGGGTCCGGCGATTGAGTGGCGTCATTGTGTATGTAGATTCGTGAATTCACGGTGGGGTGACCGCAAAATGCCTCAAGCATAGGGTTCCAGACTTGCGGTACCGAAAGAGCGTGAGAGACGATGCTTCAGGTTGACGCCGTAAAGAGAAATAGGAAGCTCATGTTCGCGGACCGTTTGTGTCAGCAGAATCACAAAGCAGGGCTGCCATTCCGGTGCAATCACAGAGAACAGCGCTCGTAAGAACTCTGAAGGCACGAAGTATGAAAACACAGGGGAGAGGAGAGCAAGACAAGAGGAGCCCTTATTCAAAAGAAACCGACAATGATAGGGGGAGGAGAAAGGGTATTATTCTGTGCCGCATATAATGCCGCGGCATTTTGGCGCCAAGGAAAATCCCAAGCCCGTTCACCTCGTCTTGGCAGAGGCCGTTCTCCACCGGACTGTGGAAGCATTATATTATCCAAACGGACCTCGAGAACCACCCCTGGCATCACCCCACGGTACATGATGATACGGCGGACGAGACTGGAAACCGAAGCACATCGGTCGACGTTGAATTGGTGGGAGAAGATCCCTACTGAGGTCTACGCTGTGGTGTGTATATGAGTCACGCGCCTCGATTCATACACACAGGGAAACGTTCGAAATGGATGCAGAGCTTTCCAACCTGAGACGAGGGGTGCTCAGCATTGCAGGATGATCCTACCCCCAGTAATCAGACTTTGAACACACGAAAACTGGTATCACACAGCGGATATAAGGCCGAGATACGCGTCGTACAGGTGAGTATCATATGTTTACACGGCAAACAGGGACTGCACTGAGCCTGCCGTCTGGCAGAAGCATAGACCATGACGGCAGAATCGATGATGACGCGAGCTGTTACGAGGAACCGTGAGGACGACTTTCACATCTGAACCAAGGGTACACACCACGGACAACATTACATAGAAACGACGGTCCATCCTTCAATAATGATCATGCACAGCAATAAGCCCCGTAAACGATGAAGCCAAATCCAGCATTCGCACCATTCTGTCCGATATCAGTCAATCTAGCTAAAAGGATTCGAGTCAGCAGAGAAGAACCGACCAGAGTGGATCCCACCCAGGTCGAGCCGCAACTGCGTATATCGACTACATGCACCAGTACTGAGCAATATCGGAAGGATAATACCTTACGCAGCAAAAAGGAACTGCGCTGGCCTTGCGGTCTGGAACAATGTTAATCATTGTGAATGTAGATATCACCTAGCCTGCAAGGGCATCTCGTTGGGTGCATATACATGTGTGATATGATGCGACGTACCAGTTAAGATCTCTAACCTGGAAACGGTGATGACGATGAAGGCTGCCCAGCGACCCGCAATACCTCGTGATCGGCGAGGACGCGACGACCTAGACACGGGTATCTGTATATGCATACATCTCATCAACGAACAGGCCGGGAACCAAGGTCCATGACTCACCTGAGAAGAGGAATAGCCATATCAAGGCATCGATATATCATGAACGCGCCCTATTAACAAAAGCGTGCTATCAGTCCTTTTGAGGGCGATGCCGTGGCGTTCGAAATCGTGTTGAAGTCGCGTCGCCATCACGTTACATAGGCCATATACAGCAGATGATGGCATTGAGAAGCAAATAGAGGGAAAGGACGTGTCGGGTGATGCCAGACATGGTGGTCAGAAGGAAAGGGACACCGTGGGATTTTTGCTCCGTTTCGGTCCAAGCGCGTCCAATTTCACAGTTACGATGAGTTGGGTGTACTTAGGCCTTAAGTCCCTCTCCTAGGAGGTAAGTCTTGTGCACTAGGATAGGTCGCATAGGACGCGGTGGGATCAAGATAATGATAAATATATTAGAATCCAAAATCATTACACGAACATATACAATCTAAGTCCCTCACAGAGTGTACCGAAACTGTTAGCCCTATGAGTATTGTATATCTCTGAAAATCAAATAGTTAGACTCACATGAGGATTCTCAAAATCCGTCAGATCCGATTCTCCGTTAATCTTTCCCTGCATTTCTCTCTCCTCCTCGGTCAGCCCATCCGTGAGCATAGCCTTATCCCGACGTCTATTCCGCAATACCAGAGTCATACGCCAGGCTGTGACAAGGTTCATAAGTAAGGTTAGTCTTACGATAACAGAAGACTGCACGCACCAACAATGACAAGGAAATCCAGCCCGAGGCATACGTTGCATGCGATGACGCCCGGCATGTAAGTTGGCTAGAAAATAAAATTAGGAAGGGTCACTAAAGAAGGCAGAAGCTTACAGTGTCCTTGGCTTTGAATATCTGTGACCCGCATATGTTTCCAGCACAGAAACTTTAGAAAGCATGTTGAACATTAAACATCGAGGGAAACCAGGAACACATACCAAATGAACGTAAACGAGGAAGTGACGGTTCGCTTAGTACGCCCGGGAACGTTCGAGGGAATAAGCGTCCACCCCAAGTACCTACTCAGCCTACGAAATCTGTCGAAGATTTGGTTAAGGGCTGAGTAAATTGTATACGTTGGTAACTTACGGTCATGAGATACATCCCCCATTTCGTCCACTGTTACGGGCGTTAGACTGGTACAGGTAAAACCATGACTAGTGAAGACCTTAGTAGATGCGCTCGACTCGATGAGAGCCATCCCAAGGAAACCAATGAATGGAGGGATCGTCGCAAGCGCCATGATATACAGACGGAGGTTCTTCCACTTTGATGTAACCTGTCATTATGTCAGTTTTGCAGCAGCGGGTAGAGCAGATCAGTGCGAACCAGCCCGACAATGACGAAGATCACTAGTCTCGTTACCATCCTGTATATGAAGTCCCCAGCATATCTATTACGCAACGTTAGAGCTTCCAACATATCACGATGAGATGAAAAATATCGTTCACCATGTATATCAATCTGCAAAAAAAAGTAAATGATGTGTGTAAAAAAAGGGGGAACACGTACAAAGTCGTGCCCGTCCTCCAGCGCTGAAGGATAATATTTGATGGAAATTCGAAACACATATAAGTAAGGAAGAAAATCGTTGTTAGCCTAATTCTGAAGTCTCGAATTTTGATTGGGTAGACAAAAGTCGGAGCACTCACCATGAGTACTGTTGCCCAACGAGGCCAGTGTCTTCACGCAGACCGAATACGGCCATCGTACCTGACCCTTTCAAGATTGGTCTGAACTGGCATAACGGGCTTGACGTACCTAATGCTATCTTGTCGGCTGACTGAATACCATCTAACAACATAAAATATCAGCCGCTGAGAGTGATACACAAAATATCACTGACAACATAGCCACATGAGTGGAAGAAGATAGTAGTCTGCCTTGAATTTGAGGTTCTTGTACTGCTCGGGAGTGTACTCGGTCAAACTGGGTCCAGCGAGCGGTACATCGCTCAGCTTGAAATCTTCCTTCCTAGTAAAATCACAGCGAGTAAAACTCAAACAGAGATATCTGCTAGGATGCATAACGGAGCAGACTCACGATACAGGAGATTCTTCGTTTCTTGGGGGCGTTCTTTGCATTGTGACCTGGACTCAGGAGAAAGCTATTGAGAGAGTACAAGAGGAAGCGGCCAGGGTGCTCGAAATAATAGAACTTCAGCAAACCTCAAAAGTCCAGTCTAGGTATGTGCCTATGGAGTGATGTATATATACCTAGATAATTATGAGCAGTATCAACATGTATTCAGTTCACTTTGGCCCTGTCAGCGTACCGTATTCATTTTCTACTGCGTATCGGCGGATGCATCCTTTCCTAGCGATTGTGTTGTTGAATCCTTCACTATACAGCGTGTTTCACTGTGGCTTGAGGCTCTAGTAGCATGTACATGCTCATAGCGCTCCGTCGTACAGTTTGATGGAATGGCAACGTACTCTGACATATGATATGCGGATCACCGTGTGGCCACATATCATATGCTGAAGTCTTATGCCCTTCCGCATACATGAAACTAGTTTGTTCAAGAAGAATCATCTTAGCACTTGTACATTCCATCCCAATGACGAGTCGCTGTAGACGCCATGTCATTCGTATTCAATCAAGGCACCAAGCATGCTAATGATCATCAGTCTCCCTATCTGTGTTACGGCGTCAATGGGTAACGTCGCAATAAACCCCGTGAGCAGCATGAGGCTATATCTTAAAGTTACTTTCCGACAAGGAATTCAGAACGACAATTGGAATCTTCATATGCTCGTCACAGCTTGTATCGAAGTCATCGAAACAGTCCTAGTCCCTTACGGAGTATCCTCGAACTACTGTGCATGATAAGGATCGGATGTCTAGGTATGAATTTGAGAGACGACTTACATGTGGGTCCTTCAAGTGCGTCAAATAAGAATTTCACCTTGAGTTAGCAGCACACCCGTAAGCATAACCCTATCGACGTCCATCGGGTCTACAGTCATCCACCATGAGGCTACAACAAGACTTAGAGTTAACATCACTCCTTGACGATATCGAAGACAATACGCACCACCAGCAAAGACCTCTGACATGTACAGCAGCTGCGGCTTTCATAAAAGAATACTTGTATGCCTGAAAATGTAACTCTCAAGTTACACGAGGAGCAGGGACGCTGCATGAGAAAAGCAAGAAAGGTTTGAGGCCATCGAAGTGGTCAGAAAGAGAAAGTTATTTGGCAGCCAAACACCGACGTTTCACGGCCACGTGGTTAGCTTCTCATTGACACCTACCGCTTGCCTGCCCCGAGGCCTCCAAATATTGATCCTTCGATGCTGAATCCAAAGGCTAACATTACAATAGAGCGTGTGTGAACATGTTTATACTAGTAACTGAGAATCTATGCATTAAATATCCATGAAAAATAACATAAATTATACATCATGCACCGTAACCTTTACATAGTATATCGGAACTATCATAATTGATGAGCACAGAACGCTCACACGAGGTGAACATTGGAAAGAAGGTGCTCACATGTGTGTTCTCAAAATCCGTCATATCAGACTCGCCGTTAATTTGTCCCTGCGTCTTTCGTTCTTCCGTTAGTCCATCCGTACGCATCACCTTGTCTCTGTGTCTGTTCCTCAAAGCGAGAGTTACACGCCATGCTATCATTAGATGTTCAGTTAGACTCTCATGACGGTCAAGAACAACTGGCATACCGACTATGACAAGCAAGTCAAGCACGAAGCAGATGCTGCATCCGATAACCCCAGACGTGTACGTTGGCTGCAAAGGTAAATTATCAAACGGAGGAGAAAAGAGTATAGCGCTTACCGCCTCTTTTGACTTGAATATCTGTGATCCGCACATGTTGCCGACGCAGCCACTATAGAGCATTTTCAGTCACAACTGATAAGATTTGAACGGTTGTAGTTATTCTCACCAAACGAAAGTGAATGAAGAGGTCACTGTTCGCTTGGTGCGTCCGGGAACGTTGGCAGGAATCAGTGTCCATCCCAAGATTGCAGTAAGGACGGCTGGCGTCTATCGCTAGTCGTTGAGCAAATGGCAAGTAAATAATATTTGACGTACAAGCATGCAATACATACCCCATTTTGTCCACTGAAAATGGCGTAATCAGAAACCAGGACAGCAGGCACGAACGTTAGAAGAATGCGAACCTTTGTTGACCCTTTTGTCTCGATAAGAGCAATACAAAGAAATCCGACGATGGCCGGGATAGTTGTGATTGCCATAATGTACAGCCGCAGGTTTTTCCACCTTGACGTCACCTATCCATCCGCCTTGGTGTACTTCAAGTAATGCAGAGAGTTGCGACATACCAATCCAGCGATAACTAAGCTGGCGACACAAACTATCTCCTGCGGTATACTGTATAAAATTACTTGAAGCGGTGCTGTACAAGTCAGGCAAAAAATAAATTAATGGTCATCCTGGCAGAAAGATACGTACTGAAACCAAAGCTTGCGTTGATGATACTCCCAAACGCCGTGAGACCGCCGGCAGGTACCTGTGGAGCTGTTAGCCCGTAAACCCGAAATAGACAAGTCCGGCCATCGTACTGCTACCAGAAGGGTATTAAAAGCAGAAAAATAAAACTGAAAGAAATCAGAACCGTGAGTGACACAAAACGAACGCGGCAGATGCCCGTACACATGGATCTACCAGACATTCCCGAACCTGATACCACTTCCACTCTATTGTGCTTGTCTTATCATGACCGCTCTGATTTTCCAGAATCCTCGTATTAGCCATCCGTTTTTCCTCTTTCGTCAACCAAGGGACGTCGGACGGAGTTCCCAGGACGTAAAGACAAAGAGCACCAATGGCCACGGTAAGTGGGCCAAGGAGCTTCAGAAAAGTAAGCCAATGCAAGTCAGTAGAAGATGGTACGTACATAGGACATGTACCTCCACGGTTGGGAACTCTTACCATCACTCCCGATTGTGCCAATTCCGTAGAGGGCCAAAAGGGCGATGACGCCGAATCCTGAGCCGGCACTCTAGTCGTGTACATCAATTCGGCGGATCAGGGAGGACGAGAGAAACCGAAGACTAACCTGGAATACTAATATGCGCGAAGACTGTTCCTGCCGGGTGTACCAGCTGCCGATGATTAAGATAAAACCCGGAATGAGACAACACTCAAAGAGTCCTTGTAGGGCACGTAAGGCGATAAGATGCTTGAAGTTCTTGGCTTTGAAAGCAGATCAGTTTTACGATGACTACGAGAAAGTCTCAGAAGACAAACCAAAACCGGTACACAAAACGACAACCCCCCAACATATCTATCAAACTGTGTTAGGGCTTCTAACACGTCATGACGAGAGGTGAAATATTCTTTACCACGTATATTGACCTGCATAAGAAAGAAATTTGATGATACGCTATTTATCAAAGTGAGGAGACACGTACAAAGTCTTACCCATACCCCAGCGTTGAAGGATTATATTGGATGGAAATTCGGAACACATGTAAACGAGAAAGAAAATTGTTGTAAGCCTAACTTTAATCTTAAGATATGATGTAACGACACTGAATAAATGACACTGACCATGAATATTGTTGTCCAACAAGCCCGGTATCTCGCGTAGACCGAATATGGCCATAGTACCTGTAAAAATCTCGTCACGGCAGATCCGAACTCAACAACGAGTTTGACGTACCTAACACCGACTTGTCCACTGCGTGAAGACCGTCTAATGATGGAGGGAGAACATGAGCTACTGAAGGTGGTACACAATAGTCACTGACAACATATCCACATTAGTGGGAGAAGGTGCCAATCGATCTTGCGTTTAAGTTTCCTGTACTGCTCGGGAGTATACTCAGATGCAGCGACAGTCAGTGGTACACTGTCAATTGGCAGCTCTCCTGATTTCCTGTGTGCAATAATATGAAAAACAAAACGGCTGTCAATAGGTACGAGCAATAAACTCACAATACAGAAGGTTTGGTCTTTTTAATGGGTGTTTCTTGCATCATGGTGTAGGACTTGTTCGGCGAGTCTGAGACGGAATAACAAAAGTAGTCTCCTGACACTATTGGTTCCGCTACCTAGCAAAGAACAACGAAAGAGTGACAAGGAATATCACGCATCTTCGACAGGCTTATATACCTAGATAATAAGCAATGTCAGTGCGCATTCCGTTCACTCTCAGCTCTGTAAGAGTACTGTATCCGTGCATCGCCAGGTCCTTAGTCCTACGAAATTCTTCATTAGGCTAGGTCCACCTTGGTTTTGCTGTCGCGAGGGGCTCTGACGAAAAATCGAACGCGTTCCTCATTGTTGTCATGCCGTCAAGTCAGAAATCTAGTCCAACCTGCAACCCGCCTCTTTACGATGGATCCCGGTGCGCTTCATCCACCTAATTTCCGCCGCACCGTTGAACTCGGATATTCATGAATGGTCGCCTTGTGCATTCCTTGCTGACAACTCCTGACCTTATTACCGGATTGCGTCTGCCGAGCGCATTCTCGATTCGGTATAGTCTGGTAGATGAGAAGCGTTGCAATGAAACCCATGAGCCTTGAGGGATGCAGACACAGAGAAGCGACACGTAGTTGTAAGGACGAAAATGAAACCTTCATATTTACAGCAAGTTGTGTGTCGGAGTCGTTATGAATAATGCTAAGTCAACACCCTGCCTCAGAGAGTATAGCGGAACTAATTAACGCGATGAGCAGGCATCTAAGTATGGAGATGAGAGAAGACTCACATGAGGATTCTCAAAGTCCGTCATATCGGATTCTCCGTTAATCTTTCCCTGCATTTCCCTCTCTTCCTCGGTCAGCCCATCCGTGAGCATCGCCTTATCCCGACATCTATTCCTCAACACTAGGGTCGTCCGCCAGGCTACGATTAGGGTCCTAATCAGCGTCATTCTATCATGATAATGAAGATTGCGCGAACCAACGATGACAAGGAACTCTAGCCCGAAGCATATGCTGCATCCCATGACTCCTGGCGTGTAGGTTGGCTAGAAAACAGAATTATGGAGGGGATCAGAAAAAGAGGGCAGGGGCATACGGCATCTTTCGTCTTGAATATCTGCGACCCGCACATATTTCCGACGCAGTAACTGCAGGATCACGTTGAGCAGTAAACATCAAAAACAGACAAGATAACGCACCCGACAAACGTAAAAGAGGACGTCACTGTTCGCTTGGTACGTCCAGGAAGATTCGAAGGAATGAGCGTCCATCCCAAGAACAGACTGAGCACAAACGGAACCTGTAAAGGTTATCCGTCAGGCCGTGCGCAAATCACATTTATAGACGTCGTACAGTCATATAGTACATCCCCCATTTCGTCCACTGTTAAGAGTATCAGAACTGCACAGGTAAAATGACAAAATAAATGAGGACCTTAGTAGACACGCTCGTCTCGATGAGAGCCATCCCAAGGAAACCAATGAATGGAGGAATCGTCGCAAACGCCATGATATACAGACGGAGGTTCTTCCACTTTGAAGTAACCTATTGCTATGTCAGTCTGACTGCAGCGTGTGGCGGCGAGCAGAGAGCGGCACGAACCAATCCAACAATGACGAAGATCACAACACTGGTCATACTCCGAGGGATAGTATACAAGATCACTTGAAGAGACGCTTTACGAGGATACAATTAACGGTTAGTCGTGGTGTCGAACGAATGTACGTACTGAACCCAAAACTGGTGTTAATGAGGCTTCCAAACGTCGTAAGGCCCCCATTAGGCACCTATATAAGCGTCAACAAAGTTCCGCAGACCAAGGAGGTAAGCCTACCGACGACAGAAAGGCGTTTATTCCTGCAAAGTAAAACTGAAACGATCTCAATATGGCACAAACAGTTTCGACGTTGAAATCACATACACATGGATCGACCAAACACTCCCGAGCTTGGTCCCACTTCCACACCTTCGTACCCGTACGGTCATGTCCACTCTGGTTCTCGAGAATCCTAGTGTTGGCCATCCGTTTTTCCTCCTTCGTGAGCCAGGGAACTTCGGATGGAGTACCGAGGAAGTACAGGCAAAGAAGCCCGACCGCAACGGTGAGCGAACCGAGGAACTGCCAACAAGTAAGCAGGCATGGGGCGGAAGAAAGATATGGCGTACATACGACATGTACCGCCATGCCTGGATGTCCTCTCCATTATACTCGAGTGTACCAATTCCGTAGAGCGTGAGATCAGCGATGACACCAAATCCTGCATTTGCGCTCTAGGCGGAGAAAAGGTAAGCGCAGCAAAGGAACATGAGAACTAGCTGACGAACTTGGAATACTAGGGAGCGAGAAGAATGTTCTCGGCGTGTGTACCAACTTCCGATAATGAGGATAAATCCCGGGCTGATACAGCATTCGAAGAATCCTTGCATAGCACGCAAGGCGATAAGGTGCTTGAAGTTCTTTGCTGCGGACTTGATCAGTGCTGGAAATAGTCGAGAAATTTGAACAAGGACTGACCAAAACCGATGCATAACACGACGACTCCCCAGCATATCTATTAGAAGGCGTCAGAAAGATTGAGAGATGGAGGATCAATTTACCATGTAGATCGACCTGAGTGTGAACGGATGTTATTGATAATGCCTTGGCAAAGAAGCAAATACGTACAAAGTCTTACCCATCCTCCATCGTTGAAGGAGAATATTGGATGGGAATTCGAAACACATATATGTGAGGTAGAAAACCGTTGTCAGCCTCATCGGGAATGTCAATGATTAGGGATGTATCATAGAAAACGGTGATCTACTCACCACGAGTATTGTTGTCCAACCAGGCTTGTGTCCTCACGCAGACCGAACGTCGCCATAGTGCCTGCAAGACGTTCAGGATTTGTAGTGAAAGTCAGAGGGGTTTGCGCACTCAGCCCCGTCTTGTCGGCTTGCTGGATACCGTCTGATAACGAATGTATTAGAGCTGTAGGATGCTGCACGCGTAGTGACTCACAGCAAAGCCACATGAGTGGAAGCAGATAGAAATCCATCTTGCGTTTCAACTTTTTGTACTGCTCTGGGGTGTACTCAGACGCGTTAGTGACTATGAACGGTGTTCCGGTCAGCATCGTCCTATCCCGGCTGAAATGACTGAGATACTTACCTTCAGTGTCATCTTGGGCTCCATAGGCGATTGCCTCGACGACGACGTTCTTCTCGTCAAACGAGGTCTTCTCTTGGGTTGCAGAAGACATAGTGAGCTATGGACGAAGAACCCCCGGCGGACATCGAAGAATACTATATACATTCCAGCGCCAAGAATACTTCTGATGGGAAATCCGCCATGCTTATCGTGCCGGAATAACCGTCTTATCATTCGTTTGTAGCAGCATGGTAGTGCTTGGATATGAAGCTGCCGTATAGCTGCGGCTGCGAAGGGCCTTAGGGTCCAGAAGAACCACACCAATTGATAGGAACGATAAAGCAGATACTAGTATCAAATAAGATTCGCATTTCTTCTCGGAAAAGGGAGGGAACCTACGCAGGCCGGTATCAGGCAGGTACTATCGAAGAAAGTCTAGCGGTCAGATGAAAGGGAAGGAAGCGGCCCGAGATAGTAGGTCAGGCAAGTTTGATCGACGAGTATAGCGCAGGAAATCAGAAAACAGGACTCGAACAATGGTAGATCTTGAAGGTGATCTTGTGAGCGAGTTGATAAGATAAACAACAAAATATCTCGTACAAAAAGCGTCAATGGTATGTTGCTATGCCAATCTACGGACGGAATTAGTCCACAATAATGAAATGGTTGAAACAACTGGAAGTTGTACCTCATTCAGCGAAAAGATGAGCAAGAGCGCCGTAGAGGCTGAAAGCTAAAGATGGGGGCCTTTTTTGTGAGATAAGGATGTATGTGGTCCGTTGGCACGAGGGCAAACGAAAGCGTAGACGCAAGCGAGAAAATCGGATTCGGTCCGAGCACCGGTACGCGTTGTTGCGGCTTGTTTGTCTGACGACCTCGTGCCTCCTACCGTCACCAGCTCCTGCCAGTATTTTCTGTATCAGGTTCCTCTTTCTCAAGCGCGACGTACGGTTCTCTTCTCTTGTAGCTGTTGCAAAGTCTGCCGCATTTAAGCATGCCGAAGCATCGGAGAGTTCCTCGACAAGCGAAGCTCATCAGAGAATGGAAGGCAATCGTACACATGCTCCACCTGTTTTGACGTCTACTCTCTAATCTTTCTGGTAGTGGAACGGTGGTACCACCAGGACTGTCCGGATTCTCTGTTGTCATGGTTCACACCCTAGACCTTGCTTTCGCTTCCTGGCACCCAGCAGATAGCTGCAATCTAGACCAACCCGCAATGCATTACAATACCAATGATGGATCTTGGCAACAAGCGATCGCTATGCGATGTATTCTGCGAGCTTGGATGACATCCGAATAGCGGAGGTCTCTTCAGTAAGTGTACTCAATGATCCACTGACACCTTTGTCACATCTATTTCGCTAGAAGAAAACAGTCGTACGAGCCCGCTATTCTCAAAGTTACACCCTATACTGGAGGACAACGAACCGACTGCACTGAGGTACCGGACCTCCGAATACCACCTCAAGCTCAGATTGCGGCCATTGTACAGTTCACTGCGGTGAACGTTCCTGTCATTCGGTAAGGTTTATTTTATTCAACGCTCGAGAGACAGTCGTGCTTACCATCGTTCGCAACAAAGATGTTAGTACTGCAGCACAATTCCGTGGCACTGGGGCTTGAACTACATTAACGTGTTCAGTACTCGATCTCAACTGCAGGAGGTGGAAGACATACCAGCTAACGGCAGACTGGGCGATAACAATTCTGGGTAAACTGCACCCAAGTCCGACATACTTGGAGGGGTCTAGCGGTCCAGCGTCGACGTTCAAGGCTGCGAGGGGAGCCTTGTTTGTGATGACGACATTCTCACAGCACTGAACGAGTTGGTTGTAGCCAGAACAACGCTGTGTTGGCGTCTCCGCGACTGCTAATGCTGCGGTGGCAAGGATGAGGAGAGAGCGCAAAATCTTGACCATTGTTGGGGCCGAGAAGGTGAGTACGTCAAGCTGCTAGATAGATTTTATGTCTGAAGAAGCTTTGAAGGACGCGGTTTACCATGCGGGTGGCGCCCGAACAACCAAGAAATGTTATCATGTTGTGATACGCGGTATCGATGCCAAAGAAGAGACGTAGCGCACATGGACACGCTGTCTATGCAACATCGTTTTTGCGAAACGGATCAAGTTTTTAGGCTGACATGTAAGGTTCGAGAATTGATGCTTTCGCAGAACAGTGGCCTAATGATTTGCAGAACAGTACACATGGCGGTGTATTCTGAAAGAAGCTAAAAGTTTCTGCTCGTGAGCATCTGGGAGCAATGTCGTGCCGCTAGAGGTCGAGGACGCATTATGGCTAGTAACTTTTTACGCCGGCCTCTACCACGTCGCTCGTGTTTATGTCGATTCTCATTCGCGAATAATAATCGCATTTTTAACATTTATGGGCCAGATACAGAGATAAAGAAACAGACGCATCCGCCAAAGATCCTGCCAGTGGGGCGTATCGGTACATATACCTGCAACATTCTGCAGTCCAAGTCAAGGGATGCCAACGTTTCCCCTTCCAAAACACCCATAACCTGAAAGATTTAATCCTGCTCGACACGGATATCCAAAAATAAGTCTGGTCGACTCTCGGGCCCAGAGCTCCATTAGACGACCCAGCGCCTCATCTGCTCGATGAGACTATTCAAATACGACGGCGGGACGTACGGTTTCGCGAGCCTTGCGCTGCCTGTTCTGTAAAGCAGCATATCCATGACCATTCCTTCGTCAACGTCATGCCACTGCCACTTGAGGTCCAGTGAGTTCACATGGGGGAGGAACAACGGATCCGTAGCAAGACGCCGGATCAGTTCGTGTGAGATAGGGCTGTACGGTCTGTATACAGGTGGGAGGGGGTCATGTACACCAAGATGCCGGAGCTCGGTAAGGGGTTCCAAGATAGTTATGAGATCTTCCACACAAATGGGTACCCGCCAGAGAGTGAGATGCTGGATCTGGTGGGAAAATACCGCAATCAAGTCTTGAGTGAGGTATTCCGCTTTGAAAGGATTCCTGACGGGACCGACGTAGATGATGGTTAAGTCTCGGAGTCGGGGAAGGGAGATGTCACGTCGGTAGAGGGGGAGATGCTCTTGGGTGAAGTAGGTGAGGCAGATGGTGAGCGAGACGATGTTAGATGCTAAATTGGGGCTTGGTAAGAGGAAGTGACGTGGGGGAGTACCATACATGGTGACATCGGTTATGTTGGGGAATAAGGACGTCGATTGAAAGTCAAGGGTCCGAAGAATAAGATGGCTGATTTGGGCGTAAGGGAAGGACGACGATGTGCTACCCGGGCGGACGTATTCCCCTAGATCTAACCAGTGAAGGTTCGGGGCGGTGGTGAACGCACGGAACTTCCATATGTCAAAGGGCTTTACACAGGTCAGCCGTTCGAGCGATGCGAGGTTTCCCAACCCTGTGAAAAGCTTCGCAAAATCCTGGAATTCTAAGGGAATGGAAGATATGTAGAGCTCGCGCCAGCGGTGAGCTTGTGTACGGAGTGAAGTTATAGTAGCAGATGTATAATTTTGTGTTGACCTTGATCCTTTCCTCCGCATGTCATCGTGCTTTCGGAACAGGAAAAGAGACAGTGGGTAGTTCTTTGAACGCCGAAGATAAACATTGATTAGCGCCGGCGGCATTGATATGTCGACATCTCGGTGTTCTCGGCAATGCTCATCCCTTGATATCAAGTATCGAACTGGAACGAAGATGAAGGACCACAAGGAAGCGAGCGAATATGATACGTCTCTCCAATAGACGCACACATGAGATATAGTGAGCATGCTGGAATGAAAACGGTCGCCGCGATAATCGTCCACAGCAAGTACCAAACTATTAATCAGATTGGTGAATATCTCTTCCAAGACATCAAGAGGGACTCCATGGATTGGTGTAGGCCTCTCGGTAGGTGCCGCCAGGGAAGTCTTTAAAGGGAGATAATTAGTTGGAAATTGTGAAAATAGAAATGACATGACATTTACCGCTTCCGGACCAGACGTCGACGTCGACAACGACAAAGCAGGCTCAGACGAAGCAGGATGGTATCTAGTGAGAGTAAGATAAAGCTAGTCGAAGGTGAAGGAGAGCCTACATGTCACGACTCATTTCGGAGTCCACAGCACTTGGGATTATAGAATGGAAAGTCTCAATTCCTGGGCCTGAGATAGAAGTGGCGTCAGCACGAGTGGTTCAGTCTGCATGAGCTAACTAACTTGGAGAGCGCTCAGAGGGATGTAAGCAAGTTCCCAAGAAAATGAACTCACTGTCTGAGAGATCAGAGGAGAAAATGACCCAGATTTTGGGTATCTTTAATACACGGATTGAAAGGGTGAAATGAAGGGTAATGACAAGCGCCGGTACCGCACGGGGTCAGCAAAGTGAGGCAAGGCATTTGTTAAACTATTTTCGGCACGCCGTATTTGGGTTGTCGTTGTTCCAATCTCAGCGAGGCAAATACAAGGGAATGGGTCGTAGCATCCAAGACCAGAAGAAGAGAGTCGCGTTGGATGGCAGAGCATAGTTCGGTTCCCTTGCAGAGCTCATGGACGTAACATACAAGTCGGACGAGACGGTACTCGCATCCCGAGAAAGGAGAAGGACCCTGAACCGCACAGCGCGAAACTCGGGCCGATGTTCCGCAACAACTTGGCTGAAATTTACTCAGTTCTCGACGACGACGCCATCGTTTCCCCCACGCAACTGTCCAGAAGTGTAACCACGAAAACACCGAGTCTCTTCAGTAGACTGCAACACAAAGCTGGATTTTCTATCAATCGATTGGTGCATGTCCTAGCCGTTATGGGATAGTGAGTCTTTTCGGCATATTTGCTGGACTGTACCGTAACTTTGAGCGTGATAGTAATTCTTACCATGGATATTTCTCTAAATCCATTTTTATATGGGGAAGGCAGAATCATTAAGTCCTGATCCTTCTGTCGCCATCTGCCCGTGGCCTGCGAAAACTTGATGCTTGAATTGCGCGACCGTCGAGCATCCCTCTTGTGTTCCTGATGCCCAGTGGCATTTTACGGCTTGGAATCGCAAAACAAAAACAATAGTCACCTTGACACCTATTTCGATGGCTTCGCCATTGTGTTCTGACACATAAATAGCCATCGACACTCTCCTCTCTCTATTCACCCACCGGACTCATGGAGTGGCCTCTCTGTCAAGAACTCAGCGACCTCGTTGTCGATGCTCTTGTTGAACAGGGCCAAATACTTCGCAACGCGGCTCTCCTCTCACGGCAGACTCTCCTTCGTACTCGTTACCACCGTTTCAAGCATGTCGTCTTACGCAGCTCCCGCGATTACGATAAGTTCTCCGATCTCTGCACCATCTCAAAGACCGTTGGGCTATTCGTTGATAGTTTGGAGATTTACGGGTCAAAACAAGATCAAGCTGCCACTCATGCCAGTGTGCTCGAGCGTCTTCTCGAATTGGTCGTCTCTGCCAGAGTAGTCCACTTCGTGAGAATCCCTTGGGGCCACCTCTCATTCATTGGAAAGTCCAAGGAGAAGCGCTACAAATTTTCTACGGTTTATCTCCGTGACACAGTTGTCGCGTCGTACCACGCATTGGCTTCCTTCATCGAGGCTTTTCCCAAACTATACGCATTGGCCTTGTTGTCCGTATCTTTGGGTAGATATGACAGCGTGTCCGACTTGCAGGAGGCTGGAAGCACCTCCATAATCCCCCGCATCCGCATACTCGAGTTCGAGGACTGCAAGGGTATACTTGTGCCCCTCGCTAACGATATCGCTCAGAATTCAGCCCCGTTGTCTGTACGACGTCTCCGCATTCTCCGTATCTTGTCTGTCCAGCAAGCTAGCGATTTGAATTCCATCAAGACTATCTTGGAGAAATCGGGTGGCTTGGTCCAAAAGCTTCGAGTGGGTATTATCAAAGCAGGTATGTCCTATTCTGATTTTCGATGTTGCTCTTGCATGCTAACTCTCCTCTAGATACTGACAAACTACCCATTTTTCTCTTTCCGCCCTTTGTAAACCATCTTCATCTCAGCTTATACGACTTCGACGTTATCAACGAAACGGATGTCTTACGATGGTGGATCAAATGCTTCTCCTGCCAGGACATCAAGCTATCCAATATCCACATTTCCCTGTCAGCCTACCCTCACTATCCTCACTTGCACCGCATTTCTGGTCTGTATGACATTGAGACTACGCTCAGGAACCCTCCCAGGTTATTTCATCTCGCCAAAAAGGAGCTATGGTCCGAGCTGGATAAAGCTCTAGCTCAGATTCAAGGCCTAAAGGAATTCGTGATCAGACTTTCAACTGAGAGTGATAAGGTGGACCTGGAACTGCTGACGGACGCGATTGATAAAGGGATGCCTCGGATGCGAGATCAAGGTCTTCTGGAGTTTACGACGAAGCGAGGTTGGAGGTAGACGATACTCAATGTGAAGATTTATTTGCATTGAGATCTACTTTGAGAATAGGCGCAATTCCCGAGTTCTTCGAGTACTCAATGCCCGAATTGTATTCCGTCTGTTCATGACTATCTATTGACTATTCAGGGTATCCGTCGTTATCAGTATACCTTTATTAATGATGGTCACCGAACGATATCGATATCCTAATTTTTGCCTCGGAAAACATTGCTGGAGGTCGTGCGAGTGATATTTTTTCCGCGGCTTGGTTGTCAAGAACTTAGTGGCATTGTTGTTCATACTCTCACGATTGTCAATCGATCACTCCGTGTTCTAGCCGGTCCAGTGGTAAATAACTCCCCCTTACCTCGAAACAGAAACCTGCTCTTTACATCATGAGTGAGAGTTCGAAGGCACGCAATAGTGTTGATGGAAACCCCACACAAACACGATCCCTCACCTCAAAACATTGCTGTCTCTGTTACGGGATAGTGAGTCTTCGGCACATTTGCTGGACTATCCCGTAAATGTGAGTGCGTGATAGTAACTCTGACGATGCCTCTTTCTCTAACTTGATGTCACCGTCTGCCCATGGCCTGCGAAAACTTGGCGCGGGAACTGCGCGACTGTCGAGTCGTCCTGATGGGTTCCTGCTGCCCAGTGGCATATTCAAACGGCTTGGAGTCACAAAAAACAAATAATAGTCGCCAAGGCGACGCGTTCTTCTATTTCAATGGCTTTGCCATTTTGTTCCCGCACATAAATAGCCGTCAACTCTTTGCTCTTTTCATTCACCCACCACAGACCCATGGAGTGGCCTCTCTGCCAAGAACTCAGCGACCTTGTTGTCGATGCTCTCGTTGAACAGGGCGAAAGCCTTCATGCTGCCGCTCTCCTCTCACGAGCGACTCTCTTTCGTACTCGCCACCACCGTTTCAAGCGTGTCGTCCTGCGCAGCCTTCATGATTGCAATGTGTTCCTTGATATCTGCAATGCTTCGAAAGGTGTTGCATTCTCTGTTGACCGTCTGAAATTCTCTGGTTGTTCGGATAAAGATCAAACAGTCGCGCGGGTCAATGTGATCGAGCAGCTTCTCGAATTGACCGTCAGCGTACGACTACTCCACTTCGAGCACATACCCTGGGATCACCTATCATTCATTTCCAAGGGAAAGTGCTACGACATTCCTGTGGTGGATCTTCATCATACAGTTGTCGCGTCGTACCGTGCTTTGGTTTCTTTCATCCAAGCTTTTCCCAAACTACACACGTTGGCCTTATGGTCCGTATCTTTGGGTAGATATGACAGCGTGTCCGACTTGCAGGAGGCTGGAAGCACCTCCATAATCCCCCGCGTCCGCATACTCGAGTTCGAGGACTGCAGGGATATACTTGTGCGTCTCGCTGACGATATCGCTCAGAATTCAGCCCCGTTGTCTGTACGACATCTCCGCATTCTCCGTATCTTGACTGTCCAGCAAGCTAGTGATTTGACTTCCATCAAGACTATCTTGGAGAAATCGGGTGGCTTGGTCCAAAAGCTTCGAGTGGGTATTATCAAAGCAGGTACGTCGTATTCTGATTTTCGATGTTGGTCTCGCATGCTAACTCTCCTCTAGATACCGATGAACTACCCATTTTATTTTTCCCGCCCTTTCTAAACCATCTTCATCTCAGCTTAGACGACTGCGATTATAGTAACGAAACAGATATCTTGCAGTGGTGGATTAAATGCTTTTCGTGCCCAGACATTAAGCTGTCCAGTATCCACATCTCCCTGTTTGCCGAACCCCACTATCCTCGCATGTACCAAGCTCGTATCACCAGTATACCTCCGCCTATCCTGGCGCCTAACGAAGAGATGTCATTTCATCTCGTCAAAAACAAGCAAGTATGGTCTGAGCTGGATAATGCTCTAGCTCAGATTCGAGGCCTCAAGGAATTTGTGATCAAACTTCCACCTCAAGACGAAGCACAGAAGCTGGAACCGCTGAAGGATGCGATTAAGGAAGGGATGCCACAGGCATTAGATCGAGGCATCCTGATGTTGAGGACGAAGCGAGGTTGGATGTAGACGGTGCTCGACGTGAAGATTCGTTGGCATTGAGGCCTACTTTGAGAGTTCGGATACCTTCTCGAATTATTCTTCTCCACGAAGACACATCATTTCATCTATACACTCGGAGACCATCGTTATTTCAAAGACGAGACATAATTGATAGAGCATTGTGCATAGAAGGATTTTATTCTATTCATACTTCGACATACAGGTCATCTCTTGTATGGGACCTACTTTCCTCACTTGTAACCCCGACCCCTCCAGTCTGCGAAGGGCAAGATCCTGAAAAAGCAGAGGCCAGCCCAGCGCGACTGACTTCAGAGGGACATCCGTCGCTCTACCACGATAACTGCTACAACCAATATGTCGGGATTTTATGAGATTTATCATTGCATCAGAAGAATTCATGACACAAGGCATAACCCAAGCAAGCTCGAGATGCTCGAGTTTGGGAAAAAGGGGGTCATGATCATGATCGAACCTCAGTTCGTTCAGAAGCGAATCCGATAGTGTCTTTGATGTTGCAAAGTCATGAACTGTCAGGCTGGCCAGGTCCGGCATCGCCCTGAACAACTCAATGAATTCCACGACCTCCACAACACCGGTAGCATGGGAAGTGGTAATAATCGTGAGTTTGCGTAGCGGCGGGCGGGAGCGCTGAATCAAGGATATGATAGTTTGTGTGTGGAAAGCTCCGCCGATGATGGTGAGATCGGTCAAAGCGGGAACATCGATGGATGCAAGGAAACAACAAAGAGTGTCGGTATTGAGATACATATTACGACAAGTGAAGGAAGTTAATGTAGGAAGGCGGACGAAGTGGCCGACGTCTCCCACTTCGCAGAGGCCATATGCTTCGACTGTAAGGGATCGCAAGCTCCGCATTCGAGAGAGATTGCGAATAACAGCACCAACATTTCCGGGACGGAATTCCAGGTTAAGTGTGTGTACGTGTTGTGGGAGGTCAATGCGAGAAAGCGGAACACCGTCGCGTATCGTAAGGGTATGGATGTTTGGAAGATCACATATGTAGCGACGATTACTTTCGCGCATGTAACCTTCCATAATGAGGCTTCCCACGCTACTTAGCAGACCATCTGGCAACCTTGCTATGGCTCGCAATGGCCCTCGAATTTCACGGAAGCGAAACTGATGGGCGACAAGGGTCTCAGCGACGATATCCAAGCCATCATCACGTATGATCACCAGCCTGGAACTCAAAAACCTGAGCGCCAGGGGCATACACCCCGACCGAAGTAGGTGAAGTTTGACTACTTTGTGGATAGACTGCCATCGAGAAGCAGGAAAGGGCCTTCGCGACGGTAAACGAACGACAATGTTCGACCATAAACTGGGAGAAGTAATGGTGACATTGCGCCAGCGCTTGCAGACCAGCCCCAGAAGAAAAGGGACACTTGATGGGTAGAGGTCCGACTCCTGCTTGCAGGCCTCTTCGAATATTTGAAGCAGGATATCATAGGGTAGTCGCCGAACTGGTGCAAGCAACGCGCCATAATGATCAGCGTAACTTCTCAGCAAGTCACGATCTCGATTCAGTTTCTCCGAAATACTCTGAATTCGGAGGATTTCTGCATCGTAGGCGTCGATTTCTTCAGCTATTTGCGAACGAAGGTTAGATATGGACAGAATTTCCAACTCTGAAGGGGAGTAGAGTTCACGGAATTTGAGGAAGACTCCGGATGAAGATATTTTGGGATCTTTCATAGAAGGTAAGCATCTGCTGCATTTGTGGCAGAGGATCGTGCATGGCCAGCTATACGAGTCGTCGATGCCTATAAGCGTTTAATTAAGTATATACCACCACTATACAAATCTCTCTAGGTCATACCTTCGGGGAACCCAGCCATTGGATAATTTGAGATGATGTCGATGGTGGTGGTCTAGAGATTCAGTCACAAATCGCCGTTCATCGATCAAGCGATGAGGATTCGAAGTGCGAAAAACAAACATGTCGCATCACGTGCCTGAGAAGGCTGCGGCACGCGCTTCCGAGTAAGTATGGTTGCCATTCAATTTGGCGACAGCAAAAGTAGACCACAAGTACTGAGAGTCTGAGACCAGCCTTTTCTTTAAACAAATGTAAGAGAAAGGCAAACGGTTGTATCATGATTTCGATGATAGGTTTGAGTAGGAGGACAGCCCAAGCATATCCAACGATAGACTCAACCTGAGGATTCAAAATATGCCGTCGCGGGTGCATAAAGAACAAAAATGGACACTAGGCACGCAAACGTGTCTATCGATGGCACATGGGGATGCAAGTGCAATATTGTAGTCGACACGGCCAAAATATAGAGACTTCAAGAAAGAGAAGGATGGTTGTATGCTTCATGGAAAAGAATTCGATACCACACTACTAACTTACATGAGCTCTAGTACCACTTGTGATACCCAGGGTAAAGGTCATCCTCGTCGAGGTCCGGGATTAAAGACGTGAAGGACTTCGCAGGTCGCTTTGGAAGCCTATATGGCGGCCCGTGGACTGCCTTTGCCAGTTCCTGACGAGTTTCGTTAAGACAAACCGAAAACTCCACAGAGGCCCGAACTCACCTCTACATCAACAACATTGTAAATGTACATGCTTCGAGATTCATCGTGAGGGTTTTTCTTTACCTCACGAGGCTTTATCCCATCCAAATGAACTGGCTGGAGCTACGGCATGAACATTAGAGCCTAAATATATTAATTAGCTAAAGAGAGAATGACGTACGGAATAGTGAGCTTCAGCATCAGTTTTGGTGATTGATCCATCTTTCTTTTTCCTTGTCACTGGGGGCCGACTTAGCGACTGCGAAGTAGAAGGGTCTTCACGAAGTCGCTCAGCTAGAGCTTCTACCTCGTCGATTTTGTAAAAGGTCACTTTTCCGCCATATGGATTATCCCTCTGCCTGGTAGGGGTGAGGGTATCGAGGTCCGCTGGCTTGAGACGGAATTCCTTGGCTGCATCTGTTCGCTTCTGTGTAACTGTTGAGCGTTTAATACAGAGTCCTCGAAGGATAGACTCACAATTGTTCTTCGGGTTCGAGTTCTTTTGGGTTTGGGCCCGGGCGTCACTGGTATTTCAGTGGTGGGAATGGCATACGGTATGGCCGCCATAGTCGTTGTCTGATCTAAGAAAGAAAATGACAAATATGTCAGTACAGCGGATGACGACATTTCCGAAATCCTAGACAGGGGGTAAACGAGGCTCACGCATTCATTGGATTGCTAACGCTAGCTATCTCACAAGATTCCTGCCAATGCTAGTAAGGACATATTTAGAGGATGGTGGCATCGTTTTAGCGTCGTGATTCGGCTCAGATATCCGGGCCGGTAAATCTCTTTAGTAGGTACATAACTTTAGGGCAGGCCCCTCGGCCCCGCGTTCCGGGTTGGTCCCTGAACTCATCCAGTCTTCCCGTCTGCTAGAGTGGTTCTGCTTCTGGCGCTGGTTCCGTCCCTGTATGGTTCCAGTTATCATGGATCAGCTCACTCAGCTACGTATCCAGGTTTACCGGAATCAGGTACACACAACTGCCTCTTAAACGACTAAATATCCATACTAGTGCCTGATTCTTCATCGGAATATTCGTCTGGGCTACCACTGCCTTTACCATCGCGTGTTGGTGTAACGTACATTTTGTGGAGATTATCTGGCTACATTCTTCCTTGAAATACCTTGCTATTCCTCAATCTACTCTCCGAAATGGCAAGGTCGCCTGCTACCTGCTACCTGTTCTCTCTATTATTCACTAGGACTTCAGCTTCAGCAGCTACCGCTATTTGCGCGCACTTTGATTGCTTGGTGGCGTCCGCATTATCACTACTGATCTTTGTGCTCGCTTTTACGGTTTTTCTGCGACGTGCGCCTTCGACATGATTTTGATCGATTGCATGGCACATCAGAATCTATCAAATGGCATCCTCGTCGACAACAATGCCTTCTTTGGTGGAGGTGACAGCTCATTCCCTGATGATTGATCCAGCCCTGATTTGCCTCACAACCAGGTTATTCTCTGACGCAAATCTGGATATGGTACGTGGCGGACACACGTTAGGACGAACTTTTTTCCTCCGAAGGACGGCCTCGTCACCGACTCTTCTTTGAACACGAGACTTGTCTTTTGTGTGAACATTACATCTGAAGCGGCCAGTACTTTGGGGGCTTGTAACAGAGATAAATATAGCCAATCTAGGCGTACAAAACGCGTGCCATTACACAAGGCACCCGCGTCCGATGAGCTGCGACCGGGTTTGCGGCATCAAACATACTTACTGATAGATGAATGGAAGGCGAACAGCGAGGTCGATACAACGCCGATGTTGGGACGGTGTGCGAACAATCCGATTCATGATCTGATTTTATTTCTAACGTCAGCGAAATGTTGACCATAGGCTATAATTACCAGTCTTTAAAGGTTTGCACTTCGATAGTCAATCAATTTTCCTCGGCTTAGATGCTTCCGCGGTATTCTCTGGGGTTGCCACCTGCGCCTGTATGCCTGTGTAAATTCACGACTCTCTTCAACCGTTTGTTTGCTGGCAGTGCCGGACAAGGCAGTATCTCCCAGTATAGTGCGCATCTCAGGCACTCTGATGTAATAGGATCAGTCGAACCCTGCGGCGTACTACCATCATGTTCCGTGAGGTGCTTCGTGAAATCTTTTTCTTTCTTCCACTTGACGGCGCTTATCACACTGCTTCAACAATTGCGCTCAGGTACCTTGGACACTCGAAGGATACACTGGTAGAACCTCAGCTGAATTAGTTATGAAAGGCGGATTACTCTCCATACTTGATCGACAAGCCTCGCTATGTTCTATGTTCCATTTCTTCAATTGTCGAGAAGATGGAAATCATCTGATAGCCAACTGATGGTAAATGTCAGGCAAAGCTATTCATTGATATTACTTTTTTAATCTTCTACCTCCTGATTATCGACACATTTAATCTGTTAAACCAGGAGTTTTCTTTCCTGTTTCACGTGAGTTCCTTGGACATGTTTCCACAACTCGGGTCTTTTGACGGATGTAGCCGCCTTCATTGGCGATTATATCCTTCCATTCAACTGTGAGTCAAGTTCCCATCGAGATTGGACAAGGTTTACGAACACCATGCCAGTGACTTCCTTTGTCCTATTATTGTTTCGGTAAATTTTCCCCGTAAATTCATCTTGACCTTGTCATCAAGCTTCCAATAGTTCTCTCCGAGAATAGATCTTCAGGAACAGAGCATTTTTGTCCCTTCTTCCTAGCTTGAGCAACATTTTGATCTTTTGTGTTCCCAGCGTCTCCGAACCACCGAATAGCCATTTACCCTGTCAGTATAGGCAGGACGTTATTGTGAAACGTTCCTCTGGATTCTTAAGCAAACACATCCCTAAACCCGTGCATTTTTTGACTCCTTTTTTATTATTTTAGGTATGATACCGGTATCAATCTTTTCTCCGTCCCTCATGTCCTCATTCTATTCCACAATTCGTAAAACTATGTCCGAAGGATATATCTAGATGCCTGTGAGTACGTATCCACCTGGGAGTTAGAACCTCTTATTTGATTCAGTCATCCAAGATGTGATTATTGACGGGATACCGGGGGTCGGCAGAGACAGCGCCTGATTATTCTTACATCGCAGAAATCAGAAGGGCCCCAATCAAACAAGCTCACTGGTATCATTACGGCCGATTCCACGTGGAATAAAACTTACGCTCCAACTCGGTTAAGCTTGCATCGGAGACGAGGTAATTTTATACATGACAGGAAGCCGAGATTCCTTTGTAGGAGAATATTGATATTTGTTGCTTTACGCTCCATGAGGCTCTGCGGGGCCTCAAAGACTCGAGGTTTCTGTCCGCAAATAATGTCGGCTGTCCAAAGCGCATTTTCGTTGTCGGGCTGGCGGGCGGTGTGGGGAAGTCCTGAGCCTTCACGAGGATTTTCAAATTGTACGTCACTCTCGAATTAATTAGAGAGGTAAGTCGATCAGGGTCCATGAATTTCTTACCCGGCACTTGTTTCAGAATCAGACTTCCGGTACTGAGTCAGTATTTGCGGAACCTAGGTTTTAGACTCAAAGAAGCAACATACAGATGCTGTAAGTAAAACAACGTTCGTGGCTTTCGAACGATACGTGAAGGTATAACCGTTTCGACTAGGAGAGGTGGGAGAATTATCCAAGTTTCCCTGCTCCATACTATCACATACATTTATTCTCAGAGAGAAGCTAGCCTCAGGATCTTCCCAGAAATAGGCTTACTTACATCAAAACCTGAACCGCAAGCCCGTAGCCAAGAACATCGGAAAGGACTCAAAACAAAAAGAGTCATATTCGATGAATGTTCGCTTCCACATCACGCCACATCACGCATATCGCACCACTACTGCACATGTAAACGGTGAGAAATGATCTCTAACCGCGTCATTCATGTCAGCCGAGCGCTCTACTCAACCTGGGCGCAGCGCGAGTCTGGATGAACTATTTTTGTTTTTGAGAACATAGGACGAAAAAAACTATAAAGAGAGGTTGATTTCCGAGGTATCATCAAGCCCAACAGCCCTCACAGTTGTACAGCCTTCTCTCAGTTCACAATGTTTGCTCGTCTCTCTTCTGTCGCTCTATTGGCTTTGCCTCTCCTTGCGTCCGCCACTGCCGTTGTTCCCCGCGGCGATGGCGCGTCCTGTGCCACTGGTACCACGCAGTGCTGCGATTCTGTTCAGAGCGTAAGTGTCCTACAAGTAGTCGAAGTCAATGCAGTAACTCAGGTGAACTATTGTAGCCCACCTCGAGTGCCGTTCAGACCCTCTTGGGCCTCCTCGGGATCCCTATTGGCGATGTCACTGCGAACGTGTAAGTTTTCATATCTTTACTGATCTCGCTGATGGCTGATGAATTTTCACGTAGTGGTGTTACCTGCAGCCCCATCAGCGTCATCGGCGTCGGCGGTACCTCGTGCTCTAACCAAGTGGTCTGCTGCCAGAACAACAACTTCGTTAGTAGCTTTATTCAGCGTATGACCTTGTGCTGACATTTACGAACAGAACGGTGTTGTTGCACTCGGCTGCACCCCCATCAACGTCGGCCTTTAGAGGACTCAGTAAATTGTAATGGATACGGACGATCTTGTAGTCACTTGTCGTACGAGAAATCAATCATATGCTGGATAAAGAACCCGTGTGCTATCGAGGATGGGAATCCATCGCACAGACAGACGAGCCTGATGTCGTTGACAATCTACTAAAGGACACGAGCGAAGGACGGTCTCTAATCATGATGTCTACAGCTTATTTTATATAACTAAGCGGTCCTGTGAATCAGGGAACTTTTTTCTTCAAGACAGCGTTCTAGTATGCTCGGCCTTTAGTCCATATGACTATTGTATAGGAGACTACATTCTTGAAATAGAACGGCTGTTCGAGGTAGATACCAAGATCTCGAGGAACTAAAGCCAGATACTCTCCAGACCGGCGTGTTACACACAGCAGGGAATGCGTCTTGCGTTCATTTTATTAAAATCTAGTATGGGGGTCCAAGGGCTTCCAGAGAAACTATGAATTCAACAATGCTACTACAAGTCAGACCTTGGGAATGGCAAAAAATTTAGACGACGCGTATTGTACTAAGATCGAAATTCTCCACAACTTGGGTAACAGTCAGTCCACCACGAGCTAAAGGAAGCGTAGTTTGGAGGATAAAACTGGTGTCCTTGTTTAAATCCCGCTTGTCTATCAGATCCTGCCCGACATTGGGGCAGAGAGAGACGGGCACGAATACACAGACGCAGGGAATGCAACGATAATCTATACACATGACCATCGGCTCGTGGTATTGTTCATTCCCCTTCGTCATGCGCGCCACGACCGCGGGATCCATCAGATGTTCACGGGGGAATTCCGCTTTGATTACACAATTCAGGAAGTACTCGTCCTCCTCGCGCATCGTAGTAGGGAGAGACGCTGTAGTGAGGTATAAGTATGAACAAATCAGAGGTAAAGATATAATTTTCACCTCTCAGATAGCGACATCTTTGCTTGTGGCCATTGTTCCATTCCCGTTTCTGGCAACTCGTAGAACATACGGTCATATTCATGCACGCAGTACATCGCTTGAGGGCATCTAATCCCGTCACGGAACACTGGGAGAGGTGACTTCAGCGAAACTGCGTTAAGATTTGATTTCGAAAAAAAGGCGTACCTCGGGATTATTACATCGGAGAATGTATGTCATGTTGTCCCTCATTTCCATCCGCCGTTTAACTGTGTAAAGCATCGTTGCCCAATACTGTTGAATGTCTGAGTCTTTTGATTTTTTTGCAGAGGAGCAGCTTCCTTTTGAGTGAAAGAGTTGAGAGCAGATACTATCGCGTTGAGCGCCGGAAACCACATGGAGCAGATGGTGATTTGAGCGATTAGCTTGATGATAGAGTTATACTTTGGACGAGCTACTGGGGGACGGTGTTTGCCGACTACGATGACAGATCGCATAAGAGACCGAAGAAGCTGGCCATGATGGACAGCTTTAACTGAAAGTGAAATGTTTTGAAAAAAAGCGTTGCTGAGGTAGCCCGCGCAAAGATCGATGTTGGTGAGTCGAAGGGGAACATGTACGAAATTCTCAAAGTCTTCCAGAGAGGGTGTCAGGCGCTGTAGTGCGTTGCAGACCCATTTGATAGTGTTAAGCTGAAGAAATTCATCGTGAATGCGTTGATCGATGAGAGAAGCGGAGGTCATGAATAATAGGATACCGTGTAAGTCGCTCAAACGCAAAGTCTTTCTAGAGACTGTATCCTTTAAGCGGTCAACATATGCCAATAGTCTGTGACGTGGGAGATTCCCAAGGATATGCATGCATTGCCCGCCAAGAGTCACATCCGAGAAGTAGTCATTAAGAATGGGCGCGAGGAATTGTTTGCAAACACCTGGCAGGCTGGGCAGATCAACATAGAGTTCCAGGATGTAGGGGACAACGTCTGGCGACTGTGAAGGAAGGAGTGCGTTCGAGACTGGATACTTTGCAAATTGGCCAACTCGACTGAGAGAAGCTACAAGAATTCCCACGTTGGCGTCCTCGTGGGTCAGCCAACGATTGGTCTTTAGGAAGTAAATGGCCCATTTGTGAACGTACGGCGATAGCTCGGCGATGGTATCGATGGGAAAGACGACATGGCTCTCTTCCAGAAGCATCAGTCTTCGAAGAAATCCGAGCGCCATGACTTTGGTAGGAGATGAGAAATTTCCAGATGAAGTAGGAAGAGGGCGCCAGAGATGCTTCCTGGCGAGAGTGACTAGCTCGTTAGGTCGAGCACTGTCAAAGGGAGTGCTGGTAGGCAGCTTGATGAAAAAGGAAGGGAAATGTCAACAACAAATGGCCAGAAAGAGAAAAAAACCCACTCGTGGTACAGACATAAATTTTACATTGATGGGAGGAGGCATGTCTTCAAACTTTAGAGCGGAGTGGTGGAGGAGTGTAAGAAAGGACGACATTTTTATGAGACAGCAACGCCATTTATGTAGAAGCTCGTTGTGCCACTGAGCTCTGGAAAAACAATAAACAAAGCAGGTCAAAGCTTGACTTGGTGACCAAAGTCAATAAGAAGTTCGTTAGCCTAAGCTCGGGAAAAGACCCTCAAAGCCATGTCATCAGAAATCGGCCAAGTCTAAAAAATAGAAGACGAAAATTTTCCGTAGCAGCGGAATGTCAATATCAAAAGGATGTGGTAATGGATCACAGTTTCAGCCTTGACTGAAGTTTGAAGACTCGTTCAAGGAGGCCCGGAACAAGACGAGTTGGCCTGTGAAGCTTATTACAGGTACAGATTTATACAAGAAGCGGTACGGAACCTCGTCTTGAAGTTTGAAATTAAATTTGAAGGGCGGAGCAATTGAGGGAAGTTTTCATCAACAAAAAGTTCGGAGTGAAGTTGGACCTTAAGTTGGTTGGGCCAAGCCCAGAGCCACGCGCGCCGTGGACCAACAAGTCACAATAAGCCCTTGCGCCACCGACGACCAAATTCCAACAGCGTAGCTCAACGTAGCCGTTCCTCAGGCTCGCGCCTGCCCGATTATTTTCTGTTGTTATAGTCCTTGTGTTTCTCAGTATCTCATGGAAAGTCGACACGGAAATTGCTGTGAGTTACAATGTTCTAGCTTTTCCTGCAGGCATGCCTTATCCCGGGCCTTATAGGATAGACTATCTTCCTTCTACCGTTCCCTCGCTGCTTGGATAATGCGGTTGTCTCCCAGAAAGACGGAGATGGTTCTCTAGCTCGTGCGGTCGCAGACCCAGAACGGGGTAGACAGGGGAAGGGCAACGTAACAGTGCGTGTTATCTTGTTAGCACGTAACGAACTGATTAATTTCTGGCAGGAGTCGAAGAAAATCAATTTGAAAGCCCGGTCTTAGGGATAACTGACTGCCGACGATGTCTGCGCACAGTTGAACCTTGAATAGGTACCGTTTTTTCTTGCGCAAACGCACTATGATATCTTGACGATCTGCGACTGAAAGGTGTCATTATGAGACTGAATTCCTTGACGAGAATCTCTTCGAGTTTTGGAAATGCTGCATGACGAGGTGACGGAGATGAAGGACACCGAGGACACCGAGGACACCGATTAAGCTTGGATTGTATCAGGACATACACCTTCAGTGCGTATTATTTCTCTTACTCTAAGACTACAATCTTATTTCAGTAAAGAAGTATTCGTACCCGCGGACTCTTTCTTGCATTCAATGATGTGCTTTTGGCATGTTTTTCGTCGAGCCAAGATCTTTCGATGGCGTTCTTGGATAACCGCGCGTTCATTGGGCACTACCACGCCTTTCTCCCGCCAAACCAGGCTCATGCTATACGGCGTGGAACAGTGGAATCCACTGTAGTGGTTAGGCTTTATTATCGCCTTCAAAGCAAGGTCCGATCTCAGTGACACGATGTTCAGGTCAATTGCATGGCACGTTTACCCACGGCCCGGAATGCGCCCTGAGCACTCGTCCTGTTCTCTTAACGAACGATAGTTTTGGTCCTTTTGCGCGCAACCGGCGGTTATGCTGCTTGGGTGTTGAGGTGGGATATTATTGACGACGAACAGTGGAAATGCTTCTAAGAAGAGCGGCGAATGGATACCTGCATTGGAACAGCGAGAAGATATCTGTTTGATAAGGCAGCCTTGCTCGCTACAGAATTCTTCGGCAAATGTCATCCCAACAGCGTAGGTATCACTTCAATTCTTTAATGTAAATTTGCAAGACTGATGGCGGTATTGGACTAATCAGACTCCAAACGAGCATACTACCAGGGATTCGGGGAACTATATATATACCCGTATATCGGTGCGGAGGTGCTCGCCTTTTGCCATTGGCACAAACATCTGAGACTGATGCGCATGTCAATAGTTTTCGGGCATCAGTCTACCATTGAAGCGATGGACTGCGGACTCGGCACACTCGGACGAAGACATACAGCTAACGAGAGCTAGTGCCAATAATGCAACTTGCTGCGCACATTTTAACTTCGCTGTAAAACTTTCCGATGGACCACGGAGACCGCGGCCAGGGCGCTCAACCATGTAGCCAGACGCTCTTTGCTACTTTTTTTGCACATCTATTCCGAACAACGAGAACCCCCGTCACCAGGCCTTAGAGCCTGGACATTAGAACGCACTTTTTTGTGGGCGCGAGGAGCACATGCACGCGAGAGCCCCCCGGGGGGGATAGCGCACAGGCTCTCGCATATCCAATCCAGTGACAATTCCTCTCCCCCCACAGCCGTCCTTGCATCGAACGGAACTACGACACTCATTTACCTTGCGGTGCTCTGGTGATCCTCCAGAGATTAGTGATTGCTGCCGCCATCTAGGTCGGACAAGAGGCTGATGATGGGAAGACGGACGTGGAGACCCGGATTCTTTCCCCCTACCTCTACCTTCTGCTATACCCGTAACGCTCCGCGGTCTTGCCATTTTCATCCTGTTATAGAGCAGTCGTGATGCGAACTGTCATGATCTTGCGGAAGGTTGTGCTACGGGGGTTGAAGTGAAACAACGGACATCTGAAGGTTCGATGTCGTCAACACGAGCGCTTGGAAAGCCGCTATCATTTTGCCCCGGAAACATTGTGCGCACCTTGGAACGTTCAACGTCCCCTCTCGAAGCAATTATTAATAAAGAGCACCCCGCGCGTTTCTTCGCAAGACGAGTCTGAAGAACTACACCCCACACCTCGCACTCTTCATTAAAGACATCTTTGATTCCTTATTTACCAAACTCCCTACCAGCATTCTTTCGGTGATCTATTACCTGTCCTTGCATTCAGTTGGCTGATAATAGTTAGCCTGTCAGTCCAGACGAGAATAGCCAACAGACAGCGCTGAGTTTATTGGACGTTTAACCAAGATACTGATCATCAGAAAGGAAACAGAAACCTTTCCGAAGCGGACGTGAACAGCATTTTGAATTCAACCAGCGTTTACCAGTGTCATGGAAACATCGTGGCTGTATGTCAATTCGAAATGTGGATGCACGTTCGTCAACAAGTGCAGCGGGACCAGTCCAGATTGGCTATTCAAATTAGCGCGGGTTGATATCACCGTGATCTAAGCGCTAATGCTGATCCGCTCTATCCCCAAACAAACGTGTTCTGGCGGAACTCGTCTTGCACGTGGACTGAAAACAGCACCTCTGAGATATATCAAGAGTTGTGCCTCCTTCGTGTTGTACGCATGTCTAGTCGTTCACGCGCTAGTATTAATCACTATTGTCGGACGCTATGAAGAGCTTTGTTGAGATATGGCGCTGTGAGTATTATTCCTTCATATTTAACAAAAGATAACTTATGTCATATTGCAGCCTATACATACGAGGAGCGACGGAACATGTACGCGATGACCGCTCAGAATTTCCTCTTCTATCGCCTCTGAACGTCCATTCAGTGCCTTCTACATTGGTGGGATCATGTTGTACAAGACAGGGCTTGAATTCTTCAATGGGTCAATAACAACACTAGCTACGGATAGGTTTGCCCAAGCAGATACATTCACTAAGCGTGCGTTTCCTTTATATTACATCTGCTTCTGTTCTCTCATTTTTCGGATGGTAGTTGGTGCTGCTCAAGGTGTGAATCAAGCAGCCCAATGTGTCGGTGCTATCCTCATCGCCCCCCTCATCGTGCGGTTTCCTACGAGAACCGTTCTCGGAGTCTCGGTCCTGTTCTTCAGTCTCATGACGATGGTTCTGTTAGTTGTGGATGCCGCTACCGGTGAGAATGCCCGAACTGATCAGCTAGCGGCCAGCATGCTGATGTCGCCTTAGGTGGGAAGATACGCGAGTCCGCTAGTAGTCCGACACATTACGGGACCTGGAATCCAAATGCGGTTCGTACATTCTCTTCCTAATTCTGCGCTGCTTTTGAACCTAATGTCTGTTGTAGATATTCATAATATGGACGCTCAGCGGTGTCGCATACGGAATGGTGGAACTAATACGTCGAGTCATGTGCGAATGTTCCCCTCTATTGGACTTTCTATGATCGTAATACGGTCTCCATTTCTTTCTTTCTTTTAGCCCGTGTGATATCGTCGGAGGCGACGTGGGTAAACTGAGGCGTATGGATGCGACGGTGGTGAGTCATTTTCGCAGACTTCTTTCGGCATATTTCTCATAGGCTTTTAATAGCACATCTTCTACGAAGTTACCGGTACCGTCGCTGCTTTTGCTTCATCTTCTGCCATCAGTCGGTTTGGAAATAACTACAGTTTCTTTTTGAGCCCCGGTATGCCGTTATGACCCACCTCCTCGTGCCTCTCATTCATCCACCTTGTTTCGATAGTGTTCTTCGCTCTGGCGGGCATGGTATGGTTTTTTGTTTCCGTGCTCAACTACTCGCCCTATGGTTCGCAAGAGGAATACGGACTGGATGAAGTCGATCGGCCGAAACGAAGCAAGAACTATTTAGTTCAAGTCTATCGCGGGATCTCTGGATTTGGAGAGTCCATATGGGTCGGAACTATGATGGTACTTGGTAACAGGAGGTTTATATGTGAGTGCTTCCGTGTATTGATCGTTGACCCACGTATTGACGCACGTTTCAAGGGCTGGTTCCTGGATAGTGAGCTTTCGATTCACATGCCCAACTCGGCAGGTTAGCTGATCGTGTACATCTTATGTAGCGCATTGGCACTATATCTCCATCGGTATGCTGAATTAGTCTCTTCTCGCGCTAGTCGATCCATCTAATTGTATTACTTTTGACAGGTTTCTTGAGAACGCCCTTGCTCCAGCCTTTGCGAAACGTGCTCTAGGAGTCAGTGCCTGGAGTCAAATAATCGTCGGGGGCTCAAATTTCGGAGAAGTACGTGCTGGATGCTTTCGTCTCTTTTTGCGGGTGCTAATTGTTGTGCAGCTGCTCGGAGCTCTTTCTGTCTTTCTGCTTTCAGATGTGGTAACCACGCCGGTACGCTAGAAGGTGTCGTTCACGGGCACCAATCTTTGATCTCACGCCTTATATAGATCCCATGGCTTCGTCTCGATGCGCTTATGGTGAAGCTCATCGTTTAGCCTGTCAGGACCATTCACTCATCTTTTTTCTAGCTCAACATCGTTTGGGTGCTTCCTTATTTCACCACCATTACTGGACACACCGTAGACTGGGCATGGCGACTAGCTGGGATATTTATTCCTATATCGATGGTGCGTCTGCCTCCCTCTTTAGCATGTCATCTGTCAATCCAGAATGTGTAGAGTTGGGCTGCAGGAGATGTATCATTATCTGCTTATATCCAGGCTGCGCTCTCCACCGGCGACGCTTGTAAGCCTGCGATTTTACCCTTCTTTCAGTCAACTCATCCTGTATTCTGCAGCTTTGGCAGATAAATATCCGGGTGTATCCCATCTAGGCGCCGTCATGGTAAGTCTTCTTATTGGTAAAATCGGCATTGTCGCTCATGCCGATCTGGTAGGCATTCCTGTACTCGACATACATCACCCTTTATGCGGTGCTAAGCTCTGTCTTGGGCGATGTCATTGACCACGACTTTTCTGCAACCGGTAATATCAAGAATTCTCTGCGACGTGTCGCGGGGTAGGTCCTTCCTCCTTGACAACAAATTTCAATGCCAACTAACTTGTTTTCTGTTAGGATACAATACAGTATATGCTGTTGTATTATCATGATAGCTACCTTCATTCCGAAGGGCGCCTTTTCTGTCAATCCCAAAATGATCAATGGTGTGCGTCACGATGGCTTTGACCATCAAGAGGATGAATCTTTAAAGAATTTCGAGACGCGGACGCGGACGGATGACGAGAGTGTTAGCGTCGTTGCAGTTTAAATTTAAACATTTGGTATTTATCGGTAGATATTTGTCGTTGTACTACTAGGTAATAAATTACAGGTTCTCTTACATGCATGAAATGGGCACTGGAAATTTTATTCCGAAAAGAATTGCCAAGGTAGCTACTGACGCAGGAAGGAATACTATCCTTAACACTGATCCAAATCATGCCCCAGGTATCGCCTCTATCACTTTCCAAATATGGACCATGTTAGCCTTCAAGTTGACTAGGACAGATCAACCCCACATCGTGTCCCTCGCTACTTCTGGCTTAGGAAACGGCACCTGATGGTTATTTATACTACTGGGATACTCATAAAATTGTTGGTTTCAACAGTATTCGTGACAATACCTGCAAATCCAAATTGACTACACTTCGAAGCATTTGGATAATACAAGTCCCAAGCTGCTGTGTCTGGACCCTAGTAGTGGTCAGGATATAAAAGCGTATTTCAAAAAAGCGAGGAAAATTGTTACGAAGTCCAGATATAGTCGGGTCACTCGATAAGTACGTACATACGTCGTTTCTTAAAGTTGGCTGCAGCTTCGGTGAACGTATCCATTAGGTTGTGTGGTTTTACAAGTCATTGATGATGGATGGAATGTACTAGCAGCTAGTAGAGTCCATGAGCGGTGGCAGCAATTAAACAGGCTCGACTTCAAAGACCAAAACCCCGCCGGCATCCTTGAAACGACACATCCTTCCACGAATGATTTCCTTCAGCTGATCGATCCTGTTTTTAAAGGGATCATTAGGCCTAGCCCGAGCGAACTTGATAACAAGTTCGTCCGTTAACAAAGGCAGACAAGCACCGAGGTTGCACCAAACATCGTCCTTAGGCAGGCAAATCTCGTCACTCGGAACCTCGTATTGGAACCATTGCCCGAGGATCCGTTGTTCCTCCTGCATGGCGATTAAATCTGGAAGTTGGGATTCTGCTACGCGGTCCCGATCAAGGGAGTAGGCCTTGATAGTGATAGTTATCTTCCCCAAACGTACAGAGTTGGCGGCAGTATCTTCAAAGCATTGAATCCACCATCCTAAGATATCGACATACTCCTCAAAGTCGTCGAGATGAATGTGAAGGTGCTTTAGAGAAGGGAGAGGCATAATAGGGAGCGCTTCAACGTCTGCATGGGCAAGGTCTGAGTATTGAATGTCCTAACTATTAAAATCATTACCACGTACCAGTCTGGATGTAACCGATTCGCAGATTCTGCAGTCTTTGCTGACATTTGCACCATATCCGTGACGCAATCCCAATGGCTAAGCTGCTTGATATCGGAAATCCGAAGGATCTGGAGTTGTGCGATGGAAACTGGTGCGTCGTCCTCTTCGAAAATGTCATGGCACACTCTGAGCATGGACTCTTCAGACAGGTTGACGTCGAGGGTGTTGATAGCAGCCTGAGGAGTCATAGCATAACCTTGAAGGTCCTCCCAGGATTCCGAGTCGACAGCCGTGGAAACCAATTTCAAGCGCAAAGCTTTTAATTTAGGGGACGCTCCGATGAAGGAAGTAAATACGGAGGATGAAGCGAAGGTGACATTGTCGAGGGTTACTTTGTTGATGTTGGTGCATTTCCGATGGAGATGTAAAAAGAATCCGTGCGGGAGCATTGTACAGAGAAAATGTTCGAGGTGGAGCTCCTCCAAGGCAGGGAGTAATTGATGAGAGCGAGGAGGGTGGAGTGTTGTGTGGCATCCAATGACGTCTCTCCCAGCATCGATTCCGTGGACGTGGACAGAAGTTCTGCATAGGGAAGTCCGCACAAGAAAAGACTTTTGACAAAAGGGCGGATATCCTCAGACGTGAGGAGAACGTCGTAAAGCTTCTGGCACTTGTCGGAGCTTTGTTCGATGGTTACACTGACGCGGTGGAAGCGGCGAGAACGAGTTCGATGCAACAAAGAACGATACATGAGAGCAAAGTTATTCAGAGAATAGCCTTCTTCGGCTGCGAAGTCGACGATGATATCGCTGACTTCTTGGGACAGTGGCCACTCCATAACACGAAGACAAGGAACGAGACCAAGCAGAAGACTCCGTGGCGATTTACAGATTTCGGGCTATTTATCGTCCTAGACCTATCGAGCACCTCCGAACAAAAGAAAAAGATGTTTTGAGTGAATTATAATCAATATAGGGAGACCATTCATAGTAAAATGCGCTTTGACATCCCCCTCGGGATGTAGGAATATAAAATGAAAAGACCAGCAAAGCGCCCATTGTCAAGATCGAGAATATTTCCCATTAGGAGAGTGTCGCCCAGCCTATACACGTTAACTTCGAACGTAATGTCTGAAAACGACACGTCCGGATTGACCTAGGACAATGAGCAGAAAAGCGGATGCTCGGTACGACACGCGAGCGCTTTGTTTTGAAAAAAAATTTGAGTGTCGACCATTCTTCCGGAGCTTCCAGTGCTGAGGGTCTGGTCTTAAGTCTGCGATGCTACACAGTGGGCCCTAGAAGTTGAATGTTCCAGCCCCCGAAGAGCCAGATGAAGGACTAAGCACTAAGGTAAGACCTGAATCCAGTAAAAATCGGTTTCGCTGCGGTGTTTGCCGAATGGAAGGGAAAAACATCATTCCTGTCGGCATTCTCCGCGTCCTTACTCTTCGATCTCTGTTCGACTTCTTATTGCCTTCTCGCTCTCTTTCATGGCTTCTTTCGGCTTACTTACACACGGTTAACGTGCCAATACCTTCTCTAGGAATGGAGTTATGTAGGTCAGTGTTTCCACCGCTGTCCCGAGAATAGTATGCATGATTGTCTAGCTTTGCACAATGCGGGACTCCGTCGCAATATCGATGTGCACTTCGCATTTTGTCATAGCACTGCGGGAAATGGCCATCAGACTAGGAATCCTCTATTTCATCACAACATTCGGCAAGGTCAAGCTCGAGGCATAGGAAGTCAGTCCGACTCACATTAGGGAAAAGGTCTGTAAAAACCCGGAATATTGTAGACCGGCTCGCGCCCAGGTGACTACTTTTTGTTCTTTTTGACGGCTATCTAGAATAAACCAAAAATAGACTGCTATCCGCACCGTGACCCGCTTGGTCTCGAACTGTAACTTGCTACACGAAACTTTGGGACCGCTCCTACGCATCTGCTTTCCACGGTTGATTCTCGGACAGAATTTTCTGAAGTTGCGAACCCTCCAGTACTTTCACCCCGATGCTGCGCCCGGTTCGCAAGCAATAATCGTGATCGAAAGTAAAGTCGCCGTCGCACGTACTTAAGGAAGATAGATCTACTTTCTTAAAACCGCAGAAATGGTTTTTCCCTCTCTGAAAGCACTTGCATTGTTCTCTTTTATCGCCCTTTTGACGGGCCTGGTGCATGCGACCCCCGCAGTAAAGCGAGACAGCCGCACTTCTGCGCCCTCTGGTGCTGTTGTTGTGAGAGCCAGCGGAGCGTCGTCGGGAGAATACAGCACGGTGCAAGCTGCTGTAGACTCGCTTGCTGATGATGGGACCGACCAAGTTATCTTCATTTATGCAGGCAAGTTGACCTTTATCTGCAATACTCGGTATCGAGAACTGATAGGATCCTTTAGGCACCTATACCGAGCAAGTCTATATCGATCGTGATGGACAGACGACGGTATTTAACCTTTTTTTGACGCCAGATTTGATTGATGTTGCTGATGTTCGATGCCTAGATCATGGGTCAAACTTCTGATACTAGCAGCTACGAAAGCAATACAGTTACCATCACGTATTCGCTCTCTCTTGCTGATGCAGACGATGATGATTCGACTGGGACCTTACGTGTACACAAGGATGACTTCGCTTTGTACAACGTCAATGTGAAGAACACGGTATGCCTACGGCTTCTACATAAGGAAGACTACCTGATCACTTGCCATCCAGTTCGGTAAGGCTAGTACCAACGGTCAAGCATTAGCTTTGAGTGCATATGGAACCAATCATGGTTACTATGGTGTGGGCTTCTATGGGTAAGCCGTTTATATACTTTTTCTCAAGATGGATATCTGACCCAAATCGAACAGCTATCAGGACACGGTACTCGCAGAAACGGGTAACCAATTCTATGGCTATTGTTATATCGAAGGCGCTGTCGACTATATTTTCGGTCAATACGCGCGGGCGTACTTCCACTACAACAGGATTGCTTCGGTAGGCGCCGGAGCGATCACTGCTAACGGTCGCTCATCATCCGATGGAGTAAGTTTGTGTAAGCCGTCTGGAATCTATCTATCTTGCGTCGCAGACTCACGGTTGGTTTCAGATGTAATTAACAAAGCGACCATCACTACTAGCAGCTCGGCGACTTCCTCTATTGAAGGGAAAGTGTACCTAGGACGCCCATGGGGAGAATATGCTCGGTATGCTATATAATATTCTATCTATGAACGTATGTCGCTGAGCAAGGACAATTAGTGTCGTCTACACCTCCTGCTCGCTTGGAAATCTGATCAACAGTGCTGGATGGGAGGAATGGTCTAGTAGCGAGCCCAATACCGATCACGTCACCTTTGCTGAATACGGAAGTACTGGTATGCCAATGCTTCCACGTCTTGAAGGTCTTTTACTGATCCTCTTTCTTTTCAGGGTCTGGCGCTTCTGGTACCCGTGCATCGTTTGCTACTACGCTAACCTCAACCAGCGGCTACACAATCTCCGACGTTTTGGGTAGTGACTATGCCGATTGGGTGGATAGTGATTATCTGTAACTTGCGTCTGACCTATGTCGTATATCTGGTACGGTTCTCGTCAGAGCCAAATTCATCATTGTTCTCTGCAAACTTTGGCAATTCATGAGTAAAGTCAAATATCTTCGTTCAATGGCATTTATGGACTACCAGCAGGTTTCGGACCCGGGCTTCTATACGACCTATGTTTGGTTCAGGTACGAGACTCTGAACGCAGAATGATCTTCCAGAGTTAATGTTCTGTGGCTAGGACGCCATTATGAGCCGGATTAACGAACCTAAGCACATTCTGGACGCACGAACTGTACACACTGACAAACTCATTGCTCAAGGATGCATCACGATAATCCAGCAACATTGATTTCTCGATCTGTTTACTTGTCTAACAAATGAGTACCATATTGCTGAAACTTGAACATTCTGATTCTCGGATTACGACCATGGCCCATGGCCCTTAGAGCCCGATGTTGAAGGGGGTACAGCCGAGAGCAACAAGGCCGTTCTGTTTATGCAAATGTAAGCTGGGAATCGACTTGAATAACGGCAGTACTGACGAAGTTGCTGTCATCACAACAAACGACTTGGTTGTTGCACTCGGTGCCTCCACCAGCGAGGACGGTAATGGGTGTGCAGGTAACACCGCTGTAAAACAAGATCAAAGAAGGTGTCATTGGAGGAAATGGTAAACCTACACATCGCCAGTGAGGTCGCCAACGATGACACCAAGAAGGCCCAAGAGGGTCTGAACACTAGCGTCCAAGTTGGTGGGCTAATAATGTCACTGAGTTTATTGCCCTCGTAGAGATCAAAGGTACTCACACTCTGAGTAGATTCACAGCACTGCGCGTTACCGGTAGCACTGCAGGCCGCACCGTCATCACGGGGAAGGATGGCAGTGGCGGTCGCAAGGAGAGGCAAAGCCAAGAGAACAAAAGAAGAGAGACGAGCGAACATTGCGAATTGAGAGTAAGCTGTACAACTGTGAGAGCTGTTTGACTTGATCATACCTAGTAAATTCACCTCTCTTTTATAGGATTTTGTCTTTTGTGTTATTCCCGAATACGGAGGATATCTTGTCTCGGTGAGCATAATTACAACCCCGAGGTGAGCGGAGGGATGAGACGATGTGGGTACGACCGTTTCTCATCAGGTACGAGAGGACGGCACCCACGACGTAGCGGAAGGAGGGAGCAAGCATTTCTGATGGCACCGTGCATTCGTACAAATCACGTACTTTCCATTGTCCATTTCATTGATCCATTGAAATTTCCGCGACTGATAGGTCCCGGGTCATCGTTTCAACGTAGGATTCCGATTTCAAAATACTAGCTCGTCCAGTTGTTTATCCCAGTCCGCTATTTCTCTTGCTCTACCATAGGATATGGTCAGCGTTCTTTCCTCCAGTTATCTTGCTTCTTCACTCACTGGTGCTAGAGCTCATCCGGAAAATACACTAGGAACGCGGATCGGAAGCAATTGTCGGCCATCAGACACGGGATCTGCTTAATTTATAACTGACGTACTGATGAATTTGTTTTCTATCATTAACTCGTGAGCTTTCTCCGGACTGCCTAAAATCCGGTCACCGATTTCAGGGTTTGTTCTGTGCCTATGGCGAAATACTGGGGACGGCATTCTCACGGAACAAGAAGATATTTACCTTGCGTCGGACGTGAACCAGCTGACTTTGACTCAGGTATAAAGATCGTCCCGTACGACGTTTGTGGTGATGTTTTCTACGAACATGACCTAAGTTTTGTTCTTGTTCTTTGCTCGAACCGGTGTCACAAATATGGTTTTATCTACATCTTCTCGGTAACACAATCTGTAATATTCCGGCGTCTTCGCACGAGGTCGGCAATGGACGATGTTAAACATGATTTGTACGGGTACAAAAAACCATTTTCTGGGACAGTATTGACGTGAGCAACGAGTAACGGAATTATACCTAACTTGATAAAAGTTGTGCCCTAATAAACGAGAGCAGGTCGTCCCCCAGAATCCAACAGAAAGGATGCGGAAAGCTTCGGAGACAATTCATGGGTGCTGGAGATTTAGATGGTGTTGATGCAACTTAAAGTCGAGATGCTCTTCTACCTCTTGGTATTCTTGGGGACTAGGTCCAGACATATATTGTGATAGGTTCCAAGTATGCAGTACACTGCTCAGAGGCTTGAAGGTCTCGTGAGCCGTTGAGTCAGATATTTGACCATTCATTCGATAATTACTCGGTACTAGCGTGAAGTATTCAGTGGAACATTCTATGGGGTGTCGGCAGTTAGCATAGAGTCCTACCATAACGAACACTACATCAGCTAAGGGCACCAACGTAATTAACGCAAGTCGACATACTGCTGTGTTAGTCTGGTATTCTCGTCGGAGACTTGGTCTATGGCGGGCATTATTTCCGTCGTTGATGGACTGAGCTACATAGGAGATGGGTTAGAACGAATTAAATTAAAGAGGCTATTCAACACCATTGGTACGTTACACAAATGGGTAAGCGGATGAGGTTATGACATGTTTGAGGAGAGGGGTCAACACAGAGTCTGGGAAAAGAAAAGACTCCGCTCGATGCTGGTGTGATATTGTTCGTCCGTTCATGAGTCTTGAACGTGACGCGAAGAGGAGTTACACGTGAAAGGTGATTCTAGCTATCAGTTCAGTCATCTGAAGGACGGAATGGAAGCTTTTGTATATGATGGGTATGATCGCGCAGCAGGGGCACGTTGAGGCAACACACGCTGACGAACTTTGGAATACGAGCAACTTACATTGGGTATGTCTCGGATGCAAAACCCAGCTGCTTGGCCATTCGGGCCAGCTTGCAACAACTGTATTGCCGAAATAACACAAGGACTGCATTCTTTGTAGCTTTCAGTCCGTCTAAGAATACACAGAGGAACATACCACATCGGGTGTATATGGTCGACTCTATACTAATGTATAGACTTCCTGTGATTGCAGCATCATAAAATAAACCGTGTTTGTGTTGGGATTTGGCAATCCGGCATCATGCCGAAGATGCTTATTAAGGTAGAAGAAGGAGGAAAAGCATGGAAAGTTCTAGTAAAAGTACATTTAGTATAAAAGTAGGTACTTTAGTGTAGATCCTCATGCATTTGCAGAGCTCAGCCAAGCGCAATACTATTGGCTTGCTACCATGCATGTGACACTGGGAACGAACCGATACCCCGTTTTCCAGCAGTTCGAGGGATTGAGGAAGCAAAGAATCAAACGGTAGTCGGAAGGGAAAAGGAAAACAAAGTCGATCCCGCTTTGAGAGCGGCTGCGCCGGTCCGGGAATTGATCTCATCTTCCTCTTTTGCTGTATTAGCGGAGATGGCCAATCAATCCTGTTTTCCAGTTTTGTACCCACCACGTTCAATCATCCCGTATCTCAAGCACTGACTGTCGCTCATCACAGATGTCTACACTCTTTCGAACCCATTTCTCTCTCTATTCACGGCAATGACTCGAACTGCTCGTATATACGACATGTCGTAGTACGGCATAATAACGATCGCCTCATTCCTGACATCGTATTGCCCCCGACGTCATCGATAAATCCTCAATTGTATCGTCAACAACCTCCATCGTTGATAAGACTGGAACACGGCAAGTGTTGGAACCTCGAAGACACGCCGCGCTACTCTTCTTTTGTCTTCCTGTTGACGTTAGACAAAATTCAACCAACTACCGGATCCATAATGTCGCAGGGGAGCCAAAAATCTCATTGATCAATAGTACATCATTAGCATCCAACAATATTGATTTCTCGAAGTGTTTACTTGGCTAACAAATGAATACAATATCGCTAGAACATTCGGATTCGTAGTTCAGTCGCCCAAATTCCTTAGAGCGAAATGTTAATCGGGTTGCAGCCGAGAGCAACAAGGCCATTCTGTTAACATAAATGTAAGCTCGGAATCGACTTGAATAACAGTGTTACTGACGAAGCTACTGTCATCACAGCAAACGACTTGGTTGTTGCACCCGGTGCCTCCAACACCGAGGACAGTGATGGGAGTGCAGGTGACTCCGCTGTAGGAACGGATCAGAGGGTGCGTCTCTGTGAGAGATGGGAAACCTACACGTCGCCAGTGATGTCACCAATGACGACTCCAAGGAGTCCCAAGAGAGTCTGAACACCAGAGTCCAAGTCGGTAGGCTAATGATTTCATTGAGTGCGTCGCCATCGCGAGGTTTACAGGCGAGGATACTCACGCTCTGAGTAGAGTCGCAGCACTGCGCGTTACCGGTAGCACTGCAGGCCGCACCGTCATCACGGGGAAGGATGGCAGTGGCGGTCGCAAGGAGAGGCAAAGCCAAGAGAACAAAAGAGGAGAGACGAGCGAACATTGTTAACTGAGAGTAAGCTTTACAACTGTGAGGACTGTTCGACTTGACCATACCTTGCAAATTCACCTCTCTTTTATAGGATTTCGTCTTCTGTGTTATTCCCAAACACAGATGATATCTTGTCACGGTGAGCAATAATACTTGCATCCCCGGAGTGAGCGGAGGGATGTGCTGATGTGGGTACTACCGTTTCCCACCAGGTACGAGAGGACGGTACCCACGACGTAGCCGAAGGAGGGAGCAAATGGTATCGTGCATTCGTACAAATCGCGTACCTTCTATTGTCCATTTCATTGACCCATTGGAATTTCCGCGACTATAGGCCCCGGGTCGTCGTTTCAATGCAGAGCTCTGCTTGGATTTCAAAGGACTAGCTCGTCCAGTTGTTTATCCCAGCACGCCATTTCTCCTGCTCTACCACAGGATATGATCAGCGTTCTTTTCCTCTAGCTGTCCTGCTTCGTCACTCCCGGATGCTAGAGCTCATCTTTGAAATATACTAGGAACGCGGATCGGAAGCAATTGTCGGTCATCAGACACAGGATCTGCTTAATCTATAACTGACGTACTGATGAATTTGTTTTCTATCATTAACTCGTGAGATTTCCCCGGACTGCCTAAAATCCCGGCACCGACTGCAGAATTTGTTCTGTGCCTACGGCAAAAAGATTGGAGACGACATTCTCACGGAACAAGACGATACTTACCTTTTGTCGTCGGCGAACTAGCTGATTGTGACTCAGGTGTAAAGACCATCTCGTAAAGTGTTTGTGGTAATACTTTCTGTGAACATGACCTTCAATTTGTGCTTGTGCTTTACTCTAACTGGCGACACAAATATCATTTTCTCCCCATCTTCTCGGAAACACAGTCTGTAATGTTCCGGTCTCCTCGCACAACTGGGTTAGTCATGAACCATGCGAATCATAATTTTGTAAGGGTATAGGGGTACAGAGGGACCCGTTTTGGAACAGTATTGACAATGAGCAACGAATAGCGGTATCATTAGACCACGTCTCAGGTCTACGGTATCCTGCTCAGCTTGACAAAAGCGGTTTCTTCCCAGAATCCAACGGAAAAGATGCGGAAAGGATGGATCTCCGGGCGGGGTTTCAAGAGATGATTCAAGGGTGCCGGAGATTTAGATGGTGTTGATGTATATCTTAAAGCCGAGATGTTTCTTCTGCCCCTTGATATTCTTGGGGACCAGGTCCAGACATATGTTGTGATAGGCTCCGAGTATATGAATCAGGTTGTTCCAAATGGAATGCCTGAGGCAGAAACGAATGCGAGCCAAGTCGGCCAGAAGTGGGGAATACAGCAGGTCTATTGGTATACTACTCTGATTGTCTCGTCGAGCCAGATTTTTGATTATCCGTTTAATAACCAACCAGTACCGGCATGCAATGCTCTCATCATCGCGTTCTCGACGATATGGCATGAAACTTAGTCAGCTTTAGGCAAGTCGTCGACGCGTCTTGTCACTGATCACGTGTGGTCGTGACTGCTACCTTGGATTTGAAATTCAAATATGCACTTTTTTTTCTTCACACGCCCATCGTTCCAAGCTCGAAGCAAGTTTCAAGTGCGAGCTTAGACTCTTAACAAGTGTGACTGGGAATTTTTCCTGTCTATACTATCTCCTTTTTTGAGCACCCTATTTGTATGCCTTCTTGTTGAGAGTCACGGATATGCATTTCGTCTTACTGTGTTTCTAGTTATTGTTTGTGCTACTGTCAATGCCGGTTGTGCATCGAGACGATGGCAGGCCCCAAGAATGGACTCTGATATTCTATGTAGCATACCATAAGGTACGCTTTTTTTTTTCCCGACTACGTTCTTGCTGACGTCGTCTTTATAGACTGTTGAGTGTACCATCAATAAGCCCAAATTCAACCCGAGGCGAGGAGCCTAGTTCTGGGCTTCTGTAGCTTTCTTGTCTTGTTACTAGTTTGTTTTCTATGGTACTTGACGCTACGCTAAGTTCCAGCTTTGTTTAGGTTTTGCGGGCTGCTATAAAGAAATAACGAGCTCGTACGGGGAGAAGTCAAGGTACGTATCCTTCCTTTGTTCTTTAAGTTCATTACTGACTTTAGGTTGGGGTACTAGGATTTTTTTGGTAGAAGTATCCACTCCGTTATGGTATTAGTCAGTCATCGAATGGGTCATCAAACATCTAGTTTAACTAGATACTCAGAGCAGTGTAGTGTGGGAACATACGTCTTCCCTATCTTTGGCTGGCATAGCTCACGTTCGTTCTCGCTTCTGACATTTTCTTCACAACCAACTCTCCTCTCGGCACCTATCTCAGTACGCGTCTGGATTGGTAATCTCCAAGAATACTAAGGTGCAGAACATGCTTCATCTTTGAGTAAATTAACCCCATCAAAATCTCCACCATCCATGAATTATCTCCGAAGTTCCGAACGCTGAGGTATCCTTTCCGCATCCTTTCCCTTGGATTCTGGGGGAGCACGTTTTCTTTTATCAGGTCAGGTATAGTACTGCTATTCGTTTTTTGTGCGAATACTATTCCAGAAAATGATACTTTTTATCTATATTGTTATTCATGTGGTTCATGACCGACCTCGTCACCGAAGCCTCGGGAACATTACTGCAAACTGAGTTTTGGAGCATACGTAAAGAACTCCGCATTTGCGACGCTCAGGGCCATCGCGACCGAACCAGAAACAAAGGTCACATTCACCGAAGATATTACGACAAAGGTCGTATGGGATGTTCTTTACACCTGAGTCAAAAGGCGTAGGTCGCGTCGGACACAAGGTAAGTGTCGTTTCGTACGATGAGAATATCGTCCTTTAGTCTTGTGCCGTAGGCATAGAACCAGACGCCGGGTTTTTAGGTTGCCCGGGAAAATCTCAGGAGTCACTCATAGAAACCAAATTCATTGGTACGTCAATTGTATTAATTAAGCAGATCTTGGATCTGATGACCGACAATTGTATCCGATCAGCGTTCCTAGTGGTATACTTATGTACGGGATTGGCCCAGCTTCAGGGGCCGAAGAGGGACCAGAACACCTTTCCTACAGTAGAGATACGAGAGAAATAGCAGATTGAGAAAAACTTGACGAGTGAGTCTTTTGATCTAGGTAGGGATCATTCACGGAAATCATAATGGGTCAATGAACAAGATGATGGAGAATACGCGATTCGTATCAATGCATGATACCGTTCAAGATGCCCTCGACCACATGGATGATGTCCTCATGTACATAGTGAGAAACAAGTCCTACCCACATCATCTCCATGTCCTTCCGCTCACCTCGGGGTTATAATTATGCCCACCTCGACAAGTGGCATATCCTTGAAAAAGTCCTATAAAAGAGAGTTGAATTTACAAGGAATAACCAAGTCAAACAGCCCTCACAGTTGTAAAGCTTACTCTCAGTTAACAATGTTCGCTCGTCTCTCTTCCTTTGTTCTCTTGGCTTTGCCTCTCCTTGCGACCGCCACTGCCATCCTTCCCCGTGATGACGGTGCGGCCTGCAGTGCTACCGGTAACGCGCAGTGCTGCGACTCTACTCAGAGCGTGAGTATCCTCGCCTGTAAACCTCGCGATGGCGACGCACTCAATGAAATCATTAGCCTACCGACTTGGACTCTGGTGTTCAGACTCTCTTGGGACTCCTTGGAGTCGTCATTGGTGACCTCACTGGCGATGTGTAGGTTTCCTATCTCTCACACAGCCTCACCCTCTGATACGTTCCTACAGCGGAGTCACCTGCACTCCCATTACTGTCCTCGGTGTTGGAGGCACCGAGTGCAACAACCAAGTCGTTTGTTGTGATGACAGCAACTTCGTCAGTACCATCGTTATTCAAGTCGATTCCCAGCTTATATTTACATAAACAGAACGGCCTTGTTGCTCTCGGCTGTACCCCCTTCAACATCGGGCTCTAAGGGACATGGGCCATGGTCGTAAGCCGAGAATCAGAATGTTCAAGCTTCAGCAGTATTGTATTCATTTGTTAGCCAAGTAAACAGATCGAGAAATCAATACTGTTGGATAGTAGCACTGCGTCATCGATCAGTGAGATTTTCGGACCCCCTGCGACATTATGGATCCAATAGTTAGTTGAATTTTGTCTAATGTCAAGAGATAGATAGACGAAGAGTGGTACGATGGCCACTTCTCATACGCGATTGAAGTAAGATGCAGATATCTAATTTATTAGGATGTATACAATTCTACAAGGAATGTCTTCTAAGTCTAAAGGAGTTAGACCCGCCAGGAGTCTGTCGTCGCCCAGGAAATGGTAGAGATATATGGATTAAAGAGAGCGAGGTCGCAGCATCTATGTTATCATAGCAGTGGCATTTAATATAATAGTTTGTTGAACGGAATTGAAACGAGGACGTATGATCACGGAGGCAGGAAATGAGAAGTGTTCATTGGAACTGAGTTTCCACGCCACTTAAAGCTATCATGGATATTCGCAGGTGAGCGATCGCTACATCAATTGCTGTTCAAAGGAAGTTAGGTCGACTCGGACTATGTCTCTGCTGATAAGAGAAAGATAACGCACCAGCGAACATCATCTCTCCGGGCCGGTTCTCTGACTTGCAGCTCTTCGCTGCTCCACCTCTTGACGAGCGCGTCTACGTCTCCATTCTTCAGGAGCTTCCAATCCGCCTTCGTCACCCGCGCGGGCCCGTTCGTTACATGCGATATTACAGGTGGTTTCTCGATGCGGAACTCCCGCGGTACTTCATCATTGATCTTGCGGATGGCATCATCAACGGAGATGTACTGTCGGGTCATGGGGGAGATGACTATGTCGCCAAATGCACCCATGTTTTCGTTGGCCGCTTTCCACCGTTGGACTAGTAAGGATGGAAGATAAGAACCCTCGAAAAGAAATTAAGAGTCTGGCAGACGTACAGGTACGAACCGCTTGGTCGAGAATTCGGAAATGGCACTGAACATCTACGAAGGAGGCGGGAGGCGGGCCATTGATGTTTGGAGGCAGAGAATCTATGGCGGATGTGATAGAAGTCTTGGAACCAAAATTAAATCCGGACTCGAAGTCGGCAGGCTCATAGTTGAACCGGTCTGAGGAGCTCATCATTGCGTAAAAAAGAGGGCGTATGTCGAAGTAGTGAGGAGCGGGAGTTTGTGCAGTCCCAAGTCAAAAAGGTCAGCTTATATACCTGGTTTTGAGAATTATTGAGGCTCGCATGGGTGGCCTTTGAGCGAAGAATGGCGGTCTAAATTCAAGCTGAAACGCATTGTGCAAGGCTATTGTCTAGAGATCAGAAAGGGATATGAACCATAGACCAACTGGATATCTGTTGCCTTCGAAAATTGATTATAAATTGTTCGAGTCATTTAGGTCAAAACAAATGCCACCAAGTCCAGTTTTCGGGTAGAGGGGTCTTCGTAAACTGTTAAGCATCCAAATTCGAAGAATTTGGATTAAACCAGGTTACCAGACCGAACGATTTCATCGTGGCCAGTGGATTTATTGGCCTAATCTCCTTTTATTTTGGTGGCAGGGCCATGCAACATAAAGAGCTAGCCTTCCAGAGAAGGAAGACTTGGTGCTGAGAGGAGAACACGACGCAGGCGACACTTCAAGTTGTTGGCTGCCACTGAGGATTAATGCATACAACCCGGACCCGATCAAGAATATTAATGATCCTTCGATGTTTCCGGCGCTAAGGATGCAAGGAACAAAAATTTTAGCTTCATACCGAGAGGAAGTTGGTCAGTGAATTAAAACGTACACTGTACACAGTAAAAATAGCATCGGATTTGTTAGGAGCCTCGTTGTTGCCAGTGCTAGTGTCAAGTTGTCCATGTTCATTACTTGATTTAATGCCTGGCTACTATTTCGCTTGGTATAACGCTTGGACAGTGGCATGGAAAAGGTTCGACAGAAAGACGGACAAAGTTGAATTCCCCGGCAGATGCCGCCCTTTTTTTCACGCCCACGTGATGTTCGTTGCCCGTTTTCTCGCTGAACACCACCATCGACGAGTCACCAGTTGCTAACTGGCAACGGCATACTCCCGTCTCAATGACAGGACCTCAATGATTATATGCCTCATGCCCTTGACTGTTATACCGAAGTTCCAAGTCGTTTGGACGATCTCTCACCGACTACATTTCTAGAAATCTCCCAGCTGTTTCACTCCCGAAACGGTTATTCATCGTCGGCAAAGCTGTCTTGGTATCTTATTCCAATATTATCTCATACACCTTCAACACGCTTTTTACTGCCCCACGTTCGACAGCTGGTCTCACTTCCCTTCCATAAATATCCTATCCGTGATTCTGTTACCTCGTACGCTAAACATTATCCCCCAAAGTTAAAACGTTTACCAGCTTTTGAGCCGTAAGTCTTCGACTCGCGGGAGAGACCAGACATTTTGATACCAGCTCCCACAGCCAGTCCGGAATATCGAGTGGCTTATTGGGTCGACTCCCGTGGGTCAACACTTCATTGATAATGGCCGCCTCTTTTCGAATGTGAGAGAACGGCGGTTTGCCGGTATATATCTGCACGTGTTAGCACCGTGAGATGTTTAGTCAATAGCCTCACCTCAATAACCGTGCATCCAAAGGAGTACACGTCTCGTGCAGTGATATAGGCGGGATCGAATTGCTTGTCATCCATTATTTCAGGAGGCATCCACCGTAAGGAGCCGCCTAAGAATGTCCTTGACGAGGAGGTTGTCCCTACGTGCGACTCAACGGCGAGAGCCAGACCGAAGTCGGACAGGCAACAGGATAAGTCGTCCTTGACTAAGATATTAGCCTAATCAGAGATGAATATCAGGATACAATTCAGAACGAAAAGCGGTGCTCATACCCCGCGAATGTCAGCGTGCACTATTGGTGGATTGAGGCCGTGAAGGTATGCGATTCCTTCGGCAACTTGGGTTATCTGTAGAGTGGTCAACCGGAGCAACTGACATTGACTGGCCCGACAAACTGCTGTTATCCGTTGGATCTGATGGGGTCTTTCACTAAGACAAGTCATTATATTCCCATATTCCATCCACGGGGATATCAGACAAAAACTTGGTGCGAAGAGATGCCTGCTGACACCGAGGAAAGGAAGAATACTTGGGTGATAAAGGTTCCTCCAGACGAGTGCCTCGCGGCAGAAATCCTAAATTAGCTAGGTTTAAGTGGTGCTAGGGACATAGAAATTCGTAGGCTACCTTTATCATTTTATTTCGTTGTTCGATGCCGTTGTCCATGAACACACGAAGAACCTTGATGCAGATGAGCTCGTCGTCCATACGGCCTTTCCATATATCCTACCGGCCCAGGAGTGGTGAACCTTGTTGTAATCATCCTGATTAAGAATCACTCACGGCGAATCCACCTCCCCATATGGGGCGGTTGCCAATACGTCTCGCATGCCGGCATGAAAAGGAGGTGGGAAGAATACCATGGAATCTCGTCATGTAGAATAGGCATTTGATACACCGCGCATGATAAAGAGTATCTTCCCTGTTTTTATCGCATTCCTGTATCAGAACATGAGGAGTTTAGCATTAACGATACGGACATTTATAACGTACCAGCTGTAGAAAATTGATGACCTTGTCAGAATTATCAGGTGCAACGCGAGCAATATGCCTGAAAGGACGGTCAGATCGGAGAAAGTCGCGTATATCAGTTATCCAAGGTAAGCCCTCGAGATTATCTTCGGCGTCTGATTTACCGCTTTGATCATCGTCCGAATCAGACTGGCCTCCGAGGAGATCAATGTGCGCATCAAAAGTAGTTGTGCTGACGCTTGTTGCGCTCGTGTTCAACAGTGACCTCAAAGAGGTCCTTGTGTTCAGGTTTGTATCAAAACCCTCGTATGCAGAATCGGCTTTAGCCTCCTAGGATGACCAAGGCGTAACTCGGCCATATGAGAACTCAAAGAGGGAAGGGTGCTTACCACATAGTCCCAGATTGCCTGCCTGATAACGCCTATTGCATCACGTTTCTTCGTCCTCATCCTGAAGGGGAGCTTGTACCACTTGACAGCTCTTATTGCTTTGACAGCATCTGTTAATGTTCTGGTCCACTTCAGAAATAAAATATGAAGAGAGGTTAAGAAGCCGTACTGATGCAGCATGACTTCGGGACCGACGGGGTTGGGATATTGTTCTAGGCAGTTTACAACCTTAACAATAGCTTTCAGAAGTTTTCGGTTCCCAGGTAGGTAATCATGGTCCTGGAATATATAATCAGATTTGGGATGTGAGGCGTGCCAAGGCGGGAGTTTGTACTTCTAATAATTTCCCTAAAGTTTCAACATAGATTTCAAGAGTATCGGTTGCGCCGACTTGATGCAACGTCTTGAGTGGATATGGAGAGATCTGATAGTAGATATGGTTAACCTCAGTTAAGCCTTGACATGGGCGCTCACGGCGGCAGGACCAGAGTCACTGGTCGGAGAAGCAAGCAATGAGACTGGCGTCTTCGGAAGGAGGCGAAAAGGTCCAGAAATCTAATTTCATACACAACTCCGTCAGACTTGACCAGAAAAAAAAACTCACAGCAAGTGGGGAACCCGAGTATGTCCTTTCTCGAGTAGTGGAAGCGGTAGTAAGCGCCGCCATGGATGATGGATAGTAGCAGAAAAGAATAGCTATTGAATTGCAAGCGCTCCCAGACACGAGGCATTGTTTCCCCCATCATGAATAGTGATCACGAGTACCTAGCCGGATTTATGCTGAATGATCGCTGCAAGATCGGAGACCAGGAGCCCAGGATGGCCGTCCTGAGCTAACGGAGGTTTGATTCCGGACACCGGTTGCAATGCCGGATTTCCAGAACGGCAATCAGTGGCTGTGCTCACACGCTCTCTTCGCACCAACACCCACGTCCGCTACAGTCTGAACACTGAAAATGCTAGTATTAGGTCTTTTTTTGTGTTTCCAATGCCTTTTTCATATCTAGAAACTCGAAAAAATAATTGCCAGCATCTCAAGTGCATGCTGATCACGCACTACCCCGTCTTTCCAGACCTTTCCTAGTGCCTTTTCGAAGTCGCTCAGGAATATCGACCTTCTTAACTAACTACCATTCTGGGTGCTTGCTGCACAATAAAAGTGGCGACAGAAAGCATGGCTGAATAGCGATTCGAATGGTCCCGTGGCAAGGGTTGGCGCTTAAATAAATATGGACCTGATTGCAGCCTTCAGTTCTCGGCGCTTATCCAGTTGATCAAATCTTCCCTACTCGGCGCCTTGATGTGTGCTGCTCTTCTCTATTCTTTACCACCACATCGCACGCTGCCTTACTGTACTAGCTGCTGGGTTTTCCAAGGTTAACATTTTCTCGAACCTTTTTTTCACGCAACTTATTCTCTCCTTGCCAATAGAGTCCTATTCGTATCTTGTCACGGCGAGTCTTCGCTACGACGGCATTCCGTGGGCGCTTATTTTCTTCTTTTTTTGCTTTCCATTGGTGCGTGATAGGATGGCTGCGTAAACTATGGGAAACTCATTTCGCCTCTTTATCTAAGATGTATTAATCAGTCCATAGAATGGCCGCCATCGCCCAATATGTGCCTCCAGAGCTCTTGCGAGAATTTTTCGTCTATGCCTTTGATGGTCACAGCGAACATGAATCTTTAGATGTCTCTCGCGGACCATGGACTATCTCCTACACATGCAGTAGCTGGAGAGCAGTGATCAATTCTTTGTGTCCCGAGGTATGGACGGAGATCCGCATCCACGACCCAGTATATCAGCCTTCCTATGAAACCCGGCTTCGAACAATCCTCGAGCGTTCGCAGGACCAACCTCTCCGTGTTTCCTTCATCTCTTCCAAAAACGATGCGATATCAACTTCCCTATTCCACGCCTTGATGCGACATGCAAAACGATGGCAGACGGCTGTGTTGCGCATTGACGGCCCTTATCTCCTGAAGATTCTCGCTGAATATGACGATGGTTTCCCCATCCTTGCGGAAATTCTCCTGGACGCACAAATCTCCCCCATGTGTATCAATGCCTTCCGGAATGCTTCATCATTAAGAAGCGTTACACTCGAGCGTCTTCCTATGACCTTCTCTATCCCATTCCCCACCTCTCGTGCGGTTAATTTTCGTGATACGTGCGTGCGGAGGGACCAAATATGGAATAGTCGATACTTAGATATCATACGCCACTCTCCATACCTCCGTACGTTCGATGTCGTGCACTGGGGAGGGTCTCCATCCCAGGATCTTGTGACTAACACTTCCCTGTGTGTACTTTCTGTTTCCGATGGCGGATTCCTGCGCGCGCTATCTCTTCCGAATTTGGAAACACTAAATCTTCGACCCAAGATCAAGGATTACCCAATGCAATGCTGCCCATTTATCGTGTCGGGAGTGCGAGACCTTTTTATGCATTCTCATTGCTCCTTGACGCATCTTTCGATCATCAATGCTGATATTAGTACAGAGCCGAACGGCGATGTTTTCCTCGAAGCACTATCTCTCGTCCCTACTCTGGTAGCATTTCGGCTTTCCTTCAATCCATGGAGGGCAAATACAGATGTAGCCCTAGAGGTATTGGTGCAGCGTATGATGGATACAGCTTTCCTGCCGAGCTTGCAGAACTTCTCGGTTGAGATAGATGATATTACTGGCGTCCAGTACGTGGGGTTCGTAGACCAGCAATTTATTGCAATGGTTGTTGCAAGGACGACAAGGGAGGGAAAGCTGGTAGTGTCAGTGAAAGCAAAGCATCCGAAGGGCGGTGTTTTTATAGCGTTGGGTGAGGAGGACCGTTTGAAGGAGTATAAGGCTGTTGCCTTGGAAGTATTTAGAGGCGAAGACAGGCTCATTTAAGTAGGCGTTGTGTGTTATTCAGCGGTGTAGGAACTAATGAACACTTTTCATACTGCCAGAATTGTAGTCCGGGCTCAATGAAAGGACATGATACTGAGGATTTGTGTTCAGGCTTCTCGGGCCGGCTCGTAATATCACACAGACCGAGTCGCGCACCTTTTTCATGTTGGATTTACGAGATAGATTCTGGGATGACTCCCAGGATCGGAATATCTAACGACCTCGTGTGGCTCGCCTTGCATTAAAAACGTAAGGCTAAGGATTACGGCAGTGCATGGGGTCCCTCCGATACGCAAGATGACTCACCTTTGCAACTGTACCATCTGTTGGCGAATTCTGGACACCAGTCATCAGAAATTCTGCCTGTTTCCGTTCCAATTATAATGGATGGTAGAAGCCCTTCGATGCTGCTCCTTCGATATCTAAGCTTTTCTCCTCATGCTGAGGGTCATGGCAAGGTCGAGGTGCCGCCACATCCCTGGTCCGAGTCGGAAATTGTCCATGACTAGCAGCTGGGCTTCTACCACTCCGTGTGCGCGTGTATCTCAATGCATAAATACACCCCCGATAGATGGACGATGTTGATCCACATTCATTCCTCACCCACAATTCTATTCCAATGTCTGTTTTACTCGCTGTTGCAGCTATTATTGCCGCTTTGTATCTTGTCTATTTCGCTAGAGCACGGAACGCTGGATCCCGGCTTCCCTTACCACCCGGGCCACCCGGAAACTGGGATATAACAAGTCTCTCGTCACTCACGTATGTCCGTCTCATATAGCTTATCATTATTATAAACTTATAGCCTTGCACCCAGATCACTTGAAAATCTGGAATCCCTCGTTGAAGAATACGGACCGGTCTTCACTCTACACTCGGGCTCCAAAGTCGCCGTTATCATCGGGAGACGACAGGCTGCTGTAGACATTATGGAGAAAGAGGGAGCAGCCCTCGCTGATAGGCCGAGATGGACGGCTGCAAGCGAGATAGTTTCGGGTGGGATGAGGTTGCTTTTGCTCCAGTCTGGAGAAAGATTGAGGAAGTTTCGAAAGTGAGTTGCGAGACATGGGTTTGAAGAGGGTGCTAATCAGTTTGGCAGAGCATTGCATACACATCTCCATGCAAAGTCGGCTAAGGACTATGAGCCTCTACAAATGCACTATGCGGCGAATCTCGTGAGGAAGATCGCTGAGAACCCCGCGAAGCATATGGATTACGCTAAGGAGTGAGCGGGGTCGATCTTCTAGCGTTGTTCTACTAGACTTATTTTCGTCTTGTATAGATACGCCGCGTCGTTCGTCCTATCTCTTGCCTATGGCCGAACGGGGTCTGTAGACGTGAGCGATTCGGAGATAGTTGCGATCCAACGATCTCTCAAGCGTGTAGGCACTGCTGTGAGACCAGGAGCTTATATGGTTGATGACTATCCTTCTTTGAGGTAAGTACAGCGTGGTCACCCCTTCTGAACGATACTAATAAAGTAACTATATTAGATATCTCCCTTTCTACCATCCAGAGCTGCGTTCATGGCACGCCGAGGAGCTTTCGTTGTACCGAAATCAAGTAGCAGGCGTCAAGGATAGCATGGTAAGTGTTCCCTTTGCTTTTTTGACAATGATATTGATACTGGACTTTATTAGGACACGGTCCAGCCGTGCTTTTCCAAGTATCTTCTCGAGAATCAAGCCAAGCTCCGGCTGAACCACGACGAGGTCGTTTACCTCGCTGGTACGATGTTCGGTGCCGGATCTACTACCACGGCTAGTGCGATCAGCGTGGTGATTATGGCTGCGGCGTGTTTTCCGCACATGCAGGCATGGGTGCAGGAGGAACTAGATGCTGTTGTTGGTTGTAAGCGAGGTGGGTTTCCTTCTTCAGGTTCGTAGAGCCTCTGAATTGATGTGCTGGATTCAAGTACCAACATTTGATGACTATGTTGACTTGCCTCGGGTTCTGGCGTTCGTGCTGGAGAGCTACCGGTGGAGGCCTGTTGGTGGGAGCGGTAGGTTGATGTCCTCACCCTCGTTATATTGGTGCTAATGAGTTCTTCTGAAGGCTTTGCTCATCGAGCATCTAGGGATATCATTTGGGTAAGTCGCTCACTACTACCTTGGTCCGGAGAAGAATCGATACTGATGAGCTTAATCTTAGCGAAATTACTGCATACCAAAGGACGCTATCGTCATCGGAGACCACTGGTCCATATGCCGAGATCCCTCGGTCTTTGCGAATCCAGAAGTTTTCGACCCTACTCGCTGGTTCGATGAGAATGGATCTCTCAGATCAGATGCATCGTTATTCAGTTTTGGCTTTGGAAGACGGTAAGAGTTGTTTAGCCGAGTATTTGTGTTTCCCCTTGCTGATTTCGTGTATGCAGGGTATGTCCTGGGAGATACGTAGCGGATCGCTCACTTTTTATAACGACTGCCCTGCTGCTTTGGGCGTTCAGGATATCGGAGGATGAGAAAGCACCTATTGACCAGCGAGGATTTGGGGGAGAAGGGATTAGTATTACGCCCGATGCGTTCGGGGTGTGCTTTGAGAAGCGGGTGGAAAATATGGGAGAATTGTTGGAATGATTGACTCAGAGGACATGACAGAGGGACTTTTGCTTATTAGTATGTATTACAGATGATACAACGATATTCGGGCCTGTATTTCCCCTTGACTTAATGGACATTTTGAAGCCAGGGACCCACCTTCTCCTGTGCCTCTTCCATGGCCTTCTGAGCAGAGGAATGCTGAGATATAGGATTACCAGCTGTGTTATAAGCGCTCAGATCCTGTAGCATCAAAAGGACATCAAACACGTCGACTTCGTCTTCCTGTTCGTTTCGTATGCTTTTCTGGACTTTGCTTTTGCGCTCAGCCTTTCGTTGATCAGAAATTGCCTTGCCACCAGGGTAGAATGAGTTCGTCCACATCGATCTGACCTGTGTCAAAAATTCATCTACAGGCCATGTCGTGATGAGCGCCGAAGCGTAGACCGCAGCGAATAAACATTGAGGTGGCCAGGTATCGAGCTGGCTAATAGGGGGGTATGCGGAGGGCCTGACCAGCTGAAATGCTGAGACGGAGATGCGCGGTTCTAGTTGTACTCTAGGTTCAGCAAAATCTTGCACGGTCCATCGAGCTTCATCGGGTGCAGTCCCTTGAACCACGTCGGTTGTCTTCATTATAAAGTTAGGCGTCTGCTTTGTAGTGAGCCCGAAGTTACATGACATGAACCAGTACATACCGGAAGAATGGCAACACTACGGCCAAGCACGATATGGAAGATCTTATTAACCAGCAAGCCAGTTCGTGGATCATCAATGCAAGTGACAACATCCCCACCGCCTCGTCGCTGTGTAAACCTTTCAATGTACTGAATATAGCATCAGTAAAAGAGAGAAATAAATTATTCCAGGGCGAGACATACTTCGCTTCCCTTGTTGTGTCCAATGAGATGCGCAGCTTCACAAACAAAAGGTGGGTCATCAACGGCGACGCAAGTTCCGTCGCGCTCGACAATCGATGTCCTGAAAGTAGACGACCGGTTCTCAGAAAGAGTGGTAACAGTTCCGTCTTCGAAATCGGGGTCGATAGGAATTATTGGACCACTGGTATGGAAGTAGAGTAAGGGTAGATTCGAAAGGCGCATCATAGTCAAACCCCGCTCGACCTAAGTCTGTAGAAGAAAACGACAGGCTGCCTTCAACACCCATAATGCAGTAGCCAGCATAGCACAACCATCTGTACGGTTTTGATAATAACTCGGTCAGTCTGTCTATGGGGATTTCGAGACAAGGCAGCCAAAATTCAGAAGCTGGGGCGTTATCAGGGCCGCGAAGAAGGACGTAGAGGCGTACGCATCGCTGTTCTGGAGTCGCCATGGGTGTTGAATATTGGAAAGGAGGATTCCAAGTGAAACAGAAAAAGAGCATGTGATATATATACCAATCTAAGACACCGACTTTGTATAGTTCTTCAACTTCAGAGAGAAAACAAGAACTGTACGGCAAGATGAGGATGATATATCCGGGCGTCAAAGTTTTTCAAATCAGACTCCTGAATAGCCCTCATATCACGACGCAAAAAAAATCGCTCTTCAGGCCACTATCAGGCTCCCTTTCAGGACCAAGGATCGCGATATCTAGAACAGTATGCACCAACGAAGACTCGGAACTCTGACTCCGATATGCTACTACGTCTGACGACTCTTGGCGTGTACATTGATTAATAGGCAGATCAGAGAACGAGGACAGGAGCGTTATATGTCCTCCAACGTAATAGCTGCTATGAGGCGCTGAGTGTTAACCATGAAACGAAAAGATAATAACTCGCCCGACCAATGCAAATACCGAGGTCGTGAGACGTCTAGGATGGTTTCAGGGAATAGTTAACAAGCATCCGCATCTTCTCCTCCGCTGCAGTCGCGCATTGTGTCTGTACATGAGAGGCCAGCACTCAGCTATTTTCGAAAATAATCAAACGCTTTTTCAGCAATGTTGGAGTCAGTAACCGTTGCACAAAAGTGTCCAGACTCGGATCCGGATTCGATGGACTGCGAGCGAGACTCTAACCAGTCGTTGGAAAAAAGGTGGGTTAAGCTTCATGGAGAATACTAGAGCTGAAAGAGAGAAGGAAAAGCCTACCTTTTCGTGCCGGTCAAAGAGAATGGTGGTGGTGGTAACCGACAGCAGTCCCGGCCCGATTGACCGGGAAACGGCAATTTTTTGAAATTCGTGTACAGCAGTCTGACTCCGATGAGCAACGAACATTTACGCATCACCGTGGATGCCGACTTCGAAGGTGCAGTGTCCCAGAAAAGATTCAAGAACAGCTACTAAAGCACACGTACTATTAGACAACAACGTGTACTGCCAGCCATGTGTCACGATATGCCAGCAATGCGGCAGAAATTTGCTTTTCCTCAAGTAACCCCAGTCTTTCTTCCTCTGAACTCTCTCACAAGCTTCGCGAGTCTTGTGAATTGCGGCGATCGCGCGTACACTACAAGCTCCTAGCGAGGCTTAGCGTGCCACCTGTTTGAAATTCGGTTTCTCCAGCTTTTGTTCGGGCATCAAAGAGCAATATATATTCGGCTGCATATGTCTCACTAACATCTTCTTTGTTTTCCGTTCCATAAAGTCCCGTGGAGTTCCCTGTTCGCCAACCATCACCATGGATCGCCTTGCCACTGCTAGCATCCCGGATTCACTAGCGAAATTAAAGGAGCAGGGAAATGAACTTTTCAGAGGAGGTAGCTTTCACGAGTAAGACCTGATGACATTCACTGAAAATGTGCGACGCTGATTATGAACTGTTCCGCTAGGGCCGCTAAATTGTATCGTCAAGTAAGATGCACTCCCGCCACAGATTTTTGGTGAACCTCACGTAGTTTACTAGGCACAGGAATTGTCATCTGAAGACCCTGTATACACGTCGAACCTCAGTGCTGCACTCTATGAACTAGGAGACTATCCTGGCGCTTTTGACGCGATTTGTCTGGCAGTAACAAAGTCCAATGCCGAATCCCCAGATTTCCTACAACGCTTATCAACACGGATGGCTAAATGCCTGCTGTACGGAACTGTCGACCATACTTTGGTATCCAAAAGAGCGTCCATCGTCGAGAAGTTGGAATCGAGTTACCACTCGAAAGAATGGAAGATGGTGCGGGCTGTAGAATACGAGGCTGATAGAAATGCAGCGGGTAGAGTGGCAGCTCGATCTAGACTCCTTGATCTGAATAAGCTCAAGTCGAATCTGTGAGTAACAATCCGTTCTTCTCTTACTGTATCTGACCTCTTACCTTACAGTAATCCGACGCCTGAATTCTTTAAGGTGTGTCCACTTCTCCACTCCCTTGCGTATCTGATACCAATATGGTTCATAGATAGGACACGATAGTCCGATGTCCATAATAGACAACTGGGGAGCTTCGTATACTCAAGACGTTCCGCTGTCGCTGAACCAGCTCTCTCCTTCCAAAATTTCGCAGTTGTCTTTCCTATTTGCCGGAGTTGGGGATGGTGAGTTCTTGTTGTCTTGATTCCTTCTCCACTTACTGATCGCAATAGCACGACATGTCTTTGGATCTCTCATAGGCTTGGGGCGAGCGTTCGCAGAAATTGGAAAGAATAAGCGAAAGAAATTCAGGGCGCATCTGACGCTGCTTGACATCCATCCGTCTGTATTGGCACGCGACCTGTGCTTCCTTATACTTCTTGACAACCTCGTGTCCGGAAAATACGACGAAAAAGAGCAAGTAGAAATCAAAGCGACACTTTTCTACTCGTACATTGGTATCGTTATGCCCGATTACTGCTACCAAAGGTACGTCAATTTTATACTTCTTGAGTACGAGGTAATCTTCATGGTTAATCCAGATTCCAAATGACCGTCGCGCAGCTCATCGAAAATCTCCAACGCGACCAGCCCAGGCTTCCTGTCTGGCTCCATGTAAATGCAAGTTCGATTCCGCGAATTGTTAACTCTCTTCGACACTGGTCCTCTGATCTTTCCCTCAAAACGTCTCGAGGAATGCTCGCAGTGCACCGCGTACCCACGCCATGTAAGGATATAATGGCGGACCCCACCATCCCTGACGAGTTCAAAGACAATTTGTTCGAATCCACGGCTCTCAGACATATTAATTACATCAAGGAAATCATGCCGGATGACGAGGTAATCGAGCTATTCCATTCTGATGACCTTGGAGAGTGTCCTCCGCCAAATCCACTGTTTTCCGAATTGCGATCAGCTTGGCTTGATGTGGGCCGGAAACAGCTTGCTTATGATGCGTATCTTGCTTTTCGTAAGTGGGATGTTGGTGTTACCCTTCGAGCGCATCGTGAGGAGGCCTGGTATGCACACACGCATGTCTTCTTACCTCCTGCTGTCCTACGAAAAGACCACCATTCACGATACGAACAACTCTGGAACGCTGTGCGAACCAATGCTCTAGCATCAGCTATTGACGCAAGGATACTTCGAGAAGTACGTCTGATTTTATGACCCTGGTGCGGTAGTTTTTGACTATTTTCCCAGGTGAAATATGATATCGACCGGACTTGGAAGCCTAATCTATCGCTCTTTGTAAGATTTCTCTCTACTATGAGTTCTTTTTCTGATATCTACGTGGATGGAATCAGGACCACGATTGGGATACCAGCAATGGTTTTGAATATCCAGTTACGAACATCAACCCTTTCAGCACCATTAAGTGCTTGGAGGAATACGTCACCTCCTACCATATACTCCAAGATGAAGCACTTGTCGATCGTCAGAGCCCATCTTTCTCAATTATGAAACTCTTTTTCGACAGTGTTGTCAAGTCGTTGCGTGATCTGCGAGGTCGGGTGCAACTTGAGGTTCTGCTAGGAGATGTCTGTTCCGAGCTCGAACGATCAACTAGTCGGCCGACTGATTTTCCTTCTCAGTTTACACGGCTTTGGCTAAGTAACATTCCGTGAGTCAAAATAACGTTAACGCGTCTCATTCGTGATATTCATTCTTCGGATTTAGTGATTACATTCAAGGACCTCTTGGAGCTATTATCTACGTCCTGTCGAAGGCCGACCCAACTCAGGATGCGGCTGTTGGCTTCAACTGCTTGTACAGATCAGGACTGTGGCCAAGCGGAGATTCGTATTGCTTCAAGTAAGTACTAGTTCCAATCAGACGTATGAACTGAGTTCGGTGTCTCATTGCAATTCTTCCTAGCTATACATCCTTGCGGATTGAAGAACTCCCTCGATTTCTTGGCTGCCGGGTAATTACCATGATCCCAACCTCGCATATCACCCTCGTTCCGCAAACACTTCCAAGACCCTTGCACGAGCTTGCTTCCAAAGCCGAGCTCGTCGTGTGGCTGACCATGGTTTTCATTTACACCATTCTTCCCGGATACTCGAGCCATATTCCCAGTGCCCGAGTCATTAACTCCGGCAATCTTGTGATGTTTGTTGACTTGCTTGTACATCTTCATCGGGTCGGGTTTCCACCGCATTGGCTGGGAGACTTCCTCGGAGCAGTACTCTCTAATTCTCTCGTAACCGATGTCGCGACGTACTCCGGAGAATGGCCTGTCCCGCTTGAAGAACAAGACAAACGTGTTCCGCAAAGAAAGGTCAACATCTATCCGTGGCTCGTTGATTTGGAAAGTATTCTCGCAGACGCGTATGAAGCGATCCCTTTCCACTTTGTTCGTCCGGCAGACTTTTCCCGCTGGTCCAGCGATATAGGCCTGTTCCAGCTTGATATTCCAGCGAATCCGATTATGGCCCAGGACAAATTGACTGGCGTCTTCTTGGTATTCTATAGTCGCACGTTCACCAAGTGCACTCATCATGATTTGACTTCTGAGATGCATGACATTTTTGAGGGGCGCAGGTCGGTCGATCATGACAAGAAATTCTACGTGCTCACTGCGACTGAGACGGTGGATGTGTACCATGAGGTGATCAGATGGCGTATGAGCAAGGCAAGAATGGCGAAGCTAAGGAAGGAGAAGTGGCAGGTGGCGGTGTATCGTTCGGATTTCCGGTCTATGTGTGAGTTGTTCTGACAATTGCTCCGATGAAACTGTTCTCATGCGATGACGCAGTAGTTGGTCCTTACGTTGTCGACAAATCATTCGACGTAGTAGACAAGTAACGTTTCGGTGGTCTGAAGTGCTTATCCTTTGTATGGCAGAGAATTCTACCCATTTCCTTTGCCCCTCATTGTCGTTGAAGCTTCAGGTTTATGGCATGGCTCAACTCTCGGGACTGAGGTCCAGAAGGACACAGAAAATCCGCATACTCGATGGCAAATTCCTAAGTCCTATTAATATCTCGATCCAGATATTTGTATAGTACATAAATATTGAAGATCATATTGCCACAATCGCTCCAATTCACGCCAAATTCTTTAGTCCCTTAGAGAGCAATATTGATGGGGTTGCACCCAAGAGCAATGAGACCATTCTGTTAGTAAAAGCGTTAGCTTAGATTCGACTTAAATGACAATAATACTGACGAAGCTGTTGTTCTGGCAGCAAACAACCTGATTGGAGCACTGAGTGGTGCCGAGACCAATAGCAGTTATTGGGCTGCAAGTGAGACCACTACAAAGATGTATTTAGCCATGCACCACGACATTTTCAGGAGACATTACCTACACATTACCAGTAAGGCTACCAAGGGCGATTCCGAGGAGACCCAAAAGGCTTTGAATAGGGTCGGAGGTGGCCTATTTTTCGTGTTTAGCCTATTTTTCCAATGCTCGTGAACGACGATAAACTCACGCTCTGAACGGACGAGCAGCACTGCGCGGTGCCAGAGGCGCAAGTCGTACCATCTCGGGGAATGGCAGTGGCGGTCGCAAGGAGAGGCAAAGCCAGGAGAGTAAAAGACGGGAGACGCATTGTGAACTAGGAGAGAGCTGTACAACTGTGCGGGTTGTTCGACTTGATGATACCAGTAAATTCATCTCCATTTTATAGAATTTGGGCCTCTTTGCTATCCCCGAGTGCAGAAGTCATCTGGACACCGACTGCAAGCGATAATAGCTTGTCCAGACAGCTGCGCGACTGACCAGAACGAGGAATGTGTACGTTTGGCATGAATTATGCCCTTGATGACTGTTTCTTAGTGGAAATGCCGTACCGCGATGACCTATGTGCCTGAGGAGGCGCTGCAAGGAAGCTCGTATCAGTCACTAATTTACGGCGAAAACCTTCCCCGACGTACTTGGCCATTGTCTTGAGTTTATGCATTGATAACGATTGGCGTATATTTCAGGGCAGACTTTCCGGTTATCCCATGAAGAAATGCCGCCGCCGTGATCGCATTGACTGGACGCCGCGTTTACATTCCAACAAGAATCGCAATTGGGATCAGAAGATTCGAAAGTGCAGCCCCCTTTTTCGTGGCATGTTACTCGCCTATTTCTTCAGAGCAGAGAAGGCGATCTCTTCCGTGTTGATGAATCTTCCCGGCTTTGCAAACACACTGTCAAATTATACCGGAAGCAATTGTCGGTACACCCTGATCTGCTCAGCTCCCTAGAAGTGACGTACATTTTAGATATGCATTTGGAATATCGGTGTCACCGATTAATGCAAATCTCTATATGAAAGTGCACACTCCGGGCGACCATACTAGTGGACATTTGAGACTTCTATGTGTTGGTGTCGATAGGACCTACGAGGAGACACATCACTTTGTAAGGATGTACGGTGAACGCTACTTACCTCATGTCGGACGTTCCCCTGGCCAGGTCCGACTCATTGGCAGGCGCAACGCAGACCGTAATAATGCCATTGAACACACCCACTGGTGAGTCGTCCTTCTGATGGCTTGTAAAGTTAGCATGACAACAGGTACGCTGCCTCATATGGCACATGTAGTATTCCTTTTTGACAGTGCCGGAATTTTCAGGACCCAATATCAACCCAATACCGCCACGGGGTGACCGAACGAGACACGAATCGAAATTATGCCTACGCGCACTGTAGTGTGCAGGAAGAAGCATGGAAACCTACAGATAGAATCTGAAGTAAACGTGTTCCCAAGACTTGTACCGCCTGAGCATGGAAAACCTATAATAAGATGATGTACGAATAGCGGTCCTGTTATTGTCCTATTCGGCCCTTGGTAGTAGACGGCGGCATGGTTAACACAACAGATAAATGTAAATAATCATAAAGTACTTAACTTCATGAATTCTATGCGCCGATAGTTTGGCATTGCGGCTACGTGTTCCTTGTCAAGTGGAGAACGCAAGTGGAAGGGGCCGCGGTAAGAGACAGTACTGCTAGTACTTAGTTAACAGTGTTCGTCACGAGGTCCAACCGCAACCGCGTGAGAAACTGCCAATTTCAATTTCAATTTCCAACTCCAACTTCAACTTCAACTTCACCGCAGACGCAGCAAAATTTGGTATCCTCGGATCTGAGGCTATTGGAATCACGACTTGGAGTACAGAATGAAAAGCACTTTTAAAGGTACATTTATTCTTAAAGAAATTCGTGTAAAGTTGATATCAAATGACCAATGCGGTTAGACGACGACGTGTATAGCTGGCCATCGACAATCATTTGCCATAAATGCAGCAGGAGTTTACCTTCTTCTAAAGATCCTACTCTCTCGTCTTCTGAGCTCTTTCAGAGGCTTCACGAGGGATATTCGCCTGCTGAGTCGGAACTAAAATCAATTTCCGGTGTTCACTCACAGATAGTCAAGGAAGTCGTCGCTTACGACGTTGAAATATTGCGACTCCTACAGACTCTAGAGAATTTGCACAGAGACCGTGACAGGCTCAGGACCTACGCCGATCATTATGGCACCCTCATATCGCCAGTACGACGACTGCCTTACGACGTCTTACTGCAAATATTCAGAGAAGTTTGCCGAAAGCAATACAACATCCATGCACCTCAAATGTCCCTGCGTCTTGGGCTAGTTTGCAAGCACTGGCGTGCCATTACCCTCGATTCGCCCAGCTTATGGTCAACCATCACCATTCCCTTGAACTTCTTTCCGTGGTCTCGATGGAGCGCTCGCGACAAGATCGTTCAAATTCAGCTGCTCCGTTCTGAACAGATACCCCTAACTCTTGAATTTCTTACTCTCGATGTCGACGACCATGATCATGCCTTCAATTCCATCGTTCAAAGTCTTCACGGACAGCGGCATCGTATTCGTCAAGTCGAATGTTCCCTCAGCGCATTGCCGCTACTCCAGAGTGACATGCTGGAAGCGGCAGAGGACATGGTTATCATGGGCCATTCATGTACTGAACCCCTCAACCATTACACCCTCCATGTCCCCAACCTCCGATCCCTGACAATCGGTGATCACGTTCCGCTCAGGCGCGTCGATATCCCACAACATCTGCATACGCTCAACCTCGTATTAAGACGCAAGGACTTCATCTCTGTCCTGGATAGTCTACCTGGAATGTGCAAGCTGCGTTACCTTACCATCGAAGCGCGAGGCACGTGGCACTCAAATAGGAATGTGAATCCTATTTGTTTGAATACAGTCACGTCCCTCACTTTGCGCAGCCTACATCCCAGCAATGACAACACCTCGTACTTTCTTAGATCCATTCATGTTCCTGCTTTGTCCCATTTTACTATCGTTGGTGGAAGCTTACAACTGGACGCTATCAAGTCTCTACTTGAACGGTCTAGCCCGCCCTTAAAAAGCCTCGAGATCATGACCAACGTCAATACGGTCCCTGTGGATCTCCCCAAATTTATGGCTATCCTGCAGGCAGTGCCGGGTTTGACAACGTTAGCGATCCACGAGCAAAGATCAAATGTCGCTGTTACAGCATCGCTTTTGAGGGAGTTGGTTTTTGATGGTGATCACGAGCCCCTTCTTCCGAAACTTGAGCATCTCGAGCTCGTTTCGGGTACGCCGTGGACGGACGTGGAAAAAACTATCATGCACCTGATCCAGTCCCGGCATGGAGGTTGTACTAGTTATCGTGGTAGGAGAACCGATGCACCTCTCAAGTCTGTCATGTTGAACTGGCAGGTCCTATGCACGAAACCGGTCTTTCAAGAAATGAGACGCACGGGGCTACAAATATGGGAAATACTTCCGATGCAACGTATTATTCGCTGAGGTACGGAGACTTGGACGCATCAACAGTGTTGAAGGCTAATGTTCAACTATAGAATGGTCTTTTTGCAAGCCGGGGCGGCGGGTTGCTCCTGGCCATGGCAAACATTCCTAGGAGTAAAATACGAGTAAAATACAAGCAATGTGTTATGTGTACGTCTATGGGATTGAAATGACATTCTTCGCTTTGATTATTTGCATAACTTTTCTCGACTTGGTGATTAAATCGCCACAGTAGCTTTGGGAGCATGGATAATCCGTTGCTCCTTCAGACGTTCGTTTATGTCGCACAATAGTCCCCCTAGCAAGCTTTTGGAGATGATATGAAGTTGACGTACCAACTGATAGCTATTTTTCTGCTCTGATTTTCAGATCTGAGTATACCACTCTCCTTAGCAGGTCCTGGTCCTGCCACACATTGGCATCACATTTCTTCATTGGCTTTAGCGGCCGACATAGAACAGCCCGACGGTACAACATTCGTTACGTCTGTCTTATCCCAATGGTAATGTGTTCACCTTTCGAGCTGCTTCATTGACGATGACGAAACCAGGAAGGTAAATGAAAGTCTCATCGATAGAATACCCTATCCAGGAGCGTAGGTTCGGGGTAAGAGATGAAGACAGGCGTTATAACAATGCAGGGGAGATTACATTGACAAAGTCTGAAAGCTAGAGTCAGGGTGATCCCCTGATACCAGAGAAGCCTGGTAACCGTGATAGCGAGAATGGTCCCATCCGACCCTCCTTATCGATTCTACCACAGATAATGAATCTGGGACAGCAGAATAACAGATGTACTGGGCCTCTGGACCTTACATAGAGTTCTGCAGCAAACTTTGCCTTGCGGCCGGGCCGAGTTGCCGGGATCAGACTCGGCAAGAACTCGGACCGACTGAGAACAGGTCCGATACTTCCTTTTTCCTTCCCACCTAACCGCGTTACTGGAACTGTGGTCAGCGAACCGACGAGCTTGGCGTCAAGCTCATCAGCGAGCGCGAGTACAGCCTCGAGTGGTGATAGTAGGAGCCTGAGCGCCAGCTCGACGGCTACCGAGTCTCCATCATGGTTCAAGTTGCTGCTGCACTCCCTCCTGTTACAAGCGTAACTATGCTGGATGGACTGGATGGGAATTATATCAGTGCATATGAAGCTTGTCTCGAGTTTGAAAAGTCGGCCCCAGCCGACAGCGATGCATTGATTCACGCAAGGATACTGGGCTACTTGATTATCCATTCCCCTTCTCGCACTGTGCTTCATGAAGTCGTCAAGGCGATACAGTCATGTGCAGGGGATTATTCGGAGCTGTCTCAACTCGGACAGATTTTCATCGACTATTTCATTCGTCCCTGTAAGTTCCCCATCACTGTGCAATAAGCGTAGCCTTGATATGCTCTTAGTCAAGAAGTTCAAAGGTCGGACACCCGCGTCCTCGGATGATTCATCGCGCCAGTCATCAGATAAACTCAAGAGAGATTTGAGGTCTAGAATTCAGGAAGCACCGAAAACGCATAGAGAGGCAAAGGATCTCGTGAGTGGCGACGTGCAATGCTACTCTCGCTGAGAACTCACACTCTCTAGGCTCTCGTCCGAGACGGGTTTCGGTGTGTAGTGACCGGCAAGTACCACCGGGACGCGCTTTCCGAGGTTTCGGCTTCCCCCGAGGAGATTCGGGCAGCAGGTGTGGTGCACACGCAATGTGCACACATTGGGCCGGAAACAACCTATTTTGACATGATCGACCAAGACTCCAGCAACAAGAAGGTGCGCGGTCGCCTGTTTTTCTACACTGTTGATGACCTTATTCTTGCCAGCTCGACTACGCCGCTTCAGTGTTGGCAGTTTTGAAGGGTTTCGGCTATGATGTTGAGCAAGTCAATGGGACAAAAGTACATTCTCTTTACAATGTCATAACAATGGAATCCAATGTCCACGACTGGTTTAGCCGCTTGGAAATCTGGTTCGAGCAGACAGTGCGCATTACGCCAATACTTTACCTGGAGGTCCTACTGATTCCACTACCACCCAGAAAGTCTCAAACCGTTACAGGATACGATCTATTGAGGCCTTTTACCGGTTGCCGATGGAGGTAACGTTCACTACTCCAGATAACGAGAGTCTTCCCGTCCCATCCGAGACACTCCTCGGCCTGCATGCTACTTGTGCCAAGGTCGCGAATTTTTCTGGGGCGGCCGAACACATTGATAAGCTTGACTGTGGTGTCGAAGACTCGGGTGTCCTAGCATATGATGGAAGTTCGGCAGAGGTATTGAGTAGCGCCCTCTTGAATCGCATGAATCAAGTTATTGGCGTTCGGACCTAAAACGTCGGGGGAGATGTATGAGCGTTCTGCAAGGTTATACACGTGGTGGAAAACCTGAGGTCTTCCATGTCTTCTGGATCCCTTGATGGTCCTTTTCCTCTCCATCTCTTGATCATGACCACCTTCCGACTCGCCTCCTTGTCCTTCGAGAAACACAGTGCGTGCCCCAGGAACTCAAAGTTGGCATCTATCCGTATTCCGAAATCTTCTTTCCCAGCAAGCTTCCCTCCCTCCTCGTCCTCATTGTCAGGTGAAATCATATGCCTCTGCTTACGGTTTCCCTCAACTTTGACTGGCTGCCCAGTCGACGACAAGATTACTGCTTGACGACCAGGAGGAACATAAACTTGTTGGAACCGGGTCATGTACCTCCACGCCACGTACTCAATACGACATGTCCCCGTATATAGATGCAAGGCTGTACATTTCTGCGGTCTCTCTTACCTACTCTATAGTCTCTTAGATGCTTGTAGATACTTAGTTTGTTTAAACCGCGCCTATACTCACGCAGTCTGATAATTTCTGTCCGCTGTTCAACTGTGCGTTTCGGTCGCCTAAAACATCCAAGTCTGTGCGCCTGGTTGAAAATTTATTGATATTTTTATTCAAAGACTATCGTGGGACTGGTGATGAGAGACATTGCCTAAATCCATAAAGGTAGATTGAGGCGCGCATTGCCATTTACGTTCTCTAGAGTTAGGAATCAGAAAGGGTCACAATCATGTGATCCGTGACGAAGCGCGTTAGGCTGCAGCCACGTCCAAGTTTGCGACTTCGATCAGGTGCCGACATAGGTTCGTAGGACGGTACATTCAAAGACTCTGCGACACGCGTCTGATATTTGAGTGCTCATACTTTTTCTTATAGAACTTCAGCCCTATCGATTTCTCGATTTGTACATACGATTACACTCAGTAGCAAATTCAAACCGTTACCGAGCATGCGGGGAAACCCATGTTAAAAATCAATATTGATGGAGGTGCATCCCAGAGCAACACAACAGTACCGTTGTGTTCATGCATAGATACTAAGTGTCCGATGAACTTCAAGGGCCTCATGAGATGTTGTATGTGACATATTCGTTCCTTGTTCAGCACTATTGATTTCTCGATCTGTCTACTTGTACAACTGATGAATACAATGTCGCTGATACGTTGCCATTTCCGAGCACTTGTGAAACATTCCCTTAGAGGCCAATGTTGATAGGGGTGCAGCCCAGAGCAATAACACCGTTCTGTTTGTGAATATATAAGTACAAAATTGATTTCCGCAGCAAATTACTCACGAAGTTGTTGTTGTCACAGCAGACAACTTGGTTGGAGCACTGGGTGCTACCGAGCCCAAGGACGGTAATAGGGCTGCAGGTAAGACCACTATGAAAGGATTTAGCCGTCAAATACACACTCAAGTGGCGAAAACCTACACATTAGCGGTGACGCTGCCGATAGGGATTCCGAGGGAACCCAAAAGGTTCTGAACGATGGAAGAGGTGGGCTATAACAGTAGTTCATTCAGCTTCCCGCGATGAGCCGTGTTTCGGCAGTTGACTCACGCTCTGAGTAGAAGCGCAGCACTGCGCGGTACCAGTGGCACTGCACGCCGCTCCGTCGGAACGGGGAAGGACGGTGGCGGTCGCAAGGATAGGCAAAGCCAGGAGAGTAAAAGTCGAGATACGAGCAAACATTGTGAACTGAGATTAAGCTGTACAACTGTGAGGGTTGTTCGACTTGGTCATACCTAGTAAATCCACCTCTCCTTTATAGGTTTTAGCCCTCTCAACTATCCCCGAGTACGGTGATCATTTGGCCATGGCGCGCAAGCAATAATGAATTACCCGACAGCTGCTAAAGTGTGAGTGGCTAATGGGCACTTGACGTTTGCCGGGTAGACTGGTCGTAATAGTATGGTATTCATGATGTGGCGCTGGGCGGAAGCGAACATCAGTCATAAAATGGTGCCTTTCGCGGCGCAAAAACGTACTAAGCTATTGTCTTGAAGTTCAGATTTCCATATGGATCATATAACCGTACCCCCTAAGATTTTTTGTGAAGAAACAATTTGATTGTAAGGTTCACCGTCGCACCCTCATCTTGATAGTTTCGTTTTCCAGTTGAGACTAATCACCGCAGCCCTGAGTACCGTGACGAGACTACCAGACTTGTTCCCTTGTTCATTTTCTACTTCGTTATTTCACTGGCATATCTTTCCCTTGTAGATATGCTCGGTCCGTGATGTGCTGGCCGCTCCTACACCATCCAATGGCTAACGCCTATTCCCTCCGATCGGAAGCAATTACAAAATCAAGCACCCTGATCTGCCACTTAAATGAAATATAACGTACATTATGAAAATTCTAGGGGACACCAGTCATTTGTGGGGTTCCCTGATAGTTGAAGTGGTGGTGGCATTGGAGGCCTGGCTTGAAACATGAACTCATTAGTATGACAGTCTGGTGACGACCAGACCCCAAGGCCAACCAGGGAAGGAAGGAAGGTTATCCCATGTGCAATACTTACCTGGTGCCGGATGTTAGTCTGGCCGGGTTTGACCCAGGTGTAAGAAGCATCGCACACGATGCAAGCCGTAATACTGACGATAAATTTTCCAATGGTGGCTGATTCCTGTAGTGCTTTGAAAGAGCGCTTGTCTATGGTGACAGATCAGTAATAATACTTCGTTATGATCGGAGACTTAACAACTTTTCGTGAATGGCCGAACCTTGCAGGAAATCTACGATGTTCCTAGCACAGGATTGGAAGTAGAGGTCTCTTGTTCAAACAAGAGTTGCGAGGCACAGAAATGAAAGGAATAGTGTTCTTATACTCTGCTTGATGAAATCATGCCTGAACCATATGCCTCTAGAAAGAACTCCTTCGAGAGTAGAACGGAAAGGGTCGCAGTAACATCACTTTGACAGGATACATCGCCGTTCGGTGTCTCAGAAATGTCAAGGATAGAAGAGATCGGGATGAGGAAAGGCGATGAGGACTCTCGTAACACGCAAATATTCCTGATCAGCCCTCTCCAAAGTCTGATGGAAGGATTATCCAACAAGTTTCTGTGAAAGCATGATCTCGTCCTTTTCCAGCTTCAAGAGAAAGACGAAGCGAACACAACATCGAGTGGGCCCACCTGTCGGAGTATCCAATTGAATAATCCTAAGAAACACAGCCCGTGACAAACCACGCGCCATAAAGAACAAAAGGATATGTTCCCGGTCAAATGGGGAGGTATAGCGCTTGCCAAAGGGAGCTCTTTCTCCTTATTCACATAAGACAGTACGTGAAAGGAGCGTCAGGCAGAAGCCTGTGACCATATAACTGTCCTTCTCTGAAGCTCCGGAACATAACATCAGAGCAACATGATAAACAAGTCGGTCGCCGTCGGTCAATGTGCATTTTCGGCTGCTTTGGAATCGCCGTCACGGTAGTAATGCTCAGAGCTGTATTCCACCAGAGAATGAAAGAGTGGCGTCTACGCGGCTATCCTCGACACTTATCCGTGTACGCGTCACAGGAAAGACATCCAGCCCTAGGCGGTAAAAGCGAGGCAGTGGAACAACCAACGGATAGCAGTAAGGAAGCTTCTCGAGTAGAAGGATGTCTTCAAATTGATGAGGATAAGTAGCCAATATTTCCGAAAAATATTCTAGCATAGTGACGTTTCCTTGGGGGTATCCATCTAGAAAGAGTACATTTTTAGAAATATGGTCTTGAAACCACGAAAATAAAGATACCGAGCCTGTTTGTTGTAGGTATAAAGCTTCTTTGTTCCCCTAGACTATAGACCGTCACAACGTACACTAGTAATCGTCAAAATTTTTATCAGTAGGTTGTTGTAGAAATTTGAACTTTGAAGGAAAACCTTGGCAGTGCTTATCAGAATCAAATTACAGAAAATATGACTATGACACACAATAAGGCCTTGACGAAAGTTATTCTCCTTGAACGGTCATCGAGTATTCAAAAAACCAGACTCGGGATGTCGTCCTTTAACGGATTTTCTGGACACATGGGCTATGGCCTGATTGGGTCCATGGTGCTTGGGTATTCAATCGTTCAAAGCGATCCTGAAACTCAATTGGTCAAAGATCGTATCTCCCAATATCGGCTAAGGAAAGACGAACCAGTAATCTAAAGCAATTCGTTATTACAGTTATCAACCGGTCTTCTGTACATCAAATCTTAATATCGATTTTTTTATTCCTCATCGGCTCTTCCTCATAATTCTGTCTGGCATAAAAGTTTTCTATATGGCTGTAGATGCTACATAAATATTTTCACAATTTTATAATAATATCCTGAGGCACAGTGAGTGATTTACGGGTGTACAGATGAATGGTCTTACATAATATATTCTGAGTCCTGATTTCGGAGGTCCACCACAATTCACAGAATGCACATACAGCCCTGGAAAGTATCTCAATTTGAAGCATGGATTTTATACTAAATTTTAAGCACCAAAATCACCTGAGAATATCAGAGGAATGATGTGCTACACGGTGTACAAAGGAGTGGTGGCGTACAGAAGACCGGTTGATTACTGTACTCTCCGAAAGTCACTGTGACGCGAGATTGTCTTGCTACGTTGGAAATTTGCGGAAGTCTATGAGAGAAGTCTTGTCTCCTTAGGAGGGTCCGGAGCACGAGCTGAGAGACGAGGACGGTCAGAGCCCGGTCGTGGTTTCGAAAGACAAGGGGTGTATTTCAAATTAGCTGAACGAGGAATAGGTGACAGTTACAATGTCAGGTGATATGTGACTAGTCGCGCGACGCGTAAATACTCGCGTTTATTCGTGACGCGGGCCTACTCGGGCCCTTTGGATCATCCGTCAATCCCGTAACTTCAGCTGCTCAATATTCAGCAGATCGCGATGTGATTCCCTCTTCTTCGGTTTAACCTGGGGACCCTGAGGAACCCACGTATAGTGTACAGCTCCAGCTTGATTACTTACTAGTGGCACGTCACATCCCCACAACTTTGATATTATCGAAGCAAAGTGTTCGCAACTATCCCTCGAAACATTTGAGTATAGTCTGGCTTTCGATGGTTTCCTGGGAATCTAACGCAGGAAGCACAGCTTTCCGTGTTCAAAACATTAAAGCAAGTCTGAAGTCTACAATTCAACGGGTACGTCGTGCGAGCGATAAAGATGAAAAATGTCTACTGATGTTACTCCAGGATTGGCAGCAACGCAGAAAATTGACGCATAAAGTTGGATGCGAGCCGAGGACAGAAAGATGAACTATTGTCAAGCCCAGTCCAGTTGTTACTCGTCAATACTCGTGCAATTCACGGCTGTGATAGTTCCTTGTAATTTTTCTGTCAGCTTCGTCTTTGGATGAGAACACTTCAAGATGGCTTACCATCGTTTGCAATGAACAGCTCGTGACCGCAACACATCTCGCCCAAGCCAGGATTCTCACTAGACATCATCCTGGTGTAAGTAGCTTTCAGAGCAACTGCCGGAACACATACCACCGCGACGTTCCCGCTTCGAGGTCACCTTCGGGACCGGTGCAATTAAATCCAACTAATTTGTCTTCGGCGAGATACCCTGCCTGGATATCTTTCTCAGCAATGAGCGGGCTGTCGGCCGGTTCGACAATTTCGCAGCATTCGACGAGGTCGCCTCTGTCGTAGCAGCTTGTCGAGTTTAGGGCTGTTACGCCGACGAACAAAGCAGCAATAGGTAAGAGGGTTCCGAAGGTGAAGTGCATTATTAGCGAGCTGTGATGGATTGCGATAGCCTTGCGCACGTTTAATTTATGGAGTCTCTGGAGGGAAGCATTCCGTGTGTTCAGGGATGAGATCATCAAGAGCCAAATTAAGATTACTTCGGTACCGACAGTCGACGAAAAAACGATGGCCATGCCATTCGTAGAGATTGCATTTTTATCTTGACATTCTGCATGTCCAAGGCTTAAAGTATCCATAATGCTCGGCGCTGAGAAAACATTATTGATTGCCATTATAATCGAAGTACGAGAAATCCCAAGAGTGTTCTGATCGACTTGGAGGATGGTAGGTTCATGGGGCACGGAAAAGAATAACCAGGATGACCGCCGTGCAGCCACCAAGTATCATTAGTACACAGCCTTTGTGCAGTTCACTGCGGTGTATGTCCCTATTCAGCCCAGATATCAGTAAATAGGTAGAACGTGGTTCCGAATCGACCTACCATCACTGGTGTAAAATACCTGATGGCTGCAGCACATCTGGTTAACGTTCAAATCGCTGCTGCTTGCCCTATTAACCATAGTGCTCGCCCTCTCATGATGAAAACCACATACCATTGCGATGCCTGACCGGCGATTTCGGTAGTGGGAAGGGAGCAGTTGTACCCGACCATACGGGAGGTATCAACAGGAACATCGATTTCCTGAGCTGCAAGGAGGGTGGTGTTGGTGGGACCGAGTTCTTGACAACACTCTACAAGGTCTGAAGAATCGAGACACCGCTTTTCAATAATAGGAGTCGCCTTTGGGGAGGCAAAGGTAAGCGTAGCGGCTGTGACGATGAAGAGGGAAAATCGCATCGTTGATGTATCGTTGGAGCAGGAGGTCCAGAAGAAATAGACTTTCGATAGGGCTATTTCAGGTCGACATGAAAGCATTTTGAATGTCTGAGCCCTTGCCCTAGAAGCTATGGAATTAGTTGGTGCTCGTATTACGCCGTGGCGCTAACCTGTGGCCGATATCCCCTTCCCCTTCTGAAATGAGTCTTGCATGGATTCACTCGAAGACCTGTGACTTATTTTATGTGCTGTGTTTTCTTCTTGACATGACGCGACCGACGAGAGAATAGCTATGGGTTGTAGCGAGATCGAATGAGCCGCGGATGATTTGTTGATGATACATGATAGCAGGCCTTGACGTCTTGTACGCATGTCTTCCGTTGCATAAGTTTAGATAGTGCTAGACTCCTTGTAGTCCTTGTATTTTTGTGAACTGGTGCTAGGGCCTAGGGCTTTCCTAGTCGGCGTCGAGCCACATCGGAATGGTCGGAACAAAGAATAAAACGTGATCGCGAAGCCAACCCTGGCGGCAACGCGCCCGGACCGCGTATGCTAGACAACAACAAACAACAAACGTCACTCAAGTACCACGACGGCGACGGATCTCCTCTTCAATACTGCCCTAACTTCCCTTCTCTACTGTACTGAGAGATTTGGTGGCTCTTATCATCTCTACCATTCGGATCTATCGGGCAACAAAGAATTCAGAGCCGATTTTGCTGCTCTTCGACCTCACCGGGGAGGCGCGATGCCCAATGGAGGGACTGTATATTGTGAGAATTCTTAACTGGTATATTACTGGAGACCGGTAGAAAGATGTTACATGGTGAGGAACGGACGACCTTTTCTTGACCCTCTAGCTGATTGCCGATACTTAGAATTGTTCAATAGTGTTCGTATATTCCATCCGTGTTTCGTAAACACCCTCTATCGAACCAAGTGCATCGTCATCAATGTCAATCACGACGAAGTACGTCTTCTTCGCTCAAAAGTCGGACTACCTATGACCACGCAGCTCGATAAGCTAGTCAGTCTGGCTACACGAGGAGAGCAACGCTTGCAGCGTTGTACCTACACTGTAGAGTACCGTGAATACTAGACACCCAAATACGCGAAGTATTTGAGTGGTTGGTCAAAAGACGAGGGCCTGGAGGGCCGCGAGTTTGGGTTGTTGTCGGAGAAAGTCGGTGGGTAAGAGTATGGACCGACGAGACAAGAAACCCAAAATGACGCGGCAGGCCCAAGTCTTGAGCGCCTGGGAACCAGAAGGCCAGAAGGAAGACGAATCTGGTATACCAAACACTGTAGGGAGCGGTGGGTGGGATGAAAGAATGAGAACGGCCATGAGCTGGCCAACGAGGGAGACGACTGCAGAGTGTCGGGACTCAAAGAATGGGATCCTTCCCCAAGAAATCGGTCTGTTTACACTAGTATACATTTGAGGGCTACGCCGTCCACCTGCTAACTTATCCTCCGATAAGCCAGAAGCGAGGAACGAGCGGATGGCTTATCTCGGAACAAGATGTCAGCCTAGTGCTCTCTATCCAGTGGGTATCAAGAAGCAGCGCGGCCTCGTCTTTTTTGGAACTTTATGGTCTTTCTTATTTAATTTTGGTGTGACTGAAAGGCGACCGGTGCTGCATCGGAAGGAATTCGGACTCGGTTCGCATCAGGCCACATATCTCTGGTGCGTTGTCGTTCTTAACTTTGTAGGCGCTCTCTAACAATATGATCGTACAGATTATCTAATATATACTCTTTACTATCCAATTTAGAAGCTATTCCGTGTGATATGATGAAGTGGATGCATGCATGTAAGATCTTTTCGTCACCGCGTTCGAAAACTCTTCATGACCCTTTTTTAAAGCCACACATCTATACGGACAGTACGCGATACCAATGGGTGGAAACATAGTCGTGCAGACACTCGTCCAACGTCGCTCTTCACGTGGAAAGAAGAACCCTTGATATATGCCTACTTCTGTCATTAGAAGCTCTAGTGCGTTACTACACTCCTTACCCGAATTTTCCGCTAACTTCATTTCCCTTACTACTCAACAGATATTTCTCGGCCTTCCCTGCGGCACACCATGACAATTCAGAGCAACGGAACCAATGCGTCGCGCATGTTGCTCGCCTCTGAATTTTACCCGATGTTACAAGACAAGGCTTCCAGTGTGGCGGGATCGAACGACCACCTGGGAAACTGTCTCTGCCCTGCAGAGGACGCTGTTTCCTCGATGATAAGCATTAACAAATCTCCTCCTCTGCTTAGACCCCAGCGACACGTCCAAGACCTTCGCAGAATTTCCCGACAGTAGCAACTACAGGAAGGCAGAATAGAGAAATGATATCCTGCCTACCCACCCTTATGGTACGCGATGGTTAGTACCTTGACTCTGATAAGTAACGCCAAAGTCTTCCCTCAGAACTATCTCGACGGTTCTCGTGAGGATGTTCTGACGGCGTTTCTGACAAAAGGTAAAACAATTTATGGTCCTGAGGGGGATGTCGAGCATAGTGATTCCGAAGGGTATGCCCGCCTACTTGAAGTCGTCCTTTTCTCGTGACCTCCTCTTTTCGCGGGTAGCTTTCTGTGCTGTGTTCTTTGTTATCAATTGGTCTCTTCGGCCTTTTCATTTGCCTCGCTGAAATGTACTCGCTCAACAGACGCAATAGCAGTCGGAAACGAGTAGCTTAAGTGTACCTGTTTTTCTCTCTGGTCCGGATTCTACCTTCAGGTGCTTCTCAGTGCCGAGTATCGCGCGGCAAATAGCATCGGACTGTACTGGCGCCAAAGTCATGACCGATTTTATTAGCAACGTTCGTTGGATATGTGTTATTTTGAGACGTCTCTGCGGCTTCTTGTGAAACGCTACACATACCCATTCGACCACGAACGTTTGTTTTTGTTCCTGTATACAACGAACCTGAGGTCTCATGGCTGCGTCTCTGCAACTCGGACACTTTGATGAGTGGGACCGCTTACTCTTGGCAATTGTTTCTTTCTATTCGATGGCGTTCCCTTTCTTCAGGGTCCGGACAATGTGCTATCGTTTTATCTCCACGACGAGCTTTCTCTAAGGTCTAGATCAGTAGACGCTTCGATGTAGCCATTAAACATCGGAAAATACAAAAACAATCACCACCTCGATTATTTTCAGGCTCAACGCCGATACCAAGCCTACGGCGATGCATTCTGTCGGCCTACTGATGATACTACAACACGTTCCGCTCGATCCTTGAAGGAGCTCGCCATGTTCTGCACCCGAAAGGTATAGTAGGACAATTTGTCGGGTCTGTCAATGCGTAACCACTGCATTCCTGAACAAACAATCTCATGACTGGTCTCATGCTCTAATTTCGACGCCCCCGAATTCTTCAAGCTAATTGTTTGAAGGACATACCTCATAAAATTCTTGGTTTGGTCACTCAAGACGAGGTGTGCGTTGTTTCATTGGAGTATTATCACTTACCTGTCATTACAGACAGTGCCCCAAAACGTCGGAGGAATCGGTCTCCATCAGACTTTTCTTTGGCAGTATTACGGCCTGTGTCGCGCAAGGTACTTACGACTTGGTCTGGTTAGCGTCCGGCACCAGGTGGGACGTGTCGTTGTGTTGTCTCTTCCTTATTGGCCGCGGTGGGTTCTACCAATGCAACGACGTCTGAGTCGGAATTTTAGGCCGCCTGGGGGAAGTCCCATGAGCGACCCTTTCTTACGACACGTTCAATTCGAGTGGATATATGGGCTTGAGCAGATCAGGGTGTGGGTTTATTCAAATATGCCCCTTTTACTCTGATGTACTTTGCTGGGTAACCTTGTAGGGTTGAGATATGGAAGGGTGGTCTTTCTTGTGTGGTAAAAACACATCTCCGAAGAAAATCAATCAAGAGAATACGACTAGCAATTCTGTCACGATATTTAGCGCAACAGGAGAGGATTGTACATATCCAAATGAGGGTGCGGCGTTCGCTCATTCAATCACAACAATCCTTTGGCAGAAAAATTAGGGCATGATTTATATCATTGTCTGAACCACAAGACAGCAGCCTGTCGCGCCATGAAAAGGTACCGGTACTGACTGATGCTCGCTTCCGCCCACCGCCACATTACGAATGCCGTACCATCTACCTCGCCAAAAATAAATCCTCATACATACGCTTTACTAGCCTTGTGTAGTGGGGACGGACCGTGATTATTCGACCAGATGATCACCGTACTCGGGGATAATAGAGAGGACCAAAATCTATAAAAGAGGGGTGAATTTACAGGTATAATCAAGTCGAACAACCCTCACAGTTGTACAGCTTACTATCAGTTCACAATGTTTGCTCGTGTCTCTGCTTTAACTCTCCTGGCTTTGCCTATTCTTGCGACCGCCACAGTCCTTCCCCGTGCTGACGGAGCGGCGTGCAGTGCCACTGGTACCGCGCAGTGCTGCGCTACGACTCAGAGCGTAAGTCAACTGTCGACGCACGGCTCATCGTGGGAAGCTGAATGAACTATTGTTATAGCCCACCTCTACTATCGTTCAGACCCTTTTGGGTCTCCTCGGAATCCCCATCGGCAGTGTCACCGCTAATGTGTAGGTTTTCACCCCTTGGATGTGTGTTTGACGGCTAAATCCTTTCACAGTGGTCTTACCTGCAGCCCCATTACCGTCCTTGGGATCGGCGGTACCCAGTGCAACAACCAAGTTGTCTGCTGTGATAACAACAACTTCGTGAGTAATTTGGCTGTGGCAGTCAACTGTATACTGACCTATCCGAAAACAGAATGGTCTTGTTGCGTTGGGATGCACCTCCATTAACATTGGCCTCTAAGATAATGTTCCACAAGTGTTCGGGAATGGCAACGTATCAGCGACATTGTATTGATTTGTTGTACAAGTAGACAGATCGAGAAATCAATAGTGCTGAACAAGGAATGAATATGTCACATATAACACATATCTCATTGAAGTAGAATCGTACCATACTACGGAACGGTGTCGAAGAAGGATATCACGAGATGGCGTCTATGTCCATTCATAACGCGCCTTGTCGTGGGTTTACAAGGAACGAATATGTCACATATAACACATATCTCATTGAAGTAGATCGTACCGTGCTACGGACCCGTGTCGAAGGAGGACATGACGAGACAAGGCCCATGTCCGTTCATAACGCGCCTTGTCATGGGTTTTCCCGCATTCTCTGTAACGGTTCGAATTTACTAGTGTAATATATTCATTTGTTGTACAAGTATAGAAATCGAGAAATCGATAGCATTTGCTGTGTAAGAAAAGTATGAGCACTCAGATATCAGCGCGTGTCACAGAATTTTTTGGATGCACCGTCCTACGAGCGTATGTCGACACGTTATCGAAGTTGCGACGGACGTGCCTGCAGCCTGACGTGCCTCGTCACAGATCACATGGTTGTGACTGTACAGTCAGTAGAGGGAAACCCAGGGCCAAAGCCGAAGAGTATAACTTTACCCGACGATTGAAGACGAAGAGGGGAAAGCCACTTGGGGAAGAAGACCATGGAATTGGATTGGATGCTGACTTTTGAGTTCTTGGGGCACATACTGCATTTCTCGAAGAAAAAGGAGGAGAGTCGGAAGGCGGTCACGATCAGGAGAGGGAGAGGAAAGGAAAAGGACAGTGAAGGGTTCTAGAAGGCGAGGAAGACATTAGGTTTTCTAACATGTGTATGCCATTCCAGAATGTTCATACATCTCCCGATGTTTTAAGTCCGAAAATCAATAACTTGATTCATGCGATTCAAGAGGGCACTGCTCAATACACCTCCTGAACTTCCATCGGATGCTAGGACACCCAAGTCTTCGACATCACAGTCAAGCTTATCAATGTGTTCGGCCGCCCCAGAAAAATTCGCGACCTTGGCACAAGTAGCATGCAGGGTGAGAAGTGTCTCGGATGGGACGGGAAGATTCTCGTTATCTGGAGTGGTGAACGTTACCTCCGTCGGCAATCGCCGTCGGTAGAGGGGATAAAGATTTTGTAGTTTGTAACAATTTTTGGCTTTCTGAGTGGTAGTGAAAGCAGTAAGATCTCCAGGTAAAGTAATAGCCTAATGCGCACCGTCTTCTCAAACCAGATTTCCAACCGGTTAAACCAGTCGTGGACATTGGATTCCATTGTTATGATATTGTAAAGAGAATGTACTTTGGTACCATTGACTTGCTCGACATCATAGCCGAAACTCTTCAAAACGGCCAACACTGAAGCGGCGGGGTCAACCTGACAAGAATAAGGTCGTCAACAGTGTATAAGAACAGGCGACCGCACACCTCGTTGTTTTGGTCGATTACGTCAAAATACGTGAATTCCGGCGCAATGTGTGCACACTGTGTGTACACGGTGCCTGCTTCCCTAATCTCGTCGAGGGAAGCGGAAATTTCGTTGATGGCGCTCTGATCATAGGTGCCAGTCACTACGCACCGAAACCCGTCTCGGACGAGAGCCTAAAGAGTGTGAGTTCTCAACGAGAGTAGCATTGCACGTCGCTACTCACGCGATCCTTTGCCTCTCTATGCGTTTTCGGTGCTTCCTGAATTCTAGACCTCAAATCTCTCTTGAGTTTATCTGATGACTGGCGCGACGAATCATCCGAGGACGCGGGTGTCCGACCTTTGAATTTTTTGACTGAGAGCATATCAAGGCTACGCTTATTGCACAGTGATGGGGAACTTACAGGGACGAATGAAATAGTCAATGAAAATCTGTCCGAGTTGAGACAGCTCCGAATAATCCCCTGTACACGACTGTATCGCCTTGACGACTTCATGAAGCACAGTGCGAGAAGGGGAATGGATAATCAAGTAGCCCAGTATCCTTGCGTGAATCAATGCATCGCTATTGGCTGGGGCCGACTTTTCAAACTCGAGACAAGTTTCATATGCGCTAGTATAATTCGCATCCAGTCCATCCAGGATAGTTACGCTTGTAATAGGAGGGAGTGTAACACCAGGCATGATGGCAAGAAGGAAAGCGGGCCGTCATATTTGCCCTTGTTTGGCTCTCCGGATTACAGACGCCCCTTAAGTAAATCGTTTGCTCAATCAAAGATTCGATCAACTCAAGATTCACAAATACGACGTGAAGTACACTGGATACTCAAGTCATCCTCTGTGTAGTCCAGAAGTCGCGGAAGCGTTGACACACGTCTCGTCACGGATCACCTGACATTGTCACTGTCACGCTTTCCCATGTTGCGATTTTTCCTTCGATTTGCCAATGCGCCCTTAATCTTGCAGTCTACCACTCACGCATCATACTCTTCATGAGTATTTCTTGACAGGTACAGGGCTCTTTTGGCATGATTTCAGTTCTACACGAGAACTTGAACTTTTTTGGAGCAACAATTATGACAATTGCTGCTTGCTGGTGCCACTTATGTTTCATCCGAGACCATGAGTGCCTTTAATGAGATCAGCACCGTTACCCTTCATCTCGGCCTAGTGAAATGAGGCGTTAGCGCTTGGCTTGTGTATTAGGTTCTTTCTCTATGCGCCGGGCTCAACTGTCGCTCCATTCTGGCTATCATGACGTTGAGACGGGTAATTCTAGACTCGTTTTGATATAACTATTTACGTCTGGGTTCTTACTTGCTTAAGACTTTCCGATTCTGCTTCAAATTAGATTCGTTTCCCTCCACCTCCTGGACTGGAGAAGGAATCTATTTCATAGCGTGGATACTCAAGCTAAAGGCATAATTCGCACCAGGACACTTTACCGTCAAGTTCCATATCCTCAGGAAGCGTTACCCAAACCCATTTTGCCAGACACGGTTACTTTATTCCTTCACCATGAGCAACCTAGGCACGTCAGCATGCGGGACCGCTTCTTTCTTGGCGACTCTTTCCTTACGTTCGACTATGGGCCTTTTCTACTGATTCTCGATATCGGAAGGATAATACCCCCGCAGCAAGGCTTCTCATGTTACCCTTTACGAGTTCCCTCTTAATAGGCCATCAAAGCTCTGAGTTTTCTCTCCAAAAATACTCAGGGGACAGATCTCAATCCCTCCATTCCCTCTTACTAGGCGAAATAGTTCTCTCCTTTTCGTTGGAACTCGGAACATAGTCTTTATCAAGTCGGTGTAATACCATTGCTCGTGCCATCCGACTCTGCTTCACGTTTTGGCTGAATATCAAATCGCTAGTGATTGTCCCATGATCTCCCCATACTCTGACTTCCATTTTTCTTGACACTTACAGATACAGATTCAGAGGTTGCCGTCAGATTGTAGCGCATACAAGGTACGATCAGTTTCATTACCAAAGTCCAACCGATGAGCTCAATCTGGCTTCTGTCCCAGCAATCATATTGCATTCATTTTTTCCGCTGCGATCCCGCCAGTGCCGCCCATTAACCAACGCAATGACAACAGTCTAATCCAACACAGTGTCGAGATACAAAAGTTCATCCTGTCTGTCTCAAACATGGACTTTCTGTGCGCAGTGGGACGCTCGGCGGAACAAATGTCATCATCCGAGGTTTTTTGTACATTTCCGCAACACATATCTTTCGTCTTAACTTCCCATAGCTATGCCTCATCCACTAGTAATGAAGGCCGGAGAATACTGACATCATGTGGCCGTGGCGAAGGTCTATTTTCGATTGATGCTCCCTTGCTCGCTTCCTACGGGTCGCATCACTTGTTCGTCCTGGGCGCTGTAGTTCCTGCTTCATGCTTGATGACTTCCATTCTCAGACAGGACCTGAATTAGTTCAGAAAGCCTTATGAATGGTGTTAAAGCACCAGGTATTTCTGAGGCCCTTCCGACCTCGTAGCTTGATCATTTCACCATGTTTGCTCGCATCTCTTTCACGGCTCTCTTGGCTTTGCCTCTTCTTGCGACTGCCACTGCTATTGCACACTCACAGGTGCTTCCTCGCAGCGACAGCGAGGCTTGTGCCACTGGTACCGTGCAATGTTGTGCATCTACTCAGAGCGAAAGTTTCGCCACCGATAAATCCTTGTCGGCACAAGAATACTGAACAGCATCTTAGTCCAGCGACTTGAGTCCCAGTGTTACGGGCCTCTTGGGTTCCCTTGGAGTCGACATTAGCACCCTCACCGGCAATATGTATGTATCCCACATTTTAAATACTTAGGTATAGCCCTCGGCTAACTTCCTCGTTTTACAGCGGTCTGACTTGCAGCACTATCGCTGTCATTGGCCCTATCAGCGTAACCCAATGCAACAACCAAGTTGTCTGCTGCAGTAATAACACATTTGTTAGTAACACTGCCATGCGATTCAACCATTGTCTTACATTTTTTTTCCCGCGAATAGAACGGCGTCGTTGCCCTCGGCTGCAACCCAATCAATACCGGCCTCTGAGAAAGTTTGCGAGTGGGAATTTTTGCGAGGTCAGAGAACGGTGCGGAGGTTAGACCAAGAATTAAATAAGCTTTGAATACCAAGTTTATTGTCTTGGACCCTTTTCTGGGACGTTCCAATTTCGAGCAGCCCATCGCCGCGAGTATCACTTAGGCAATTACAGCAAACGACCTACGAGCTGGACTAAGGTATTTTTGAACTAAACTTTGCCTTCGAAAAATGCCAAAATCTGAGTAGTGCGTAGTGTGAGCAGGGGAAAAAAGACATTACGAGCAAGTCAACGGATTGCCGAGTTAACGACTACTATGGTCGAAGAGCAATGTAAATGAATACCCCAAAGAATCATGCAACGAGTTCAACTTTTGATGCAAGCTCGCCCCTGATCAAGGGGTTCTGAATGAATGGCGCGATATTGCGGTCCAGTTAAGCAACTTGATAAGTGAAGCGCCAATCAATGAATATGCCATTGAGCGGGTACATTAATCTTGATACCAAAGTTTTACAGTCATGTTTCCCGGCCACGACAGGTGTCTGGACAAGAAAGGGAGGTATAGCAAAGAGGAGCTCAACATACGTCAATTGCTTCGAGCCTTCCTGCCTAAGGGTCCTAACAAGCAACTGCGTGAAGAGCCCATAGTACCCGTCCCCACTTTTCATCTCTTTCGCAAACTGAAATTCCCTACAAGCTGCTAGAACAACGTGAGAAGACATGTCGGGGACCCAGTCCTTCGACAGCACATAGGGAACGGCAGGGAAACGTTTCGTACTCTCATCTGCAGCACGGAGCATGCGTATGAGTGCGTGGATCAGTGGGAGTGCAGAGCGCACGCCTGCGTCCGGGAAGTATCTAGTCGCAGTACCCGCATGAGAGCAATCTAGAATGACAATAATTCTGTGTCCTTTAGAGCGAGAGATTTGAGTAAGTATGGAATTGAACTCTCGATCACTGATATCAGGAACTGGATCTCCGTCGCTGTCAGGACAGTCGCGGTCCATGGGGCAGAGAGCATAAATGCTTTCCCATTGTGAGAACGGGACACTACAGCGATCGGCATCGTAGGAATTATCCTCCCAGTCAGAATACGAGTAGCTGGTGCCACGTTCGGCAAAGTAGATAATGATGTTATACCCGTGGTTGATTTCTGGGTTGTTGACCAGACTATGAAGCACATGTACAATGTTGTCGCGGGACGGGATACGTGGATCGTCGGGAAGGGCATGGGTCGCACCGAGAAGGAGCTGCATACGATGTTTAGGTACATCGAGGTCTTCGACCAAGTAATTTTCCATCAGTAGAGCGTTTGCTACAAAGCTGCTGAATGGATATGACGGATAAGCGTCAATGGCTATAACGACGGCCCAAAAAGATGAGACGTCAATGGAATGTAAATCCTACGAAGACTGTAATATTCTATCAGAACCGAAGCCAAGCACATACAGAAAGACGTACCTCAATATCACCCATCATGTCGCTAGATATCCCACAGTGCCCTTTTCCTGGGCATGAGATTTGTCGACTCCATCTTCCGGAGTCTCCATTCCTTCTTTCGTCTTCGTCACCATCCTGGAAAAAGATGAGAAAGGTGATCCTAAATTATCTGTGATGTAAATTTATCGTAGTATGAATAGCAGGATCTCACAACGTCCTTCACAAAGATAATTGTGGAACCTTTCGCAAAAGAAATGGAACGAGACGATGAAGGCAAATACGTACAGCTCTGCGGATTTCATTGGGAACAATGCTGGTGTCAGACAAAGAAGGGCTCAGTGGATCCAAAAGTGATACTATGCAAGAGGTAGTGATAAGCGGCGCTCGACCACTTAAATTGTGTTCCAGTAGCAGTGGAACCCCTTGAATGTCGAGGGTTGGATTATCGTGCTGAACGTCTTAAAATCATTAACTGTATTCAGATTCAAATTAAGAGCACAGATCTTCTTACATCATCTAAGGCGTCGTCACCAATGAGAACAGGAGTTGGAGACATGTTGCCTTGATCTTGCCAGATGAACGACCGTCGGCCGAAGAGTGGAGCGCTAAGCTCCGGCTCAGCGGTCCGCAAGGAAATGGGCAAATAAACAGCAACAAAGTCTGCATTGCGTCGACCACCATTTCTCGATGCACGTTCGCGTTTGGCTCGTGTTCCTTGCTTATTCCACGACGGAAAAACGGTATCTAATTTAGGTGCCTCCGAAAGTCCGAAGTCGAGGATGGCGAAGCGCTGTTAACTCTTGGCGACCTAGCGGCATACATCAAAGTTTGTATCGTCCTGATTCCTGATCGCTGCGTGCAGAGTCAAAACGACTACCCTTCTGCGGAATAGAAATGGACTACGCAGTAAATGGTAGGCTTCACATATGTTTTACCGGCGCTCCCTCGGACATCTCGCCTGCCGAGGACATCGGCTCTACAGCCTATTCAGCTCGCAGAATGTATTTCAGTCGTTGGGGCTCTCAGACGTATTTGACGCTTTCTTCTTTACGTAGAGATGGGACTGACCTCAGGCTACTTAGGCTGATTTCGTAGCCATACGAGAACTTTTTTGTGATGCATATTGCTATCAGTTAAATAAAATTTCTGAGTTGCTTATGCTTTTTTTTGTAGCAACTGTGCACGGTGGACTTCAACGACCGATGTGCGTATGTGGATAAGCTTCTTTCATTTCTTTAATCCATATTCGTACTAATCATTATCCAGTATTCTCTGACATGCTGTTATGATGAAAAACTTCCGATCCGTCTGAGTTATAGCTCTGCTTCTACCGCTGTTTGTCTTGTCATTCGTTCGGTGCATCTCTTGGAGAGAAAATCGTGTAGTGGAGCTCCAAACTGTCGCCCTATCCGTGACCGATTGCTTCGGTATGAATTGAATTCACTCAGCTCCCAGCATCACTGAAGTCCATTCAACCAGGAACGGGTCATTTGCCACTTCCACATGAACTTCGTATACGTGTACTGTTTTCGAGGAAGTGACTCTCAATAGATGGAGGTATTTGTTCTCAGGCATGTCTTCCTTCCATTCGATTGTGTGCTCTTCTTGACGTGTAATTCAATGTTCACCCTCCAACAGAGATTTTTGTCGTCATCCTTCACGTCGTGTATTGGGTATAATTTTGACCCCGCTATTGACTTCGCTATTGGCCTTGCGGGCACTCTCCCCAAGAATATTCAGGCACAGGGCAAGTTTTTCTCGTCAACATCATATGTCCATCTTCAACATTCGCGACGGCTCTAGAACTCCGACTCAGAGACGTATTCTGTCCCGCATAGTACTTAGGCGTCATGGTACAGCGGCTCGTCTGATGGACTCTTCGTTGGGTTCAAAGACAGTTTGCAGCAAGGTAGGCATTATGGTGATACTTTGCGCCCTAAAACTAAAAGTTATGAAGCGTCCGTCTCATGACAGAACTCGTGTTAACTTCTATGTATGAATGCCGTACGTGCGTTCTTTGTCTCCTGTCCGGCCCGGCCGTTCATGACGAGCCATAGGTTGTGCGCTTGATCAACTCCGTATATGAATGACTGTATCAAACCTTGGAGCCAGACGCATGAGTGATTTATTTCTAGATCCTTACCAGTGCCGACATAACAATCTTTAGAAGGAAGTTGACTTTGGACGCTCCCCCTCCACACCGAGGAACCCGACATTATGGAAAGCCTGAGGGGACAGTAGAAGCTTACGGTTGTATCTGGTTCTCCCGATACCGCGTTGCATCAAGTTGGGCTTTTTCCGAAGAATACCGCCATTAAAGTGTCTCAGTGAGCGGGATGGCAGCGGGGAACGTCTATTAGATCTTCGCAGCCCATCTTCCATGACCGTGGGCTATGTCTTGTGCGGGAATGATGAGCGGAGAATGTTTGCACTGTGATAAGGGACTATTTTTGGCTGATATTTACTTGCTCGCTTCCGCTTACCATGAAGAAGCACCCGATAACCGAGGCTTCATGATCCCAGACCGCGTCATTCATGTCGTTGGTTCCCTCCACTTGACCTGGGCGCTCACACAGCCGCCGTTTTTGTTTTTATTTCGTGGCCGAATGACTCGCCTGTTTCCCAGACGAAGGCTATTTAAGAGCCGTTAAAGCACCAAGTGCCATCAAGCCCTCACAGCTAATCTCACTTCAGCAATGTTTGCTCGTATCTCATCTTTGGCTGCTCTCCTCACTCTTGCGACAGCCACAGTCCTTCCCCGCGGGGGTGGTGACGGTGCCGCTTGCAGTGCTACTGGTACCGCGCAATGCTGCGAGTCTACTCAGAGCGTGAGTCTGTGTTCGTCGCTGTTGGTCCATATGAACGCTGAACGAAATTCTTGATAGCCCAGCGACTTGAGTCCCAGCGTCGTGACCCTCTTGGGCCTCCTCGGAGTCGTCGTCGGTGATCTCACTGCCAATGTGTAGGTACTCCCACATTCTAACTAGACATCGTGATTCATGACATCTTTATAGTGGTCTGACCTGCAGCCCCATCTCTGTTATTGGTGTTGGTGGAACGAACTGCGATGCGCAAACCGTCTGCTGCGACAATAACAATTACGTCAGTGACAATGTTATACAGATGGGCTCCACACTCACATTTTCTGACTAGAACGGTGTCGTTGCCCTCGGTTGCACTCCCATTAATATCGGCCTCTGAGGGACCGGGGACAAAATCGAGGCGTTTCAGAATCTTGGAAAATGTATTAGTTCGTTGGTCAAGTAAACAAGTTCAGGATAGTAGTAAACGTGCCAATGACGATTGTTTTTTTTTTCGCTTTCCTGGTGGTCGTTGCCTTTGAGAGCTGCGAGTTCAACGCAGAACGTTCTTTTTTTAGATAGAGTCAGTAAGAGCACTAAACCCTGAAAGCAGCAGGGCACGAACTCAAGAGAGGTCCATACTAAGACCAGACTCACGACCGTATCAGTCGAGACAGGTTGGATGGTGATTTTGCATACTTTTTGGAACTTGCTCGTGCCTTCGTTGTTGTTTGCGCTTACTGCCAGGCCACTGTTGTCATTACCTATTCCTTGAATATTATATCACGGGTTGGCGTTAGTCTGAAAGTCCGAAAGATTCGGGCTCGCTGCAATGGAGAAGTCCGGGAACGCGGCCCGAGGCTCACGTTGACATCGTCACATGTCTGTGCTTTCGATTCTGGTCGCCTTCGTTTAGCGCTAGCCTTCGCTTCCAATTTAACCACCGTAAACTTTGGGCGCCCAGTCCCACTATTCCTCATCCATCTACTATGTCTGATGTACCTACATTGAGTGTAACTCTGCTAGGTGCAGGTCAAGAAGTCGGACGGTCGTGCTGCGTATTGAAATATTGCGGCAGGACTATTGTTTGCGACGCGGGCGTCCACCTTGCGTACAGTGGAATTGCGTCGCTGCCGTTCACTGACGAACTCGACTGGAGCACAGTGGATGCCATTCTAATAACACAGTTAGTGCATTTCGCTCGACTTGTGTGACTTTTGTAACATTATTTACCGACAGTTTCCACCTTGACCACGCTGCAGCGCTTACCTACATCACAGAAAAGGTATGTTTCATCTTTTCATTCGTAGCTGAATGATATCTTGATCTTCCAGCAGACAAACTTCAGAGATGGCAAAGGAAAAGTGTACATGACACATCCAACTAAGACTCTCCACAAGTTCATGATGCAGGATTTCGTACGGATGAGGTGCGTCTATTCCTCGCGCTACTGAGGCATAGCTCTTACCATTTCATCAGCTCTACTTCTTCGGATGCCCTTTTCTCTCCTCTAGATATGTCCATGTCGTTCGCCTCTATCATCCCCGTCTCTGTCCACCAAGTTATAACGCCTTGCCCGGGTGTTACCTTCACGCCTTACCACGCAGGCCATGTTTTGGGCGCTTGCATGTTCCTCATCGATATGTCTGGCCTTCGCATCCTGTATACAGGTGACTATTCTCGAGAAGAAGACCGCCACCTAGTGAAGGCGGAAGTTCCGCCCGTTCACCCTCACGTCTTGATTGTTGAGAGTACCTATGGTGTTCAAAGTCTAGACAGTAGGCCCGAAAAGGAGCTTCGGTTCACTAACCTTGTGCACTCTATCATTCGACGAGGCGGTCATGTTTTGCTTCCTACTTTCGCGTTGGGTAGGGCACAAGAACTTCTGCTCATCCTCGACGAGTACTGGAAGAAACATCCTGATTTGCACAACGTACCCATATATTACGCTTCCGGTCTAGCTCGAAAGTCGATGGCCGTCTACCAAACCTACATCCACACGATGAACTCTAATATCCGATCTAGGTTTGCTAAGCGCGATAATCCCTTTGTTTTCAAGTATGTTTCCAACCTCCTTTCAGCCTTTCGGTTTCTTACTTTTTGTCAGGTACATCTCAAACCTCCCTCAGTCCCGCGGCTGGGAGAAAAAGATCGCGGAAGGCCCTCCTTGCGTGGTACTTGCAAGCCCCGGATTCATGCAATCCGGCCCAAGTCGAGAACTCTTCGAATTCTGGGCTCCAGACCCGCGGAACGGATTGATCATAACGGGATAATCTGTTGAGGGAACTCTTGCTAGAGTGAGTGAATCTGGAATTGGTCGTTTATTCAAGATTTCGTTGCGTATGTATATTACAAGAGCAGAAATGGAATTTATTTTTGTTGACTCTTCTGAGTTTGAGGCATCACATTCATCAGCGACTTTTCCCCATCTATAGGACATTATGACCGAACCAGATGAATTCGAATCAGTCAAAGGAGGCATGATTTCCCGGAAAATATCGGTGGATTACATATCGTTTAGTGCTCATGTCGACTACTCTCAGAACTCGGAGTTCATAGAGCTAGTTAAAGCACAGCATGTGGTTAGTGAAATCTCCAGTCTTCTGTAGTTGATACTTTTGCATACTTCTTCTACAGGTTCTGGTCCATGGAGAACAGACGGCTATGGGTCGTTTACGGGCGGCAATGACATCGCGGTACAAAGAGCGAGAAGAAGACGTCAAAATATACACTCCTCGTAATTTGGAAACACTCAATCTTTCCTTCCGAGGTGAACGTGTAGCAAAGGTGTATAAAATCTTTGAATTTTTGTATACCATCTCTTTGACTGTGACACTCATCTAGGTCACCAGAACCTTGGCAGATACGGTACCCCAAAGAAATGACATCCTGTCGGGGCTTCTGGTTGCAAAAGATGATTCATACACCCTCTTGGACCTGCGAGATTTGCGGGACCTTGGAGGACTTTCTACCTGCACCATCACGCAGAGGCAGAAAATTGCGCTCGGAGTGCGTTGGGAACTGGTCAGATGGCATCTTGAAGGCATGTATGGGCACGTAGAGGAAGGGTTCGACAAAGATGGTGTTCTTACCATGCGGGTGAGTCCCTTACTCTAGCTCTAGTGTTCCTCGGTGCTAATCGACGCTTGTAGATCATGAATGCTATCAATGTAAAACAAACTCAAGAACATGAGCTGACTCTTGAGTGGGATTCTAATGCGAGCAATGATATGCTGGCAGACTCGACGCTGGCTCTCATTGCAGGAATTGATAAGAGTCCCGCTTCCGTCAAATGTAAGTGGAGCGATTCTAACTATAACCTCTAATATTGATGCCATACTTTTCTATTATAGTGACATCCCACGGGGGTTCCCATTCTCATCCAGACCCTCATGGACACCCGCATGCAGATTCTAGCTCAGATCTTAACGCCGCATCTATGAAACGCATTGAGCACCTCATCATGTTTTTGAAAGCTCACTTTGGAAAAGTGGAGTTGCATATGCCAGAAAAGACTTATGAAGAAGCGCGAGGACTGAATGGGCCTGGCAACGAACCATCACTACTTGTTCAACTTGATGGAGCAGATGCGCGAATAAATCTAGTCTCCATGGTACGTCTATTCCTGGTTCCGGCACCCTGGGTCAATGACAAAAAATGACTGTTTATTGGTCAGATCGTCATCAGTTCGAATGAAGCGCTGCGAAAACGAGTGGAAGATGTCTTTGATATGGCGGTTACAACAGTCAGTTCCTTGATGGAATCGTTTTCTTCGACTGTTTCTTCATTGCACCATGAGGACAGTGAGAAAAATGCAAATGACGTCTCCTTTGATTTGTCCCGGGACCTGAGTACTGAATCCGGGAGTGTGGGGGCTCCTGATATACGCAGGGCCTGCCGCGAAGCAGATTTAGAACTTGAAGTGCGCGGTTAGTTCTGCTATTGATGGAACGTCGCTAGGCATATATGTAATTTAGTAGGCAATGTCGTGATGCGGTGCCAGTAATGATTAATGAAGTTTCATTAAATCTAGCGGAACTTCCTGGACCGTGCGAACTTTGTGCCGCGCCGGTCACGAAGCACATGACAGTGTCACCAAACACCTTCGTTAGCTTCGACCGAAGCTCTATTCGTCGACAGCCGATGTATTCACAGTACGGAGTCGTGTTGGCGATATCAAGTACCCAGACCAGCGAATGAAGCAGATGGTGCCAAGGCTCGGACTAATGACGAGGACTTGACAAGAATTGCGGTGACGGAGATGAGGCTACTAGCATTTATTATGCTGCCAGGTACGCCCCCGTCTACTTTTTTTACAGAGCAAATTTACTGATGCTTTGGCTGGACCCATAGCATGAACATTTACTCACGCATGCATGAGTTCCAACCACCGAAAGCACTCGACTGTTAATCTCTCCACTGGCTACAGATGCCGATTCTGATCCAAATACAGATAACTGGACTTCGTCTCTTTGATTTAAAATTTTCATCGAAGGTGTGCATATTTGGTTCCCCAATTGCCTCCACATTCAACCAACAATACGAGAGCCGTTCTTCGGGATATGATCGACCGTGATTTTCGGTGTGTGCTTCCTTCTCATTAATGAAAATAGTCCAGGTGTGTGAGTTAGCGAGGGGATTTGTGGCAGGTTCATCTTCTTTTCTGTGTCTCTGAGACGTGTTGCTGATCTTTCTGCTAGACACATGTACGTCAATAAGCTTGTTTGCTGTGAACAAAGGTTGTGCTCGCTGCCTGGAAGTGTTTTTCAAAAAAAATTGTTTACTACTACTCGGGTCCCACTTAAGACGCCACGAAAGCCCATTTGACCATGAACGTGTGTTCTGTTCCTTTCACATGAACTTTCAAAACTTTGTTTCTTACGAAGGGACTAGGAAAAGACTCGGTACTTGTTCTCAGCCATGCCTTCTATCCGTTCTAATACCCGACTGCGAGCCCTTTTCACGTGGAGACCAGCGATGCAATGTTCACTCTCCTTCAGTGAATTTTATCACAATCGTTCCGTGGCCTATCTGTATACGTATCGGATCTGTCATTAATATGGAAGTGACAAGCATTCTCTCCAAGAATATTCAGGGACAGGGCAAGTATCTTCCCCGTTAACACCATATGTCATTCCAGCATCCGTGACGTCTCTGAACTCCGACCAGTGATGTATCCTCGCTCGCATAGGCGCCATGGTACATCGAATCCATTGGACTCAGGAAGGAGCTCGCTCAAGACGTAGCTTCTATCAAGGCAGGCATAGTTCCATTGTCGGTGCCACCGACGTCCAGAAAATAAACGCCTTGTGCCCTAATACAAAATCTCGAAATGTTTGTCTCATGACAGACCTCGTGCTTTGACTTCTATGAGGGTATGTCCTTATTGAAGTTAGTCTCATGGTCGTTCGGCCATTCACCACGAGTCGTAGGTTCCATGTTCAACCAACCCTGCGTATGAGTCATTGCTGCGAAGGAATTTGACAGCATGGAGCATGGACATATTCGCAATTTACAGCTAGATCGGCACCAGTGCCAAAATAATCGACTTCAGAAGGAGTCGGCTTCTGACGCTGTCCACCGACACCGATGGACACGACATTATGGAAAGAGGCTAGCAGAATGGTTTGTATCCAGTTCTCTCGATAATACGTTGCTTTAAAATGGTTTTTCCTGAATAGTGCGGCTATCAATATTTCTCAGCCAGCGGCGAGGCGGGATGGCGACGGAGAACATCGATTATCTCCAAAGATACGACATGCAGATCTTCATAACTCATTTTCCCACGTCTATGGCTATGTCTTGCGGAAATGATGATCGGAGAATGTTGACACCGTGAAAAGGGACTAATTTTGACTGATATTCGCTTCCCTACTTTATGGGGATTGTACCCGATAACCGAGGCTTCACGATTTCTGACCGCGTCATTGGCGTCACTGTTTCTCTACACTCGTTCTAGGCACTCACACGGCTGTATTTTTGTTTCTACTTCATGGCCAAATGTCTCCTCCGTTTCCCAGACGAAGGCCATATAAGAAGAGACGCTGAAGCACTAGGTATCCTCAAGCCCTTACAATTAGTCTCACTTCACCAATGTTTGCTCGTATCTCATCTTTCGCTGCTCTCCTCACTCTTGCGACGGCCACAGTCCTTCCCCGCGGGGGTGGTAATGGTGCCGCTTGCAGTGATACTGGTACCGCGCAATGCTGCGACTCTGTTCAGAACGTGAGTCTAACTTCGTCGTTGTTCGTCCATATGAAAGCTGAGCGAAATTCTTGATAGCCCAGCGACTTGAGTCCCAGCACCTCGCTCCTCTTGGGCCTCCTCGGAGTCGTCGTTGGTGATCTAACTGCCGATGTGTAGGTACTCCCACATTCTAACTAGACATCGTGATTCATGACATCTTTATAGTGGCCTGACCTGCAGCCCCATCTCTGTTATTGGTGTTGGTGGAACGAACTGCGATGCGCAAACCGTCTGCTGCGACAACAACAACTTCGTCAGTGACAATGTTATACAGATGGATTCTACGCTTACATTCCCTGACTAGAACGGTCTTATTGCTCTCGGCTGCATCCCCATTAACATCGGTCTCTGAGGGACTGGGAGAGTCGAAGCGTTTCAGAAATCTTTTATAGTGCATTCGTTCGTTGGACAAGTAAATAAGTCGAGAAAACAATATTGATGATAGTAGTGAACGCGTCAATGACATCGTGTTTCGGATTTTCTAATACTTCCCAGAGGTTATAGCCTGTAAGAGCTGCCAGTTCAGGGCGAACCTTCTGTTATTTAGACAAAATCGACAAAGGACACGCTGAAGACAGCGGTGAACGAAAGAAAACGAAAAAAAAGGGCTAAGAGCGGTCCGGAATACCGTAGACCAGGCTGGAACGTGGTGGACAAACAAACTCAAATCTTAACCGCGAACGATGACGATCTCGGTTAATTCTCAAGTCACTCTCATCTTTTCCCTTACCTGTTCTTCATATCTTCATGCTGGAAGCGTCGGTGCCTACCTGAAGTCTTCATCAAGGTTCTAAGGGTGATGGTGAAGCAATATTAGGTATTTGTTGAGCCATTCTGGTGCGTACATTTACACAATATTTGTGTTTGTCCGTCCTGAAGACCGTTGGTATATAGGCAGAAACCTTCATAAAACATGGCGCATTTCCTTCTATACAGAATTTACCCTCACCTGGAGGTATTCTTGCTTCATTCTCTTGATGGATGTGCATGATTTCGCCCGCCCGATCAATACGCTCTACAAGTTGCCTCCAAACGGATTCCTCTGTGGTTCCATTGGCATCGAAAAGGGTGTTGTTGTTACCTGCTATAGACGATGCCGCGCATCATTTCAGTATCCTTTTAACTGCAACGAGCCAAACCGGCAGCCATAGCCCCATAGTTATAAATGTGGGCCGTCGTGGACCTTCAAGTTACAATCGAAGAAGCAATGCGCGCTTCAGTTCTGGAACAAGTTCTGAGGCCTTTACCAGCGGCCCAAAGCGGCAACTTTTCTTCTCAAGAATCAATACGTTCTGGACAGCAAGTTCTACGATCCTAAGGGTTGTGACAAAAATGACACGGTGAGTACCACTCTTATCTTGCTGCGCTTTTGACTAATTGGCAGCATAGGTTCTAATGCGAGGACACCACCGGTCGACCAACTAAAAGTGACTGGTCTTTTTGCGACTCCCGTGGCGGCTGTGCTCGATGAAGGGAAAACTGGTTATGTAACTTACATAAGCCGTTTCCCCTACACCACATACCCTTTTCCCTTTACCACCACCAGCTCGGTTACCACTACCTCCCACACCACCTTCCTCTACGTTTCACCAACACCAACCACACCTCTTGCCAACTCCAGGAGATGGCTGTCTGCGTCTTATCCAGGCCCTTGGGTTACGCATACCTCTTACTTCCATGTCGCTCTCTCTTCTGCATTCAATCCCAACAAGATTGCAACGCACCAAACCGCGTCGTCAATGCTCTCTGTCTCAATCGCCCAGCCTTCGCGTGGGCTTAAAGGCCCTGCCGCTGCCGTTGCAGACGGTGCTCTGTTGTTACGTCCGCAGATGGAGTCCTTTGCGAAGGATATCGCCTGTGCAGTGGTTACGTCCACAGATGGGATCCTTTCCGAAAGATCTCACCTGTGCAGTGGTACTCGGTTGTTACGTCCACAGGTGGTGTCCTTTGCGAAGGATCTCACCTGTGCAGTGGTACTCGGTGGTTACGTCCGCTGGTGGTGTCCTTCGCGAAGGATGTCACCAGTCTGGTGGTACTCGGTGTTTCGTTCGCAAGCAGTCTCTTTCTCGAAGGAGCTTGCCTGTTTCGCTGTTCTTGGTTTCCGTTTCATCATTTTCATGGGCTAAGGCTTGAGCGAAACAACGGGCCTCGTTTGTTGTGCGCACACGATGCTTGTGTTTCGTTCCTGCAGTCTGTGGTTCTTTGTTTCTTGGTGGATGATTCGTATGCTCTCATTGCTGCTGACCTTCCATACACCTCATGGTCCGTGTACCATGTCTCACTCTCCCGTTACGCGTTTCACATTTGTTCACATGTTTTTTCACTGTCATTGTTGACGCACATGTCTCATGAGCCATTTCATAACGCTCCTCCTTTTGGACGGCACTGATTCTTATTAAGGAGTCATACACTGCACCGGATTTTCGAGGTGTACACCAATGCTAACTGGTTCTCCATGTTCGATTGTGCTCATCCCCATCACTTTTCATTCAATTGTGTACCCTGCGAAGAGTCTCTACTCCGTGAGACGCACTCAACAGTGTGATTACAACGGTATGAGCCTTTGCAGCCACAGCGCATGGTTCGCCATGTCAGGGCTGTGGACCCGGCCGTTCCTTATTGGGACCTGGCGCCGGTAACACCACCACTACCTCATTCGACCGCCCACCCCCTATACTTCCATGCAAGTTTCTTCAGGGTTGCGTTTCTACATTCCACTTACTTACAATTCGACAGAAATGGCCCCTTTGCCCGCGAAGATTATAAAGCGATTCAGCACTATTCCCCCGAATCCCCGCGAAAATGACCTTTAGGTCCATACAACAAGCTCCTTCATAGCTTTTTCCCTGCGGATTCTGATTACACAGTCGCTCCTCAATCGTACTCTTTCTCGGATCCATACGGCTCGGCGAATCTTGTCATAGGGTTCGAGGTCGTTTTCGAGGACAAGCCCGTGTTCTTCTTGCAAATTAAAGAGCCGCAAGCCTTAGCTGTGAAGTCTGCTCGTGAAGAGGCTGATGGCCAAATGCGAAAATGCATGCGTGATTTGGCCCCTAACTGCCTTCTCGGTATACTCTATGGTATCAGCGCATTTGGAACACGTCTTTGCTTCTACAGCTACGATAAACAAACTCGTATTCTTCCCAAGCGCGTATCTCCTGACCGTGAGCGAGAGACTGATATCGCTCCGCTGAATCGCTGGACTGCGACATCTTGCAAGATGAAGGAGGCCAACGATTCCAAGATATTGTCGCAGAGATCAAGACGGAATGCGAACGACTTTGAGAGAGGAGGCGATTCGGTTTGTCGGACATACTAGGATATGCAATTGGTTCCTTTATGATTTTCTGTGGTGCGTATTGTACTGTGGTGTCCGCCTTCTTCAGGCCATTTAGTAATCTTATCTCATCGCAGTCCTCGTTAAGTGTAAACCGCATAAATGTTATTGTTATCAATAAGAATGCATTGGTGCACTATTTCAGAACGATAGACATTGTCGTACCGATGTTGGCACACATCAAGGCTGACCGTAGGCTCCTACCTATCAGGCATATGCAACTGCCTTGAAAACTTCTTCTCCGATGTGTGTGCTGTCCGGAATTCACCACTCATTAGCCGCACTCTGTCTAGAGACGACATCCGACACGCAATCGACAATATGACGACCAACTCTTCCTTGCCACTCCTCGTCACGGGATTCAATGGACTCCTTCTCCTCGCGGAGTTGAGCATGCTAGGTCCCAAGAAACAGCGGAACTGAGAGACGATTGTGCGACGCTCCTCTATTGAGTGGCTGGGCACGCTTTTCCCCCTCCCAGCACATAAGGCTGACACGACTTCCGAAGGCAACAAGGTTATCATTCCCACCTTCAACCCCATGCCTATCTTTCATCGCTGTGTTAGCAGCAAGGACAACAGGCACCCGGTCGACCTGTGCCCTGGGTTACTTCCACAGGATCCATACCTACTCGGTCGTGGTTCATGAAGAGGCTCCGTCAGCTCTCCTCCGACACAACGATTACCGGTTAGTCAACGAGAGCTGTGGTACCACCAATCTTATCGAGCAGGGTGTGCTACCGTACCTCATACAAGCGAGAGGGAGATGGACATCCAAGGCCTTCCAAATCTACGTCTGGAAAAGCCCTGTAATTCTCCAGGCATTGATCGGTACATGCGCTGATTCCATCTCAGCTCACCCTCACACGTCTGTTCCCCACGTCCTTACAGAACTATCACCCTACAGCACTCAAACATTCATCGTGCGAGTGTCAACACTCTGATTGGATGATTTTTCTCATAACCTTGACCAGTCCGTCGGACACTCGTCAACCAATTAGACTCGATCAAACTACTCACGATCGGAGCATCGGTCAGCGAATCAAATGACCAGCAGAGATTGCCGGTTTTCCAGAACAATGCCGCTGCGGAGAAGTACAACTAGCGCCAAGGCGTTTCCCATGAAATGAGCAACATGCTAAAGATGAAGGTCAGACCGAAGTACACAGAAGAGGCAGGCGTCTCCTAGCTCGTTTCCTCGCACCTTTTCCCTCTGTTCGACAGTCTTCTGCTCATCGCGAACTTCATTCGTACTGGCTCCAAGCTCGGAAGTGCTTGGCCGTGTAGTGCTTCAGGGCCGATGATGACCTCGTTACCTCCTTACGTGGGGCAGAAGACATCAGCATGTACAGCACGGCCGGTAAAGTTCGCTCTTCATATATAAGTTTCCAGTCTATCATCTGGATCTTGTCACGACTTTCTCACTGCCGACTTCGCGGCCATCTACGCCTTTCTTCAACCACGACCACAGTTACGACCTACCCGAAGCTATCCTAAAGGCCCAATGTCCATCCGCGGCAGGTTTAGTGGTCTTGCGACTTGGTACGACAAAATTGCAGCTTTTAGTATTGAAACCATCTTCGTGAAGGAAAGGTCGCCTGGACCAAGGCGGACGGTGTTTGTCAACGAGAGCCTACCGGAAGACTATTATGACAAGAAGAGGCGGATAAAGAAGGAGCATGTTTATACGTCGAACCAGGTCATCACTTCGAAGTATAATGTTCTTACTTTTCTACCGCGGAATCTGCTTGAGCAGTTCAGACGGGTGGCGAACATGTACGTTCTATTTTCTTCAGCTACTTCATTCGCTAAGCGGTCTTCAGTTTCTTCCTTGGCATCGCTGTCCTACAATTTCTCCCCCAGTTCTCCACCGTTTCCTCTGCTCTTGCTATTTTTCCTCTTCTTATCGTTCTCGGGATCACTGCTCTAAAGGATGCTTCTGAGGACATTAAACGCCATCAATCTGATAGCCGAGTCAACTTTGGCACTGTCTGCATTCTCGCTGGAGGCAATTGGAACAATCTCAACGTCACCAGCGACAAGAGTCGTGACCTCACGCACTATATAAACCGCTACCTTATCCCTGCAAGGTTCAGAAAAACGAAACCTCCCACTCTACTTGCGGAAAAGGTAGAAGAAGGGGCCGGGGGTATGGGGTTGGCTCCAGTTTTGCCACCTCCTGATATCGAGTTCGATGACGGCACCGATCACCCTCACCACCACCACCTCTTCGGCCATCACTCTCACACCAGTCCTCATTGGAAGAAGGCGCTTTGGGAAGATGTTCGTGTTGGTGACTTTGTGAAAATCTTCGACAACGAGTCTTTACCCGCTGACATTCTCATATGCGCAACGTCCGAGGACGAGAATTTCGCATTTGTTGAGACGAAGAACTTAGATGGAGAAACCAATCTCAAATCGCGAAAGGCCGTTCCTACATTGGCACATTTAGCGAACGCCAAAGCGTGTGCGAAGAGCAAGTTTACCGTCGATTTGGACCGTCCGGACAATAATATGTTCCGTTTAAATTCTACGGTAAAGGCAAATGGTGAACAGGCTTCGGCAGATATTCAGATGATGTTGTTGAGAGGAGCGGTGCTGAGGAATACTGGCTGGGTTATTGGCCTCGTTCTATTTACAGGCGAGGACACCAAAATCGTGCAGAACTCGAGCGGAACGCCTAGCAAGAGGAGCAAGGTAGAAAGGCAAATGAACGTTCAAGTGTAAGTGGGTCAGAAATTTCCTCGCACCAGATGCACTCACAGCTGTTGAAAAGGTTTATTAATTTAATGATCCTTGCATGTATGGCGATTGCATGTGCCATCGCTGGTTCTACCTTGGAGTATCAACAGTATCCTCAAGGCGCGCTGTGGCTCTACGGTGACAGCCAAAGTGTCGATAATCCTTCTATCAACGGTCTCATCACTTGGGCTTCCGCTCTTATCACGTTCCAAAACATCGTACCCATTTCATTGTACATTGCCATTGAGTTCGTTAGAACATGGCAAGCCGCCTTCATATATTTCGACTACGAGATCTGGTACCCAAAGACAAACCAAGCCACTCTCGCTCGGTCATGGAACTTATCTGACGATCTTGGACAAATCGAGTACATATTTTCGGATAAGACCGGTACTTTGACTCAGGTACGTCATTCTCTGTATACCACCCTCCCGCTTCTAATGATGCTTTCAGAACGCTATGATATTTCGACAGTGTTCGATCGGCGGTAAAATGTATGTTGGCGATGTCGAGGAAGCACCTCCGGCCGCTATGTCAGCAGATGATCATGTTGAAGGACCCTCAGCAACTGCTACTGAGCCGACCCCCGCACCCACGAAGGCCGTAGAAACACGCTTCCACTGCGAACCACTCGAGAAGGACATTGCTGCTGCCCTGCAATCGAGCTCGACGACGGAGAATGCTGCTCATACGCAGGCTTTGAATGGTTTTTTCTCGGTCCTGGCTTTGTGTCATACCGTTCTTACCTCCATCGATCACGACACTGGAAAGATCGAATACAAGGCGCAAAGTCCGGACGAAGCGGCACTGGTACGTGCGGCGGCGGAAGTAGGATATGTCTTCCGTGGCCGTGATAGAGAAGTTTTGACCTTGCAAACGCCTTTGTCCACCGGCCCTGACGATGTCGAACGCTATGAGCTTCTCAACATCTTGGAGTTCACTAGTGCCCGGAAGAGGATGAGTGTGGTGCTTCGGAAGCTGGACGATGCAGACGGCAGACTGTTCCTGCTGACGAAGGGAGCGGACAATGTTATCTTTGAGCGACTACGGAAAAGCGGAGATGAAGCATTGCGAGAGCTGACCGAGACGCATCTAAGTGAATTTGCCAGCGGAGGATTGAGGACATTGATTCTTGCATATAAAGACATCGACGGTGTGTGATTTTCCTTAAGGCGTGTCAGTCCACTAATATACATTACAGAAGACGAATATGCTGCTTGGAGCGAACGTTACCATGAAGCTACCATGGCGATCGACAACCGGGAGGCGCGCATAGAAACCGTTTCTGACGAGCTGGAACATGATTTACGATTACTGGGCGCCACAGCTATCGAAGATAGTCTGCAGGACGGGGTACCGGAAACTATTGCCGATCTTAAGCGCGCCGGTATCAAGGTATGGGTAGCGACTGGCGACAAGATGGAAACGGCTATTGGTAAGTTTTACTGCCTCTTCCTTGGCTTCTGCTGATTTTTAGAAAAATCTAGCTATCGGAAATAGTACCAACCTGATCGGTCGAGAGTCCAACATCATCGTTATTAGGGGCGGAAATAATCGTTTGCGATCAGTTTATCAGCAAATGCTTCATGCAGTCGAGGAGTTCTTCCCCGAATGTGGGATTCTTGACGAAGATGAACGCTCTGTGAAAGAGCACAAGTTAGAATCTCTCTCTTCTAGGGACGATAATGCATTGCGGAGGATCGAGACGGGACTCTCTTCGATTGTAGGACCAAACAATGGTGATCGGCCCGGTGGATTCGTTCTGGTCATTGACGGCGCGGCGTTGGACTATGCAAGTTCCGATTTTCTTTCTATCTGTGTATCCTTGCTAATCTTTTACTTAGGCTTTGGGTGATGAAGAGCACAAAAGCTTATTCTTGAAACTCACAATGTTTTGTGAAGGCGTGATATGCTGTCGTGTATCTCCTCTGCAAAAAGCTTTGGTCGTCAGGCTGGTCAAGGATGGTCTTGGTGCTATGACTTTGGCTATCGGGGATGGGGCAAATGACGTTAGCATGATCCAGGTTCGTGCCTGCTCGTAAATCATTTATACTTCGTTGACTGATCTCCTTTTCAAAGGCCGCTGACGTCGGTGTCGGAATTTCTGGTGAAGAAGGATTGCAGGCAGTGAACTCTTCGGACTATGCCATCGCACAGGCACGTTCAAGCTCAGTTTAATATTGTTACGACCAGCACGCGTTAACCAGTCCACAGTTCCGATTCCTTAAACGGCTGCTTTTCGTTCATGGGTATTGGTCATACGCTCGCAATGGAAACATGTACGTACACAATGCACATATCTAACCATGATCATCCTCTGATGCTCGCTGAAGGATTCTGAATTTCTTCTACAAGAACATTGTTTGTGTCGGCGTTCTTTGGTGGTTCCAAATTTATTGTGGTTGGAGTTCCAACTAGTAAGGGTTCTTCCTTTGAATTATCGAGCGCGGAACTGACCCAGATGATTTAGCGTATTTGAATATACATATCTCCTATTCTGGAATTCCTTATGGACTCAAGCATCTGTTGTTGCCATCGGTCTTTTTGATAGATTAATAGGTATTTGGTTGCTCCCATATTCCAGATCAATCTTTCTAATGCGAGCCTATAGACGCGGACGTTTTGATGGCTATCCCCGAGTTGTATCGTGATAGCCGTGAAGGCAAACGGTTTGGCCTTAAATGGTTGACTGTCTATATGTTCGACGGTGTATACCAGGTCAGTTACCTACTACCTTTGCTCATCTATGTCGCTAATACGTCCCAAGTCTACTGTCATATTTTTCCTCATTCTCTATGGCTTCTATTCTCCCACTTCAAGAGCTGATGGTTACGGCCAATATCTCCGAGAATTCTCAACTGTAATTCACCATTCGTATGATCTTTATGGCTCGTCAGGCTGAACACTTTTCAGACAATGGTATTCTCTGCCGTCTTTGTTGTTAACTTTTTCAACGGTATGAATACCAATGTCTGGACCGGTTGGGTGTTCTTCGCTGTCTTCATCGGTATCATTCTCGTATGGTTGTACACGGTACGTGGGTATTCTTACTTGTATAGAAACCCCTTGCTTACCTGCTTACAGATTGTCCGTAGCATCCTCTCTCTTGAATGGTTCGCTAACAACATATTCCTGTTCAAATCCGCACTCTTTTGGCTTTCCCTTCCAATTACTGTGTGCGTTTCGTTGGCACCGAGATACATCGCCAAAGCATGGAAGTTCGGCTTTGCACCTGATGACGTTGACATCCTGCGGTACATACGAAAGGTCCACCCTGACCGAGACTTACGCAGTACGCATCATGAGGAGGGTATTGGCCTACAAGCCATGAAGAGACCAGTTTATGGAGATGACGCGCTTTCAAGACGGACGTCTCGGTCGAGTCACGCCTCCGTGATTGCTGGACCGTCGAGGCATGGATCACATTCCGCTGTGGACGTTCGGTCTGCCAGTCGAACAGATATGTCGACCGGCATCCGGTCGGTACATCGTGGATTTGACTTTGTTACCGAGGAAGGAGGAGTGGCTATGAGCAGGATACAGAGTCATTTGTCGGTGAGGAGGTCGAGTAGTCGCAACCTGACCGAATTTCCTCGGACGGCTGGTCGACACAAGTCAGGCAAGAAGAGCGTCGACGGGAAGAAGAGTTCTGATGGACCACCCCACGGTTTCTCGATACGGAAGGGGCTACGAAAGTTCAGGCCCACATCTGGTTCTGAAAACCCGTCATAGTATTTATCTAGTTCCACAGGTGGCTGGTGACTATTCTGGGGCGGTCAAAATGCGTGTAAAATCCATGAAAATGATATAAAGTTTTGGCACTGGATTGTATGAAAATGAATAGATATTGGTCCGGCCCGTTTCTTATCATTTCTAGCTAATTTCTGCCACAACCTCTGCGGTGAGTATTTTGGACATGTCCTATGGTGTCTACATTCTTCGAGGCATCTATGAATCTTATCCCATTACAGTCCTGTGCAGTATACAGAGCGTAAGCTGCATGTATGTTACTGTTGTCAACGAGAAGGCACCAGCGCACTGTTACAGAAAGATAGACATTGTTGTACCATACTTGGACGTCGTAGCATGTTCCGGGAACGAGTCGCAATCCTACTCAGTTTTAGACTTGAAGTCACGGCAACCTGGGATGACATTAGGATAGATTCATACATCATGAAAGTAGTCTACGTAGACCATTCTACTAAGTAACAGAAGAGAAATATGCTTGGAAAAATGAAAAGAGCGAAATACTAATGAGGTAAGTACTAGGTTGGTAGAATCAACGACGGGACCTACCACGCAGCATAGTTCCTAGTAAAGAAACATTAATCGCGGAACCAAATTGGTGCGTCCCTGTATTTTCCAATGACAGCAGGTGTTTGGTGGTATCCCACCTCGGAGGGCAAAGCTTTCCAGAGGTCAACGAATGTCGAGTCATCTTTTAACTCGCTTGATGTGAGTGTCCCGATGAGAGTGTCTGTAAACAATCCATTGCCTCCCCCTTCTCTCGCACACTGAAACTCTTGACACGCTGCCAAAAGTACATAAGAATCCATATCCGCGTACCAGCCTTCTGTCAGAATCGATTGATAGCCAGGGAAATTTTTCAATGTCTCATGCCCCACGTTAAGCATGTTAATTGATTTGAGTACTGATTGAGGCGAATCTATCAGCTGTGGTAGGTTTCTGGAGAACCCGCCAGAACTACTGGTATCGAGAATAAGGGTAATTCGGGCCCTCCGGTTGCTTGAGATGAGATGGAAAATGGCGTCGATCTCACGGTCACTGATGTCAGGACTGCAAAAGTTGCTCCCAGCAATATCACTGCTGTCCATGGGACAGAGAGCTACGATAGATTTGCCTCTTCGCTCGACTGTGTCGGTGTAAGAGTCGCCGCTATGGCCACTGGCATAGTCCGGATAAGCATAGGATCCGCTATGTCCAGCAAAATAGACAATAATATCATCACCAGGCTGGATATCAGGGTTAGTGATAAGACTAAGAAGTGTTTGAATGATATTGTTGCGAGTAGGGAGAAAGCCGGAAGATGACGAATGGCAAGAGCTGATAAGGAGTTGGGTCTGTACTTTTGGCACGCCGAGATGCTCAATCACATATTCCTGCATTAGAAGAGCATCTGCGACGCAACCATGCAACGGTAATCCTTCATAGGCGTCAATGCCAATGAGAACTGCCCAAGTCCGAGAGCGGCCAGCAGGCTAAATGGCTGTCCATCAGGATTCAGACCGATATGTATTATTCCAATATGCCTCACCGTTCTTATTTCGAACTTGAGGGAAAAGGTCCACCGGAAGTGGAGCCATCGAAGAAATATAAAGCAGAACTGAAGCTGACAGAGCCACTCCACAAGTTTGGAGGTTGATGCGGAACGAGTGTTGCAAGTTCCAGATTGCACTGCGGCACTCGTCTCTTGGAAACCCCCAAATAAGTCGATACCACCAGGCATCTTGTACTGCTTCGTGATCTGCGTCTCGTCACTGACGTGGTTCCCGTTATTGTCCATGGGGTGAGTGAGTGAACCGGATGAGACTTGATTTGCTATAAAATGTTGAATTGGATATATTTGTTCCCGCATGCCGGCAAGGGAGAGGTTAGCGCTTAGTGCTACTTGAACCTGTAGAACGGAACATCAGCAAACTGTTCATCAAGGGAAGAGAGAAGGCTGAACCAGAAAGTTGTCCCTGGTGTTTTTCACGCGCTCTCGGTGTCGACTAATCCTCTCTTTGACATCTTGAGAAGTTATGAAATCAACGATGTTTCTTCGAACTCCGCCTTTGTTGTGATTGAATTCGTCCACTTGTTGCGAGAGTTCAGAGAGGTACCTACAATAACGATATTAGGAACGGACGTTGAATCGTGATGGAAAGATAATGACACTTGGAAGTCAAGGCAAGCCTTTTCTAGATTTCCTGCAAGTATGATAATCTCGGGTATCCTGGATATCTCGACGCCAGCATCGCAGACAATTGTCATGATCGCTTTAATCCCCTCTTCCAGGTCTTTTATATCCTCTTTATTGTCTTCGAATTGCTGAGAGTACACATTCGGAAATGTTAATAAGGAGACACAATTATTGGAGTTAATCTGACCTTCAAATTCTCCAAGAGCACTCCTGCAGTCTTAGCAACACCCTTTACCAAAGAACCAGCAACTGGCACCATCTCGCCGACCCCTCCGAGGATATCTGTTAACAACTTGGAAGCTGTAAGTATTTCAGAGCCACGGGAAAGTCTCTCTGACTTTTTTCTGAGCTTTTTTCTTACGAAGTTCATGGCTGTAGGAGGAAAAGATTCGTTAGACGCCCAAACAGCATGCTTTCCCATATATTTCGTCACACACTGCCCCGGTTGTTTATAAATTGCGATGACTCGGGAGACAGACGGCTATTCTTCTCCAAGTTGTGCATTGGCTGTTCAGAACGTTCAACGTTCATCCCATCAGTGTCGGTACATGAAACTCGAAGTTCAAACGTTCAAGTCTGATCAAGCTGGTAATAAAAGACTAGCTCGTAGACGATCTGAGAGTGAAGCTTTAGCCAGCTAGTGATGGGGAAAGTAGTGCTTGAGGCATTACGAGGCTTTTATCCCTTATGAAAGAGGGAAGCGAAGAAATGCAGAGCACTATCTGAATATCGTTGTTCAAAAGCCGGTTATACCGGCCCGACCCATCTCTTATCTCACATTCTAATGTCCATCCACCATAGAATTGAGGCTTACCCTCAACGATGCCTCAGTGTTATGGAACCATCATGGGTTTTCTGCAGCAAAAGTTAAACTGAATCCTTGTAAGCCAACATCATCGCGAACGAAGAACGGAGGTAGTAACGAGGGTTTGTTTGGACGTCAGTTCGTCAACAAATAAAATCGTTTTCCTTCTTTCCTTCCACCATTATGCATATATGTGCACATGTACTTGGAACGCTCTGCTGTGAACCTGCTTGGCAAACCAGTCATCGCAATATCGGTCCGGCCTCTCGTCGTCACCAACGGTTGTAATCAATTCTAGGAGGGAGTAATGCCAAGGTTCCTGGCTTAACTCTCATAATTTTGCTCACCGCTAACCTTTTTTTGAAAGGACTCATCGTGAAGAACGCCGGAAGTCTATCTTCAGCAATATCTCGGTCAGACACTTGGGTATCCTTTCGAGATTCTGGCGTCCTTTTTCCTGCGATGGGACTTGTCGTTCTTGAACTTCAAGCGTCAAAAGGGGACCGATCTTACGGGGATCAAAGGGAATGCGTTTCGTAGTGTGGTTGCGATATCACACTTGGATAAGGTGAGTTTTTTTCGTGCAGCTACTTTTTCCAATGTAACACATTACGTGACGGTATAGATATGCGACCCAGCTTTTAGCCATCTTTTGTTCCAGGAACATGGAAATGCCGATGAAGAGTCACAACTAGGGAGCTAGTCGTGTTTCTATAGTTCTTCCTGGTCCCCGGCTCGGCCTATCTTCAGCACCTTAGCGCCTACCTGTCCCAAACCTTTATTTCGGTTGCGAATTCCCTGGCAGGTCTACGCCAGTGACACGCGAAATCGCCTCATCGTTTTTGTGCAAGGGCAACCCCATCAGTGATTCGCAGATGGTGGCCGTGAACGTCTGGAGATAACATGCCTTGGGACAATTGCTTTCCGGGCGTTCACGTTCTCGGTCCTACACCTGAATACTTCGTTCTAAACAATGAATAGGTATTGGCTAAATTTCTCGCAGTGAAAACTTTCCTGTGTGTACTTGCTCTTCTACGCGTCTCCTTCAAAAGCTGACTGTCGGCTATAGTACGGTATCTCACCCTTCCATGGACACGCGGATGATTCCATCATCTTCAGTTTCGTAGATATGACAAACGACGTGCGTGGTGAGTTTGGTAGATTATGACCTTCTATTCATACTAATCTACTCTTGTAGATTCTTGAAGAATTTTGTCGTCATATCTGCTTTACCAGGACCGGGTACCTGCCCACCGAGTTGCATGGAAGACAGGGCAAGCGGCGCCCACTGTTCAACATTTTGATGTGCATCACCTGGCAATTTCGGTTCCCTCGGTCGATAATGTTTCGGCAAAGCAGAGCGTGAGACCGTAGCTAGGTCCTTCCATATTTCAGTGCGTCCCCTGTCTCTCATCTTTGTTTCTCACTCTAATATTCGCTGAAGATTGACGGTGATGACTGAAGGATTCATAACTTTCAACTATCAAGGCGAAGAATATCATACATGGCACGAAGTTGTCGGCAATCTCAACAGCCGTACGCGCACACCCTTGGTTGTGGCGCACGGCGGACCAGGTCAGTCTTGTTTAATACTTTCCGAAATATCTGTCTCACTGACGTCCATTTCACAGGTCTATCCCACGACTACCTCCTCCCCCTCTCCGATCTCGCTGCTAAATTCTCCATCCCAGTCATCTTCTACGATCAAATTGGAAACTCTCGTTCGACACATCTCCAATCAAAGCCGCCATCGTTCTGGACTATCGATCTCTTCATCGGCGAACTGATCAACCTTCTCGAGCACTTCCACATCCAAGATGGGTTCGATTTCCTTGGTCATTCATGGGGCGGGATCCTCGGTCTAGAGTTCGAAGTGCGCAGGCGACCTGAGGGGCTGCGCCACTTAGTGTTGACCAACTCTTTGGCGGATATAGGGATGTGGAATGCATCGACTGGGGAGTTGAGCAAGGCCTTCCCGGATGATGTACAGAAGGGATTGGCTGTTGGCGTGGCAGATATGGAAGCGTACGGCAATGCGCTCAAGGCTTTCCACAAGAAGCACGGATGTCTTGTCGATCCGTGGCCGTAGGAGCTGGTATACTCGATGGATCAATCGATTAGTCCGTCGGCAGATATCTCTGTTGCTGTGGGGATGTCAGTGACCATATAATTCCTGTTCTTGATGCATGCTGACAGACCCTGTAGGTTTACTGGAGAGCTGCGTATATGGACTATCGTCGATCGTCTTGACCGCGTTCGTGTTCCGACTTTTGTGATCAACGGACGAGCGGATATAGCTCAGGACTTTGTCGTCGAGCCTCTATTTAGAGAAATTCGTCAGGCCAAGTGGGTAACGATGGAAAAATCGAGTCATACGCCTATGTGGGAGGAGCGGGAGAGGTATATGGATCTGGTTAATGAATTTTTGTCTACGTGACCTATCAATATCGGCTTTTCACTCTACTTTGATTTCATGCTGAGCTGCAATCGCACCACCCATGCGGACGTTGAAGACGCTCCGACCGCTATATGCGCCTGCAGAATTGTATAACATTCCTACAACATGTTCGACCCCCGCCCTCGTGTATAGAAACTCCCGGCGAGTATCAGAAGACACATTCTCCTTCACATCCCCTTACTGTTCCTTTCTTTCCTTCCCCTACCATCCTTGTCTTCCGGAGAACCCTACCACCGCTGTTAGTAGTTGAGAGGTACACAGACTCGTACGGACCTCTGAATTAAGGCTTGCACCACAAACCGATTGTCCCGACGATATCTTGACGATAAGCCTAGACTAGCTATCGCTCGCCGATCCATCTGACCTGCCATCATCAGACAGACTCGGTTTTTGTTTGACCAGAACCAAAGGGATGGTCATTGAGGCCCATTCCTCAATGTAGTCGCATACATATCTTAACATGGCGCCCCGCTGAATGCCTTCCTCAATGGAGGGCTGTAAGATGCTTCGCAGATCCACTGGCTCCGTGGTCACGAAAATCTTGATGAAACTGATATCTACCTCCTGTCCTGGTGGTATGCTGAACAACAGGGGCCGCACCATGCCATTGGCGAGGCCAAAAGTAACCTCTGAGTTCGCTTCGAGACAAGTGTCGACATCAAATTTCTCGGTTCTGCTAGGTTGCCACATTTTCTCTCTGTTCGAGGTCATATTTGTGTACATGACATCTGCAGTGCCGTCCAAAGTCAGTATAGTAGCGAAAGCTCACGATAAATTGTACGTACCTATCTCGAGGGTGGATGCGTCGAAAAAGAGGATATGTGGGTACAATTTCCTATCGGATCTATTCCGGATGGTGAAGCCATATCTGGGAGCATCGTTGCTGTTGCGTGCATAATCGAGGGACTCCGTAGCAACAGTAATCGTAACGAAGCCATCGGTTGCCAGAACGGAAAGCAGATCACCTGGGTCTCCGACGATTCTTAGACCGTTGTTCATCTCCCGTTTGAGTCTGTGCATTTCTATAGACACGAGATCTTGTATGTCCTTTGAACTTTGCATGGTAATGTGGTAAGTAAAATGCGCATAGGCGTCAAGAAAATTCCTGATTTCGTCGACGTCGCTGGCGAGAGGTTTATATGAAAAGAGGGAGGGAAAGTTTGGAAATTTTTTGAAAATATGATTTTGCTTCACGGGACCGAAGTAGGAGCCGACCTTCTCTCTTTTGAAAAAGCTGTTCGTCTCCCCTCGACCAAACGAAACCAAGTTGGTTCCGTCCACCTCCAAGCAAATATCTGCGTTGTCTCGGAGATCAGTAAGGTGAAAAGGATATCTGAGGTTCGTTCCGCCATCCGGGTCTTGGCTAAAAGTTTGATGTAGGATTGGATTATTGCAATAGGCGAACAACTCGTAACCAGAAGTCACTGATAATCGTGCATACCACAAACCAGCCCCGGAATTTCGGAAGAAACTCCTTTCCTTGGGTGAAAGGAGAAGACAGCTTGAAGAGGCTCTCTGACCTACAGAAACGACTGCAGTTGCCAATGGAGCCGATTTGGGCAGATCGGTGTCATAGATATCGTAAATAGAACCGCAAGTGACTCCCTGAATGAATCCGGCACGGAGAGACAAACTATATTGCCCATCTACGTGCTTCAGGCTATCGCAGCGAGTCATAGAGCAGGACGTTGCTTCCCCAGAAAGCGAGAATAGGCGCCGATTGATATGCTTCCCATCTAAGTGTGGGGTCTGCCTAATCCCGCCGAGGTATTAAGAAAGTATTGATTCTGAGCATTATTGGCACTTACTCGTAGTCTGCGGGTATGTCGAGGTGATCCATAAGCGACTTGTATGTCAGACCAACAACGGGTACTTTTTTCATAGCCTTGAGTAAAGCACTCGTAAAAATACCTTCGTTATTCTTCTCCATCGCAGACTGACTACGGCTGCATGCTGCCAGGAGTACGTGAGAATCCCATGACGTGCAAAACCCTTCGTGGGCTTCCGAGCTGACGTCCGAGAATGTATCTCTCATGGAGCGCTGAGACTCAAGAGAGACGATATCAGAGTCGCATTTCGCAGAAACTGTGAGGAGTTTGTCAAGCCCACGCGTTCTTCCATTTGGATCTCGATTCAAACCGGCAGAATGGCAACAGTCAAGTATCAATGTCTGAACAGCACAGCATGAGTGCTGGGTAGGGGTGTAAAGTTATGCGACTTACAATGTTATTCCCTTTCGTACTCGACAGGTTTCGGAGAAGGCAACTAATCGTCCGATCAGGGATTGCTTCTACTTTTGCACTTCCGGCTTCAGTAGGCAACGTCATTTCGGTGTCTACGGGACACAGAAGCTCGATATTTCCATCAGCAGTCCGCCAATCTGTCCAGTCTGGGTGGGCCGGCCTTTCAGCCCTGGCGCCATGTCCCGCATAGTATATAATAATCGCTGTTTTATTCTTGACGATTCGTGTATTGTCCTTGAGTGCCATCAATTCCCTGATGACAGCTGATCTTGTTGCTTGCTCATCGCGGAGGTTTTTGATACCGTCAGGAGGAATCCCCAACTGAGTGCGCAAGAAAGTTTCGAATTTATCGGCGTCAGGAACAGCTCCTCCTAGTTTTGGAACACATTTGTATGAGTTGATACCGATAATCAGCGCGAAAATGTCAAGACTAGACTCTTATTGATCAGCTGTGTATGCCTTGAATATGTAAATTCCTACGGTGGCTTTGTGTCTTCGCATGAACGCTCCGGCTTCGCTTGTCCATCTTGTGCGTTTGAGGCTGTCGATAGCATGAGCTGGCGGAGAGACCATAACAACGAAAGATGCTTTACAATTTCTCAACTTGATGTTGTTCAGGTTTTCCATCACGACGGAAAGCTGTTGATGGAAGAGAGCAGAGGCGTGCATTAGACGCCCGGAAAATTTCACTATGGAATCATGACGTTATGGATTCAGGGGAGGATAATAACATTCAATTCGTCTAACTTGGGATATGTTTTCGTCATCTAGAAGATCCAAACATCAGACATCGTTGAAAGACTCCAACTCTCAGCCAACGCTCCTTTCCTCGTCGACTCATGTCATGCTTGCTTAGAAAAAGAGAAGACCCACACTTCTTGGACCCAATTCCCGGCACTGACTCTTGAAATACGCCAGCCGTTGAGACATCTTTAGCTGAATGGACAGCAGCGCCATATAGCAACCTGCATACTGACGATAAGCTAGTACTCTTCAAGTTGATAGTGGTAGAACATGGCACGGACGGGCAAGAGGAGGCAGTGGGCGAGCTTAGGGGACAGTCCAGTAGATGTGCAATGCATAGGAGAGGGAGTGGAACGTGCGTGTCGCTGTCGGTGCTGATCGTAGGTAGGAAGGTAGGATTACGCAACATGGTCCATGGAGGACGCTCGTGTACTAATGGAAATGGCGAGACTCCGGCGTGCTCCCCGGACCGGTACCCGTCGGCGTTTGAAAATTTCTTCTTTCTGCCAACCGACAGCTGCGAGTACACGAGTACTTGACGTTTTAAGGAGAAGAACTAGTATATAGCGAGCCCGTTGGCATTTATACTCGTAGAACTGTGGATGGTTTCAAACCCAGGCCCATAATATCTTACGGAACCCAACTTTTTGCATCGATCTCTGCAGCAAACTTCTACCGACGAATGCGGCAAATAGGCCGCAATTCCGATTCATGGGACCGATAGACCTTACTAAATTCATGAAAGATCTCAGAGGAATGATTGAGAGACTATGGCACGGGTTGTTTGAGCGATACATCGTCTTCTAGTGAGATGATTGACATACAGTAGCTACTCTTACTGGAGTCCTTTCTGGAGTACTATATTTTCGAAGTCTACGTTCATCACGACACGCAAATCCAGTACAGAACGTCATTAGAGGAACCTGGGTCTGGATGCTTATGATACGGAGTAATCATTTCTGCCGACATCGTAACAAATATGAAAAAGCGCACAGAAAATCAAGGGCCCGATATTGCTTACCGAGGAGTTCGCCGATTTCACAACCACCGGGATCGTCATGGACGCCCATACTTCAGGAATGGCATCAGCAGGACGATCGCGTACCGCAATCCGTTCTACACCATCTTCAAAGGCAGATTGTGAAATGCATCGGAAGTCTACTGTTTCTGTGGTCACGAAAATCTTGATGAAAGTGACATCCACATTCTGCCCTGCCGGTAGGCCGAACATGAGGGGTTTCACCATACCTCTAGACAGACCGAAAGTAATTGTATCACCCCCTTTGCCAAGGCGAGTCTCGACATTCCGATCACCTTTGCTCGAGGCCATGTTTGAGTATATGGGTTCTGGAGGGCAGTGCGCGGTCAGTAGTGACAAGAACACGGTGCCATCTGTACCTACCTATTTGAAGGGTGGATGCATCAAAAATGAAAATATGGGGGTATAGTGTAGGGCTTCGCACCGTCACCGTATAGTACGGTTGTACGGGTGCCGTCATACGGGTACCGTATCCGTTCCGTCTGGCAAAAGACTTTGCCCAGACACGGACGGTATACGGATATCCCGTCGCCCGTTAACAACCGTATAAAGACGGCCGTTATACGGCACTCGACGGCCGTGTGGGTTGTCTAAAAATAACCCTCATCAGAGCACGCTATACGTGTGTTTACCATGTGCTCAACATCGTACCACGATGCGCTAGCACTGCGATCTCTTCAACGCTACAGCTAGCTCTTATTTCGCTCGCTCACATGAAGCTCTATTTCTTATGGCAGGCATAAATACTTGCTCTTCCCTACTTCTGCTGCCTCTGCCCTACTCCTGTTCATCCCTTTACTACTCGCTCATGTTTCGAAATACATTGCCCACAGGTGGCCGGTGCACCTGTCAAATATGGCGAGTAATACATTTTCCCACTACCTTACGGCCGTATTGACGACCGGCACGGCCGTCTATATACCCGTACCGTACCGTCAGCCTAGTTCTGAGAGCCTTGACGGTACGGTATACGGACCAGCCGTCGCCCGTCACTGTACCGTGGCTATACGGCCGTATACCGTATACGGTACGGTGCGAAGCCCTAGTATAGTGTTCCAACCTGGCTGGATATGGATTTTCTACGGATCGTCAACCCATATCGTGGAGCATCGTTATTGTCGCGGGCATTATACAGGTCGAGATCCCCAGCAACCTCGACGAACTCCCTCCGAGTCTGGGAGTCCTGTGAGTTGAGAATGGAGAGAAGATCACCTCCGATGACATCTAGATTATCCCCGTTCCGTTTGAGTTTGTGCATTTCGACGGAGACGAGATCTTCTATTTTCCTTGGACTACCAGATGTCAAGTGGTAGGTGAAATGCGCATAGGCGTCAATAAATTGCTTGATACCATCAATGTTACTGGCGAGAGGTTTATATGAGAAGTGTGTAGGAAAGCCTTCACGTTGAGCCTGCTTGAAAATATCATTTCCCTCCATTTCATCGAAGCAGTATGTGTTTTTCACGAAATACGTGTTCGTATTCCCTCGACTAATGGAAACTTTGTTTCCGGCTCCAGCATCAACCTCTAAGCAAATGTCCGCCTCGTCTTGGCGATCGATATGGCGGAAAGGATATCTGAGCTCATTAAATGATGAGAAGAGATCAATTTTTTCTGGATTGCAATAGACGAGCAAGTCGGCGACAGGATACTTCGATAATCGAGCATATAATACGCCAGCGTAGTCGCCCTGTCGAATGGCCGAGATGACTTCAAGCCTAGCTGTGCTATTTATGGAAGAGATCTTCGCCATTATCAATGGACGCGACTGTGGTGTTGGTAAGTCGGTGTCGTAAATGTCGTATATGGAATCCTCAAGGACACTAACACTGTGCCCGGCACGAAGGTAAAATTCTTGAATTCCCTTGTTTGTGGACTTCACGTTGTAGCACGGGATCATGGGGCGGGAAACCGCTTCTCCGGAGCGCGTGAATATGCATCGATGAATATGCTTCCCATATATGAATGGGGTCTGTCTGAAGACCACTGTGTCATTAAATGAGTATTAATTGTCAAGATCTTTAGAACGTACTGCGATCCCATGTTTAGCATTTCAGCAACGACTTTACTCGCAAGCGCCCTGTATGTCAGGTGGGTGTGAATATGCCCTTGATATGTTCCTTTCAGGACCTTGAGCAGAGCCGTGGTAAACTTGCCTCCCTCCGATGTCTCTCGCGCCTTCTGATCTGACAAGCATGCTGCTAGAAATACATGCGAGTCCCACGATGCACGAAAGCCTTCGCGGCTCGGGACTTTGACATTCGGGTATCCCTCTCTCGTTTCACCGTTGCCGCATTCAGGTAAGATGGGCTGAGTGTCGCACTGGGTAGGATTACTCTCGATATCGTCCACTCCGCGCACTAGCTCGCTTGGATCCGACTCGTTGGAGTCCAAATCGTCCGAGTCGGAATCATCTCCTCTGTTCAATCCTGCGGAATGGCAGCAGTCACATATCAATGTCTGGACATCGAGACATAAGTGTCGCCGAGCAGGAATTACACGATCCAGTTGACTCACAATGTTATTCCCTTTTGCATCCGACAACTTCCGGAGAATGTCACTAATCCTCTGATCAGAAATACATTCTCCCTTCACTAATTCGCCGCCACAGGCCGAATCAGGAACTCCCTTCTCGCCATCGACAGGGCACAGCAACTCTATGTAGCCGTCGTCGGTCTTCCAGCCTGGCCAATTGTTGGGCGCCTTAACCCTGCTGCCGTGCCCCGCAAAGTATATCAAGATTGCAGTCTTGTCCTTGACGATCTGTTTGTTGTCCTTGAAGGCCCTCAATTCTTCCAGGATAGCTGATCCTGTCGCATATTCGTCGGTGAGCAGTTTGATGCGCTCAGTAGGAACCTTCAAGTCCTTGCGCAACAAGTCTGCGATTGCATTGGCGTCGGGAACTGCACCCTTCAGGTGTTCAAAATGTTGGTATTCGTTGATACCGATGATCAATGCGAAGATGTCGAGACTGCATCGCACTGATCAGATTTTTAGGTTCTACTCAGATAGACATATTCTTACGGTGAGTTTGCTTCTTTGTGTGAGGATCCTGGTACCGCTCGCTCGCCTTGGCGCAATGCGTTGGGACATATTGATGAAGAAGAATGCCTCGTCAAGCCCAGGACACCGCCTACAACCGCGGGGAGAGTTATAGATCGGGGGTGAAGAAAGCGGAGAGACGAAAGGTACAGTGGGGGCATAGAGGGTTTGATGTATTGCGGATGCATATTTATGTGTTTCGGTGTTCTGTAAATCTGTAGAACACATGTGCCGAATCTTCGGTTCAGGTCCCAGGTTCGTAAGAGTGAAGCCTTTGAAGTGTACTCGAATCCACGTTCTCGAAATATGTTTTACTGACCTGAAAGAGAACAATATGTTACAACAGCTGAACTCGAACCTCTTCTTCCGCCTTTCATATTGCACTGTACCCGTATTTTAATGTTCGAGGATTCCGTGACGATGTCTCTTAGTGCCGAATGATGTGACTAGGCGATAAACATAATCTCTCCGATAGAAACGAACGAGATGTAACGACAGTGCTCACTGCTCTGTTCGGAGGCTGATCAAGGGGGTACCGGAATTCCGGCCCGGAACACCGGGTAGGTAGGTAGGTCCAGCCGGATGTCACGAAAAAAAAAAGTTGACCACCATTTTGGGGGTCTAAGAATGGACTTCAAGGATAAATTTTAGAGCATACATGATACAATATATGCCACTGAGTGTGCTACTTATCTTAGGGCATCATACCTAGCGATACCAACACTCAGTCAATGCCATTACAAAGTGGCCCTGCTGACTGGACATGGTGACATTACGACATCCCATTAGAGCACAGCCATGATTCAGACTTGATAGCGTACAGATTATGTTCAAAACACTTTCAATATTAATATCACGGCTATTTCAGGCAAAATATTCACCGAATTGAGTCGAAAGATACCCAAATTTAGCATAATGACATCATAGATGTCACGTGAAGGTAGGTAGGTCCATCGTTGGTGCACGAAATTATTTAATCGACCCACTGTCTTTTAATTCATTATTAGGACCCCCTTGAGGCTGATGATTGAGCGCTTGAACTCCGATTCTTTGATGCGTACCTAGGTTTTTAAGTTGAATGTTAAATTGATAGACTCCATGGTGAGACACAAGATGACTGACTGGGCGCTTTGGGAATAGAAAAATAGTGACCAAACAATTGAACCATCGGTAAAACCATCCATACGGCTCTCAGAATATAACGAGAGATTTAAGCTACACGAATTCACCTACACATAAATGGGCAGGCAAATAAATCACGCAATACATACAGAACACATTCATTCTCATTCCCCTTGCCACGCAATATCGGAACATATGGGTGGATCTAAGTTAGTGCGTCTTATATAAAATGTTACCAACGCACAAACCAGCAAATTCTAACCTCCATGTGTCAATGGTTAGCAAAGGTAGGAATAGGAAGGTGATGGAAGAATGGTTCCTGTATGTGGCTCCAATATCATGTCCATCATGGCGTAGTAACAAGTGAAACAGGAAGGCAAGCAAAACGAGCCGAATGCCAAAAGATGGAGAGCATCGAGATGACTACCAGTGGTTTTGCATCAGGTCTCCAGTAAGATGATAGAGGCAGAGAAAACTTGCAGATCAAAGGGTCTCTCGGTCAGTTGGTCGAGCTGAGGACTTGGTCTTGAGACCCACTTTTGAAGGCCTTGAGAAGACTTTACTGAAGGCATTCACAAATCAACTTAAAAAGCGGTAGAACAGCAATAATGAACAGTCCTTACTATGGAATCCGTGTCACTATTCTTGCATTGTGGCAGAGCAGGTAGAATCTGCTTGAGCCGGTAATTACCAGATACTGCCTGACTTACCAGGTGGCTGTGCGATTATCGGTGTCATTTGTTTCGTCTTGGAATGGGATATTATAGTCGATGGTTGCACGTAACAAAACACTTGCGGCGCTCAGAAAAATCTGGGGATTTTGCATCAGATATTTTCACTGCCAGACAACTTGAAATGAAAGGCAGAGCGCCTGTCCGATAGAATTTATTGTCCTAGCACGGATCCCGCTACCATTGCTGGCTCACTGTTGATGTCGTTGACTGCGGTATCATAAGGGCATCATTGCCGCATCAATAACGCTTGCTCAACATCAATGCACAAGGCCATTCACATGGAACATCAGCAAAACCCAGAAGTTGTCTTTTGTGTCTTTTTGGTCTTGCACAAGACCGAAAAGATGGCAAAGACAAGAAGATCAAGGGTCTTTACCAAGTAAGGTACATATTCTCGTCAAGAAGGATTTTGTCTTGGCAAGATCTATCACTGTCTTAGGAAGAGAACATCTTCCTGTCTTTTGTTTCTTTCTCTTTCGTGTTCTGATGGCTTTGGAGGATATAGAAATTCTAGTATATTGATTTCTATCTATGACAATGAACTATAGCACATAACGCTAACACTACGACCCTTTCTGCCTCAGAGATAGAAATGAAGCTGTGACATAACAAGAGAGATGTTGCAAGAATGGGCGCCTATAGGAAGGATAAGAATGTGATTTCGATGGCATGACAGTGCTACGAATATATCAGTATTGCATCAGATTGTCAAAAGAAAACACACCGCAGAAGGGAGAACAACAGCTAAGCAGTCTAACCGACACAAAATACAATGTGAATAATTATATGGGGGAATGGAAGAAGCACGCACCCTCCGGCACATCCCTTCCTGGATGGCCACCATCCTAGTCTTCACAACAGCCCTCTCCTTGGTCTGCACACATCCATCTACAGCTCTGGTCAGTTCAGCAGCGAGTGATGATGAGGTGTTGGGTCGTACCGTTTCTTTTCTCACCTGTTGGCAATGACGGCAGCCCGGAAGGAAATGCGAGAATCAGATATAGTCAGTTCAATGAGAGACACCCATACCTTTGCCCTCGTACCACCAGTACATGCCCAATGGCCCCATCGCCGGTATCGAGTTGCAGTAAAGTGAGGGAGAGAGGAGGGAGGGAATAATCAATTCGGACTCCGAGTTAAAGTCCAACATGATGTTGACATGTTCCGGACATGCCCGGGCGGAGTTTGAAAGAACTTAGAAGATTTCTTGTTGCTCTTCCGCCATTCCCTGCCATTCCGTGCACCATCTGCAAGTGGCTGCACTGCTGCAACGCTGCAACATCACCGTGACGGATGTGCATGGGCTTCAATATTGCAATATCTAACTTCAATCCGTATACATACCAACTGCAAGGTCATTCGAAGACCGCCCCAATCGATAAGATCAGAAAGCCGCAGAAGAACCGGTTTGCCAAGACCAAGACTCGATCACCCAAGAAAAAGAGGCAGAAAGAGGGCTAGAAAAAGACCAAGCCCGGAAAGACTAATTCTGGGTTTTGCTGATGAACCCTTTGTTATCAAGCGCCATCCATATAAATCCTATATCTTGTGACCAACCTAAACTAAATACCTTCTGCCTCGTTTCAGCCTGTGAACTTGTTCTAGTGGATATGCATTCTAGAGCAGCTTGTTAAGCACGGAAACAATAAACCATGTTGGCTGTCAGTTGGTTGAACAAAATGGAGTTATCATACAGCAAACTGGAGCTCAAAAAGAGCCTGGTACAGTTATTTTTGAATCGACTTACATCGTGAACAACCCACGCCATTCTGGCATTTCCCGATTGGGCTGTCAGCAGACTTGCATGTTCCTATCTACAATATTCATTGAATTCCCTGTAGGAACCAGTTCACTTTACCACAGAGGCTGGTAATAACACCAACACCAACACCATAGATCAGCTGAGGTCCTGAAAGGCCCCGTTTAGCATTGGATCCTTTCCCGGTCCTGAAAAGGCAGGCAGTAAATTGGTATGAAAAACATGTACCCCTGTGGAATAATAAGAAAGGGCACAGAACCTGATATTGAAAATGAAAGCTTATGAGGTCCTTTTGTACTATCAAGAACACTCCAGCTATAGTGACTGGGTAGTAAAGAAATCGAGCCTCAGCTTGCAAAACATAATCCTGCCGACATCGGCTCTTAGGTTAGATTTACAAATGGACCAAAATATGAACATCTATCACGTACATTTCTGTTAGCCACTAACTCTAATCGACTTAGATCAACCAAGGATCACCACTCGCACTTCGGTGGATGATACACAAGGAGGTCAAAGGCGATGATTGGGAGCTAGTCGCGAACTTAGATAGTCACGAAACAGGGAGCTTTGAGTTAGGTAGATTGAACCTTAGCCGAAGCTGGGGTTTAGACCAGCTGAGGCACTACTTAAATACACAATGATAATCCTAAAAATAGTACTGTGAGAGCCGTCCGATAGGGATCGCATCATAAAGTAAACCTAAACACGTAAGAAAAGAAAAAGAAATGAATAAACCGTAACATTACCCCCTCTTCAAGACTCATTCGTCCCGAATGAGCTTGAGCTCTCCTCGTGTGTCGCGGCCTCTGTGTAGTAGGCGACGGAGTCGTCCTCATCGTCCTCGTTACTATCCCCCTCCCAGTTTTCGTATACTCGTTGTAGATTTTCAAGGTTAATTTCGGATTCTTCATCGTCCTCCTTGCTTTCTATAGTGGGTATTCCATCGGCTTTGTTCGTAGTAACGGATCGTGCGACAGAGGAGGAGGGATAAGAGTCTTGCTGGTCCTCCGAGTGCCTTGGGTTTGTACATTCGGAGGAGTAGACGGTTTCGACGTCTGTGACGCAAGGAGTATCGGGTTCGTGATACGGTGTCATGGCGTCGGGAGGTATCTTATTGTCCACCCCAATTGTCTTTCCGTGCGTGTCGATTTCCCACTGAATTCATTGAAGATGGGCTTCATACTCATTCACCAGCTCTTTCGCATTAGCCATGTTTGAGCGTTTGACCCAAGAGTTTTCCTCCTTTGGGTACCCTTTCCACTTTACCAAGTACTCTGTTATGGTGCGACATCTTGGTCCTCGGCCTACCACCTTATCCCGTTGTTCTACAATCTCTTCGATTTCGTATTCTTCTTCCTCGTCAATGAGTTCTGGGGGTGGTCTTTCCGGTCGAGGTTGATTGGGAAAGACGGCTGCTACATATGGAGTCAAGAGCGATTCATTGAAGCGGTTGTGAATCCTCCAGCCCGTCGGCAGCTTAAGCTCATAGGCCGATGCCCCCTTTTTCGCCGTAATGGCGAAGGGTCCCACTCGTCGATCCCCGAGTTTTGAAGTGGGTTGAGGAAGGTGAAGGTTGGTCGTATCAAGCCAAACCTTGTCTCCGATCTTGTATTCCATGGCAACGTCCTTGTGTTTGTCATAGGTCTTTTTCATTGATTCTGCCGCCCTTTCCAACGACTTTCTAGCCTCGCCTTGCGCTTTCTCTATCTCTTCAACCAATTTCCCCGCTGCCGGCACCATGGCTGTTCGTTGGGGTTTTTTAATAACCTCCCCGTCCCTACCGAAGATGACTTTGTAGGGAGAGTACCCGGTCGCTGAATGCTGGCGATTGTTATGTGTGAATGCGGCCAGCGGCAACCATTCGCTCCAATCGTCTTGTCTGTTGTTTACGAACATTTTGAG